TCCGAGGGGGTGGGAAGGCTGTTTTCATCCTCCTAGAAACTCCTAGAAAGACTCTGGAGCCTGGGGAGAGAGAAAAACGAGCCTTCCCCACCACCCCCTGTGGTCCTCCAGAGGCAGGAAACAACCTGTTTCCCTACTTCCAGTGGGCCCAGAAGGCCCGAAAATCAGCTGGCTGGTGCACGCATGTGCGCCGGAGCTGAGCTTGAGTGCCCACCGATATGGCTATGCGTTTTGCAATTTACACAGAGGCTACATCCTTGGGTCCATCCTTGCCCACATGCACATACCTCCCCCAGTAAATCTGCCCAAAGATTCTGCACTGGTTCCCACCTGAGTGGAGACAGCTACTACTTCCCTACAATAAGCATGTTGGTCCTTGCTAACCTAACACTAAGGAGAAAAATTTCCTGAGTGTTAGAGTAACTAATCCATGGGACGACTTGCCTCCAGAAGCTGTGGGATGGCTCCAGCCCTGGAGTCTTTTAAGAAGAGATTGGACAACCATTTGTCTGAAATGGTCTAAGGTTTCCTGCCTGAGCAGGGGGTTGGATTAGAAGACCTCCAAGGTCCCTTCCAACTCTGTTATTGAATTCCTAGCACTCTGGAGCCTCCGGGGATGATCCTGGACATGCCCTTCCCTTCCATCCCTCCCACAGCACCCAACTCTGCAGCTCCACCGGGAACTTACTGTACATGGTTGGGTACTGTGTGCCGTCCACGCGTCCGCTGGGATTGATCTGCAGGTGGAAGCTCCTATATCGATCAGCGGTGTAGAGGTGCACCACTTCGTTGGGGTTCCACCAGACGTGGGAGGCAAATGCGGGACCCCAGCTGCAGGCAAACAGAGGCAGCAGAAGCCTGAGTGCGTGCAGAAACGCTGGAGCCGGGACGGGGCGCATGGTGCTCGCTTGGCTTGGAAGATGTAGGATCCGAAAGGCAATCTTGGTTCTTCTCCTTTGCTGACCACTCGCCGATGATGGGCGCCCTGGTCCTTTGGCCCTGGCTTTATGCAAGAGGGCTGGGGGGGCGGGGTGGAAATGGGTGGAAGGGGCAGGAGAAAGGAAGAGACACCCATTTCCAAAACCATCGGATCATGAAGAGACCAGTGATGGTTCTCCCACCAATGCTCTGCAGTTACTACTGAGCATTAAAACAATTGTGAACTTCTTGGTCACTTTATATTTGGACAGTAAAACTATTTACGCTAATGTGAATCATTGAGTGTGATTAATGTGATGCTTGTGTGCATGAGATTTGTACTGTGATAATTTTGTGATGGGACCTAGTCCATTATTCGTGGAGGTCATCCCAAAGGTGCTTTTTCAAGAGGAACTGGACTTCCTTGTTTTGCTTGCCTCCTAAAAAAGCATCTTTGGGACAACTGTGACTTGGATGACTGAGAATCTTTACAGACATTCGTGGAGGTAAGAGAACATGTTTCTCTGTAATACGGAGACCGAACGCACGAGACTTTATGTAGCCTACGAACACTTTTTGGATATTAGTTTACGGCTATTATGGTTGAGATGTGGTATCACCGACATGTCAGAGACCAACAAGACGTAACACTTCACCAACTGGACATCTGTAGAAAGTGCAATTAGATCAATCAAGCTCTTTTTCTCCACCTCTTTTCCAGTGTCAGGGGCCTCCCAGGTTGGAGGATGGAGATGGAATCTAATTCCATCCCACGTAGTTGGTTGTCCAGTCTATTTTTTAAAACCTCCAGTGATGGAGCACCCATAACCCCAATAGACAGGGTCACTCCACTAATTAATTGTTCTCATTGTCAAAAAAAATCTCCTTATTCTAGTTTGGATCTGTCCTTAATTCTTGGCTGCCCTTTGGTGCCCTAGAGGATAAGTCAATCCCCTCTTCTCTGTGACAGCTCCTCAAATATTGGAAGACAACAATCATGTCACCCCTAATCCTTCTCATTGATAGGGCAGATGGTTGATTGGTTGGTTTGCTTCCTTCCTTCCCTGGGAGAATTAGACTAACCGCACCATGAAGCCAACAGATGAAGGCCCCTCTGGTTGGACAGCACAGGGGAGACCCCTGACTTCCTCCATATTTCTATTGACACAGTTCTTCGTGATAAAACTTGCAAGCCGCAATGATCCCACTGGGACATCAGACAAAACGTTCGTATTTAGAAGAAGAAAACGTTTTTTCAGACTCATTGTGCCTAGACTTCACGCTCTGGCTACGTGGACATTTCCTGTTTCCAGTTAAGAAGATGTCCTATGAACCAGAGGGATCTCCTGGTTCTGGTTCTGTTTCTGCTTCAGCGGCTGGAGGCATAGTTGACAAGTCTGAAAAAGTCCCGTTGTGCTGAATATTGAGGTGCACAGCTCTGCCTCCTTCACAAGGGTGGAAAAGATCTTGGGTGGATTTGGGAATTTGAGAATCACTTCTCAAGACATGAGAATGATCCTGCTTGGAATTCAGGAGTCACTGCATTGAAATAGACTAGACTAGACTAAACTAGAATAGAATAGAATAAAATAGAATACAATATAGAAAACAATAGAAAATAGAATAGAATAGAATAGAATAGAATAGAATAGAATAGAATAGAATAGAATAGAAGGGACTGTGGAGGTCTTCTAGTCCAACCCCCTGCTTAGGCAGGAACCCCTAAACCACTTCAGATAAATGGTTATCCAACATCTTCTTAAAAACTTCCAGTGTTGGGGATTCACAATTTCTGGAGGTAAGTTGTTCCACTGCTTAATTGTTCTCACTGTCACGAAATTTCTGCTTAGTTCCAAGTTGGATCTCTCCTTGATTAGTTTCCACCCATTGCTTCTTGTCCTGCCCTCAGGTGCTTTGGAGAATAGCTTGAATCCCTCTTCTTTGTGGCAGCTCCTGAGATATTGGAACACTGCTCCATGTCTCCCCTGGTCCTTCTTTTCATTAAACTAGACATACCCAGTTCCTGCAACCGTTCTTCCTATGTTTTACCCTCCAGCCCCCTAATCATCTTCATTGTTCTTCTCTGCACTCTTTCTAGAGTCTCAACATCTTTTTTACTTTGTGGTGACCAAAACTGAATGCAGGATTCCAAGTGTGGCCTTACCAAGGCATTATAAAGTGGTATTAACACTTCACATGATCTTGATTCTATCCTTTTGTTTATGCAGCCCAGAACTGTGTTGGCTTTTTTGGCAGCTGCTGCACACAGCTGGCTCATATCTAAATGGTTGTCCACTAGGACTCCAAGATCCCTTTCACAGTTACTACTATTGAGCAAGGTACCACATATACGGTACCTGTGCATTTTGTTTTTCTTCCCAAAAAGTAGAACTTTGCTTTTTTTCACTGTTGAATTTCATTTTGAAATTCAAAATTTCAAAATTTTTGAAAGTTGAATTAAACCAGGAACGTTCAATAAAGACGCTTTTCTTTCTTGAAAAACATGAAACATTTATTTTGTCTTCATCGAGAGACAGAATTAGAGGGGGGGTGGGCAGAATAATAAATGTCATAAATACTCATAAATACAACTTCAATATGTAAATAATCCAAATAAATAAATAAATAGAAACATACACTTATTGCATTCCCATTGTTTGATACTTTCCCAGGATGTTCTTGTCAACAACTCCCATCAAAATGCCCAATAAACCTAATCTGGTGCATCATTCCCACTGAAGACTTTTCCTAAGAGTTTTCTGCCACGAAGATGACTTCTTCCAAACTCTCCTCTCATATCTTGACATCAAAGGAGATGGGCATGATCTGGATTTGAACCCCAGCCTGGAAGGACGGCTGCCCCCTTAATGCTTTTCAACAGCCCACAAAGTTGCTTTATGGAGCATCTTAACTCCATTCTCCCTGAAGGGAGCATTGCCTGCCCATTCCTTTCCATCTGGTTGTAGATAACCCATGCCAAGATTTGGCGTTTCCTGCAGAAAACCTATCTTTGGCCAACAGGTTGATGGGATGGGTCAGCATCCTGACTCCAGCTAAGGTTAATCATGAGGGGGTCCTGCTGAGATCTAATAAGATCATCCTAGCTGAATCGGACGACGTCTACTTGTTTTGGGATATTGTGAGGAATTAGGACCTGTCAGGCGCTGTTTTGGTTTTGCTCCTCCACAACAGTCTCAGTTTCTCATGTGGCCCCTTGAGAAAATTAATTTCCCATCCCTTCAATAGATGGTGTTTTTTCTCTTTCTACCACTGCTGATCCAAAGATTTTGCTTCTTTAAAGGTTCTGGGCATTCTCCTTTGACTTAGAGTCAAAGCAAGTCAAAGATTCAACCGATAACATGTGGGCCACTGCACCATCTCTGCCAGTCAGCTGTGGGTGGACTGTGGCATGACAAGAACTCTATATACTGTACAGCATTACAAGGGTGAAGCTTAAACACTGAAATGTAGATGGAGCAAAAGATATAAAACTCGCCTCACAACCCACGTTCCAGGTTCGTTATTCAGGTTGGTAAGGACCAGGGCTAAAACCGGGAAGATGCACAAAGATAGTCCTTGAGTTACGACTACAATGGAGCCCCAAATTTATGTCGCTAAGCGAAACATTTGTTCAGGGAGCTGTGTCCCATTTTTAAGCCCGTTTCCTGCCAGAGTTGTTAAGGGAGTCATGCAGGCGGTTAAGTTAGCAAGACGGGTTGTTAAGTGGAGCTGGCTTCTTCCTTGACTTGGCTCGTCTGAAGGTCGCAAAAGGGGATCACATGACCTGGGAGGGAGACATTGCCACCGTCACAAAGACGAGTCAGTGGCCAAGCATCTGAATTTTGATGACGTGACCACGGGGGTGCTGCAACGGTCCATACGTGTGAAAAACATTCCCCTTTTTGTTTAGCGCCATTGTAACTTCGAATGGTCACTAAATGAACTGTTGTAAGTCGAGGGCTACCTGTACACAGCTGTGACACACCCACCCCACCCCTTATTCTGAACAATTCACCTGGGGAAAAAAAGGAATTTAGCTTTCTTAGATGGTTCCGAAGAGAAGTCCGGTTCTCGTTTCGGTTTCAGGAATCCATTCGGGGGCTAGGAAATCTTCGACTCAGCGTGGCGCCGTTTGGGTCTCTCTCTTCGGAATTTGAGCTGGTCAAGCAGGGGTGGATGCCCACCTCATCTGGGCTTTCATCCGGTATCTTTCCCGCCAAGATGCCCCCACACAGCTCGGCATCGTCGTCCCAGGTGTCTCTTTCCTGAGCCACAGGCGTGTTGAACTGGCTTAAGGGGATTTCATTCCTTCTGGTTAAAAACTGAGAGAAAGCTGGCGGGTTCATATTGGGAAACAACGGTTGCTTTGCCCTTCCTAGGCTGACCAGGTAATTGTACTTGGGGGAGTGGTAAATATCGTAGCCATTTTCGAGCATCGTGTGTTTAAAAACGCAATCCTCGTTGCCGAAGGAATTCTAAAGGAAACAAACACAAAATTGTCAAGACGGAGGTGAAAAAAATCAAGCCGTATCTTATAGTCAGAAAACATCCACGGCAGATTTAGATCGTGAATATTTTTTCCAAATATTTGTTCTTTCTATACAGAGTGGTGCGGCGGCCTAGAGGCGGAGCTCTCGCCTCACAATCAGGAGGCTGTGAGTTCGATCCTAGGTAGACACATTTATTTCTCTCTCTGGGCACACTGAGAATATATCTGCTGAACAAAACTCCGCACTGGCGACAGGAAGGCATCCGGCCATTCAAACACTCTGCTAGTTCCATTCAGTCGCCCAGACTCCAACCCGCAAGAGATTGTGGGGTCATTAAATGAAGAGGATGATTTATTCTTTCTACAGATAGTCCCCTCAATTTACAATGGTTCATTTAGCGACCGGTCCAAGTCACCACGGCACTGAAAAAAGTGACTTGTTTGACCATTTTTCACACTTAGGACCGTTCCGCTATCCCCATAGTCATGGGATCCAAATTCGGATACTTGGCAACCAACTCAGATTTATGATGGTTGCGGTATCCTGGGTGGGGGTGGGGGTGGGAGTGGGAGGTGGGGGTGGGGGTGGGAGGCTGTCACCTTCCTCTTTTGTGACCTCCTGAAAACAATGGGGAAGCCAGATTCCACTTAACAACCATGTTCCTAACAATAGCTGCAGCAATTCACTTAACAACTGTAGCACAAAAGGTCATAGTGACCTGGACTATTGTAATGCTCTGTACATGGGGCTCCCCTTGAAAAGCACCCGGAGGCTCCAACTGGTCCAGAATGCGGCCGCGTGGGTGGTTATGGACGCAACTCGTTGTACCCACGTGACACCCCTCCTGCGCGAGCTGCACTGGCTCCCAGTGGTCTTCCGGGTGCGATTCAAGGTGTTGGTCACCATCTTTAAAGCGCTTCATGGCTTAGGACCTGGTTATTTACGGGACCACCTGCTTCCACCAATAGCCTCCCACCGGCCAGTTCACTCCCACAGAGAGGGTCTCCTCAGGGTGCCATCGGCCAAGTTATGCTGGCTGGCGACACCCAGGGGAGGGCCTTCTCTGTGGGAGCCCCTGCCCTGTGGAATGAACTGCCTCCGGAAATACGTAAGATCTCCGACCTCCAGGTGTTTCGCTGTGCACTCAAGACCCTGTTGTTCCGCCAGGCCGGGCTATCAACATAATAATTTTAAATTCAGTGTTTTAAATTTCTGGGGTTTTAAATTGAGCCGAATTATTTAATAATTTTAAATAATTTTAATTGATGTTTGTCTTGTGCTTTTAACAGGCTGTACACCGCCCTGAGTCCTTTGGGAGAAGGGCGGTATAGAAATAAAATTATTCTTATTCTTATTCTTTTTTAGTGACCGCTCCAAGTTACAACGGCACTGAAAAAAGTGACTTATGACCGTTTTTCACACTTATGACGTGATCAAACTTCAAATGCTCGGCAGCTGACTCCCATTTATGACAGTTGCAATGTCCCAAGGTCACCTGATCCCCTTTTGTGTGACCTTCTGACAAGCAAAGTCAAGGGGGAAAAGCCAGATTCACTTAACAACCGTGTTACTAACTTGACAAGTGATTCACTTAGCAACTGGGGCACGAACGGTTGTAAAATGGGGGCAAAACTCACTTAACAACAAAAACTGTGGGCTCCATTGAGGTCGTAACATGAGGACTTAATGCCTTGGCTGCACTAGGAAAGGAGTCATAGAATCCGAAATGAATATTAGGACTCACCAATCCAAAGAGATTTCCGTTATCGTCCATACAAAGGTTAAGTCCGCTCTTTGCGCCGATGATCACTACATAGCCAAAATTTTCAGTTTTGATCGTCAAAGCACCTGGAAGCGAACGGGTTAAATATTAGGAGATCTCTTCAACATCTCTTAAACCAGAAATAGCAATTTCAAATATCAGAATACTATTATCTGATGCCTTCCCAGTCTTTCCACATTCTGGCCAATCGTGGCAAAACATTCCCGAACCTTCGCTATCGGTTCGGGAGCGCGTGGGAGCGTGTGCGCACCTCTTCTGCGCATGCGCAAAACCTTCTGCACATGTGCAGATGGTAAAAAAAGGGACGTAATGATGTCCCAGCAGGTGGGCAGAACCTCCTGCCACCAGCGCTACCGGTTCAGCGAACCGGATAGAACCGGGGGGGGAAGTTTCACCACTGATCCTTTCTCACTGAAGTGGTACCTGTTTATCTACTCGCATGTGCATACTTTCAAACTGCTAGATGGGCAGGAGTTCTGGCAAGTGTCCAGATAAGATGAAATAATAAAGCTGCAAAGCTAGACAAACTGTAGCACAAAACAAGAGAATGTAGAAAGACTTGGAACGCATATTCTTGAGGAAGCCTTGGGGAACAAGGCAAATCTCCATGAAGGGAGGGGTGTCACCCCCAGACTTCCAGAACCAAGAAGGTCCCACTTTGGAAGTCCAAGGAGGAAAGCCAAGGTATCTTTGACAAGAGAGCAGCTACGAAGGGTCCTAACCAGGGGTGAAATCCAGCAGGTTCTGACAGGTTCTGGAGAACCGGTAGCGGAAATTTTGAGTAGTTCAGAGAACTGGCAAATACCACCCCTGGCTGGCCCCAGAGTGGGGTGGGAATGGAGATTTTACAATATCCTTCCCCCAGGAGTGGGGTGGGAATGGAGATTTTGCAATATCCTTCCCCCAGGAGTGGGGTGGGAATGGAGATTTTGCAATATCCTTCTCCCAGGAGTGGGGTGGGAATGGAGATTTTACAATATCCTTCCCCCAGGAGTGGGGTGGGAATGGAGATTTTACAATATCCTTCCCCCAGGAGTGGGGTGGGAATGGAGATTTTGCAATATCCTTCTCCCAGGAGTGGGGTGGGAATGGAGATTTTGCAATATCCTTCCCCCAGGAGTGGGGTGGGAATGGAGATTTTACAATATCCTTCTCCCAGGAGTGGGGTGGGAATGGAGATTTTGCAATATCCTTCCCCCAGGAGTGAGGTGGGAATGGAGATTTTACAATATCCTTCCCCCAGGAGTGGGGTGGGGATGGAGATTTTGCAATATCCTTCCCCCAGGAGTGGGATGGGAATGGAGATTTTGCAATATCCTTCTCCCAGGAGTGGGGTGGGAATGGAGATTTTACAATATCCTTCCCCCAGGAGTGAGGTGGGAATGGAGATTTTACAATATCCTTCCCCCAGGAGTGGGGTGGGGATGGAGATTTTGCAATATCCTTCCCCCAGGAGTGGGATGGGAATGGAGATTTTGCAATATCCTTCTCCCAGGAGTGGGGTGGGAATGGAGATTTTACAATATCCTTCCCCCAGGAGTGGGGTGGGAATGGAGATTTTACAATATCCTTCTCCCAGGAGTGGGGTGGGAATGGAGATTTTGCAATATCCTTCTCCCAGGAGTGGGGTGGGAATGGAGATTTTGCAATATCCTTCCCCCAGGAGTGGGTGGGAATGGAGATTTTGCAAAATCCTTCCCCCAGGATATATTAATATACATAAAAGATTTGAATTAAGAGCTATATGCATGGGGGAGGAGGAAATGGATAGATTATGAGTTGAAATTGCTAAATTAGGATTTATTATATAATTTTACAGCTGAATGTTGCTTTGAAATGTATAGTATAAGGGGGATATAATAATATTGTTAGAAGGGTGGAGATAGGTTAGCTTACTGATTGTTTAGTTTAGGAAAAGGGATGTTATGCTATATTAATATACATAAAAGATTTGAATTAAGAGCTATATGCATGGGGGAAGAGGAAATGGATAGATTATGAACTGAAATTGCCAAATTAGGATTTGTTATATAATTTTACAGCTGAATGTTGCTTTGAAATGTATAGTATAAGGGGGATATAATAATATTGTTAGAAAGAAAGGGGGGGTTGGAGCAAAAAGGAAGGTAAAGTATTATATAATCTGTTATTAATTTGGGTTTTATTCTGGAGAAGCCACAGGGGGAGGGGAGGGGGAGGGGGGGTTAGGGAGGAGGGGGGGAAAGGGGGAAAAATCTGTATTTGAAAAACTTTTTCAATTAAAAAAAAAAAAAGAAAAAGAAAGTAGCTGATGTTGAACTGTACGGTACAGTTCCCGACATGGAAGGAAGCGGACCTGAGTGGAGACAGCTCTTTCCATACGATAAGCAACTTGCTAACTTAGAACTAAGGAGAAATTTCCTGACTGTTAGAAACAATTCATCAGTGGAACGACTTGCCTCCAGAAATTGTGGGCGCTCCATCCCTGGAGATTTTAAAGAAGAGATTGGGCAACTGTTTGTCTCAAATGGGACAAAGAACATAGAATAACAGAGTAGGAAGGGACCTTGTTAGGTCATCTAGTCCAACCCCCTCCATCCACTCAAGCAGGAGACCTTATAGCATTTCTGACAGATGGCAGTCCGGTCTCTTCTTGAAAGCTTCCAGTGATGAAGCTCCCACAACTTCTGAAGGCAACTTCTGTTCCATGGGTTGATGGTTCTCGCTGTCACTTGATTACTGCCTGAGCAGGGAGTGGGGGGTGGACTAAAAGACCTCAAAGGTCCCTTCCAACTCCGTTATTGAATTCCTAACACTCTGGAGCCTCTGGGGTGATCCTGGACATGCCCCTCACTCCCTCCATTCCTCCCACACCAGCCAGCCGTGGAGCTCCACGGGGACCTACTATCGGTTTACTCTGTTGATTGTTCTCACTGTCACTTGATTACTGCCTGAGCAGGAGGGGGTGGACTATAAGACCTCTAGGGACCCTCCCAACTCTTGTAATTGAATTCCTAGCACTCTGGAGCCTCCAGGGGTGATCCTGGACATGCCCCCCCCCTCCATCTCCATCCCTCCCGCACCAGCCAGCCATGGAGCTCCGCGGGGGACCTACTATCGGTCTACTCTGTTGATTGTTCTCACTGTCACTTGATTACTGCCAAAGCAGGGGGGTGGACTAGAAGACCTCTAGGGACCCTCTCAACTCAGAGCTATCCAACTGAGCCTGGATAGCTCAGCAGACTAATGCATTGTAATTTAACTCCAGCTGTCTGCAATTAATAAGTTTGAATCTTGCCAGGCTCAAGGTTGACTCAGCCTTCCATCCTTTCTAAGGTAGGTAAATTGAGGACCCAGTTTGTCGGGGCAATAAGCTGATTTTGTAATATATATATATATACAAAAGTATGAAGGCTATTGCTTAACGCCTTGTAAGCCGCCCTGAGTCTCTGGAGAAGGGCGGCATATAAATCAAATTTAACAAAAAAAACTCCTTTAATTGAATTCCTAGCACTCTGGAGCCTCCGGGGGTGATCCTGGACATGCCCCCCCCTTTCCATCTCCATCCTTCCCGCATCAGCCCAGCCTCGCAGCAGCTCCTCTGGGGACTTACTATACTCTTGTTTTTCTCACTGCCACTTGATTACTACCTGAGCACGGGGGGGGGGTGGACTAGAAGATCTCTAGGGACCCTCCCAACTCTTTTAATTGAATTCCTAGCACTCTGGAGCCTCCGGGGGTGATCCTGGACAAGCCCCCCCCTTTTCATCTCCATCCCTCCTGCACCAGCCAGCCTCGCAGCTCCTCTGGGGACTTACTATACTTTTTTTTTTTAATTGAAAAAGTTTTACAAATACAAATTCCCCCCCCCATTTTTACCCCTCCTTCCCTCCCTAACCCTCCCCAGCCCTCCCCTCCTCCCATGACTTCCCCAAGGTGAAATCCGTCCACATTGTATTATGTCATACTTTACCACCCTTCTATTCTCCCCCCTGTGTGACTTACTATACTCTTGATTGTTCTGTCACTTGATTACTGCCAAAGCAGGGGGGGTGGACTAGAAGACCTCTAGGGACCCTCCCAACTCTTTTAATTGAATTCCTAGCACTCTGGAGCCTCCATCCCTCCCGCACCAGCCCAGCCTCGCAGCAGCTCCTCCGGGGACTTACTATACTCTTGCTTTTCTCACTGCCACTTGATTACTACCTGAGCACGGGGGGTGGACTAGAAGACCTCTAGGGACCCTCCCAACTCTTTTAACTGAATTCCTAGCACTCTGGAGCCTCCATCCCTCCCGCACCAGCCCAGCCTCGGAGCAGCTCCTCCGGGGACTTACTATGCACGGTCTGGGACGGGCTGCCATCCACGCGTCCGTCGGGGTGGATCTGCAGGTGGAAGCTCTTCCTGGCGCTGGAGGTGTAGAGGTGCACCAGTTCGTCGGCGTTGCTCCAGATGGGAGAGGCGACGGCGGGACCCCAGCCGCAGGCAAGCAGCGGCAGCAGGAGCCTCAGGGCGCGGAGAAACGCCGGAGCCGGGACGGGGCGCATGATGATGCTGGCTTGGCTTGGAAGATGCAGGAGGACCCCGAGAAGGAGATCTTGGTCCTTTCTCCTTTGCTGACCAGTCGCAGATGCTGAGCTCCCTGGTCCTTCGACCCTGGCTTTATGCAGGATGGCTGGGGGGGGGCGGGGGGCGGGGGAAGGAGGGCGGGAGAAAGATACACCCTGGGCTTTTTTTTTTTTTTTGTTAAATGACTTTTACTTTTGTTTTTGTTTTTTTTATTGAAAAGTTTGAAAATGTTTTACAAACAAATTCCCCCTCCCTCCTCCCCCACCCATTCCCTTCTCCCTCCTCCCCCCCCCACTTCCCAGAGCAAAATACAGGGTATTGCATTTAGCAAACCTAATCTAACATAAACAAACTAACTATAAACTCTTAACTTCCCCTTACTCTTTAACTCCCCCATAGGTACTAAAATGTCGAAGTAAAAAAGAAAAATCATCTAAATATTTCATTCATAAGCTATTTGCAACTTTATATATATATATATATATATTTGATTTATATGCCACCCTTCTCCGGAGACTCAGGGCGGCTTACAGTGCGTTAAGCAATAGCCTTCATCCTTTTGTATATTTATACAAAGTCAGCTTATTGCCCCCACAAACTGGGTCCTCAATTTACCTACCTTAGAAAGGATGGAAGGCTGAGTCAACCTTGAGCCTTGGTGAGATTCGAACCTGCAGTAATTGCAGGCAGCTGGTCTTAATAACCAGCTTAATAACAGGGTGCCTTAGACCACTCTACTACCAAGGCTCTTTGTTTTGTATATAGTCAATCCATCTTCTCCATTCCAGTACATATCTTTCTTTCTTCTTCTTTTTTTTATTAAAAAGTTTTACAAGACAAAAAACATTTTTACAAGAAAAATGTAGACCATTTGCCATCTTTCCATATATGGATTGTACAATCACATTTACAAATTAACAACCTCTTTTTTAAAAAAAAAAAAAAGTTACGTAAACTCCAAGAATCTAAATATTTCATTCATAAGCTATTTGCAACTTTTTAGTCCCATATTTGTTTTGTATATAGTCAATCCATCTTCTCCATTCCAGTACATATCTTTCATTCGAACGGTCCTTCAAATATGCAGAGATTTTAGCCATCTCCGCCAAATTAGCTACTTTTAATGTCCATTCTTCAATAGTAGGTATTTCTTCCTTCTTCCAATATTGCGCCACCAAAAGTCTGGCTGCGGTTATTAAATTCAAAATCAAATTAGTCTCTATAACTGTACATCCTTCAATTATACCCAATAAAAACAACTGTGGAGTAAATTTTATCTTCCTTTTAAGAATATTTTGTATAATCCACCATATCTTAATCCAAAATGCCCAAATGACTTTTACTTTTGAACCACTTCCTGACTCAAGTGATAACTCCCTGTCAACTGCTCCCTGTCAAATTGCTCTTTGGCCACAAGCTGGACACGCTACGATTTTGGTTCGAAAGAAATTCGAGGCGAGGATGAGAGGATGAAGAAGCTGTGCCATGTTTTGGGGGCATGGATGAGGCCAACTTTTTTTATCTTTCCCGAGGACTTCTGGTCCCAATCCAGAAGAGGGCTGGAGAGCATCATCTCCCAGGGTGGATTCAGAAATGAACGATTTATTTATTTGTCTGATGTTTAACTGTAACTGAAAAAAGTAAAAATAAGGTTTTTACAATATATTTTATTTGAGATTGGTTAAAATATTTTGTTAAGGTATTAATGTATGTAAGGGTTGGAGATCTGATGTTTAACCGTAGAAGAAAGAAGACGTGCTTATTATTGAAGAATGGACAAGATCGAAGTTGGATTGATTACTTTCAAGCAATAATTGGTTTGAATAGTTATATTCAGATATGAACAAGGGGAGTTAAAGTGCAAGAGGGAGATAAATCTATAGATAGTTAGCTTATGGTTTTTTTTATGTTTGTTAAATGCTATACCCTGTATTTGCTCTGGGAAGTCAAGGGGGGATGGTGGTGGGACGGTTGGGGCAGGAGATGGGAAGAGAGGGGGGAAAATACGTGTAAACTTTTTAAAAAACTTTTCAATAAAAAAAGAAGAAGAAATGAACGATTTATTTATTTGTTTATTTGTTCAACTTGTATGCCACCTTTCTCCGAAGACTCAAGGCGGCTTACGGTGCATTTAAAAACCATATATATAAAAACATTAAACATTAAAAACAATTCAAACCCATTCACGCTGTTCATGGCCGGATCTTGCCAGATCGCAAGAGCGAGATCAACGGCCCCAGGCCTGCCGGAAAAGCCAGGTCTTCACCGCTTTTCGGAAGGCCAATAGGGTGGAGATGGTCCAGATCTCAGGAGGTAACTGGTTCCAGAGAGCCGGGGCAGCTACAGAGAAGGCCTTCCCCCACGGGTCCGCCAGCCGGCACTGTTTAGCTGACGGGACCCGGAGGAGACCAACTCTGTGGGATCTTACCGGTCGCTGGGAGCTATGCGGTAGAAGGCTGTCTCGAAGATAACCTGGCCCTGAGCCATGTAGGATCCACGATGCCTTCTTCAGCTCAAGGGCTGACTTTTAAAGAACGTCCATCAATCCTCTCAAACTCAAGCAAGGCTAATCATTCCTGATACCCGATGGAATAAAAATCCTTCTTTGCAAACTATTTGTCTGAAGTGGTGTAGGGCTTCCTGCCTAAGCAGGGGGTTGGACTAGAAGACCTCCAAGGTTCCTTCCAACTCTGTTATTCTATTCTATTCTATTCTATTCTATTCTATTCTATTCTATTCTATTCTATTCTATTCTATTCTATTCTATTCTATTCCATTCCATTCCATTTTCTTATTCTATTTTATTCTATTCTATTCCATTCCATTCCATTCCATTCCATTCCATTCCATTTTCTTATTCTATTCTATTCTATTCTGTTCTGTTCTGTTCTGTTCTGTTCTGTTCTGTTCTATTCTATTCTATTCTATTCTATTCTATTCTATTCTATTCTATTCCATTCCATTCCATTCCATTCCATTCCATTTTCTTATTCTATTCTATTCTATTCTATTCTATTCCATTCCATTCCATTTTCTTATTCTATTCTATTCTATTCTATTCTATTCTATTCTATTCTATTCTATTCTATTCTATTCTATTCCATTCCATTTTCTTATTCTATTCTATTCTATTCCATTCCATTCCATTCCATTCCATTTTCTTATTCTATTCTATTCTATTCTGTTCTGTTCTGTTCTGTTCTGTTCTGTTCTATTCTATTCTATTCTATTCTATTCTATTCTATTCCATTCCATTCCATTCCATTCCATTTTCTTATTCTATTCCATTCATTCCATTCCATTCCATTCTATTCTATTCTATTCTATTCTATTCTATTCCATTCCATTCCATTCCATTCCATTCCATTCCATTCCATTCCATTTTCTTATTCTATTCTATTCTATTCTATTCCATTCCATTCCATTCCATTTTCTTATTCTATTCTATTCTATTCTATTCTATTCTATTCTATTCTATTCTATTCTATTCTATTCTATTCTATTCTATTCCATTCCATTTTCTTATTCTATTCTATTCTATTCCATTCCATTCCATTCCATTCCATTTTCTTATTCTATTCTATTCTATTCCATTCCATTCCATTCTATTCCATTCCATTTTCTTATTCTATTCTATTCCATTCCATTCCATTCCATTCCATTCCATTTTCTTATTCTATTCTATTCTATTCTGTTCTGTTCTATTCTATTCTATTCTATTCTATTCTATTCTATTCTATTCTATTCTATTCTATTCCATTCCATTCCATTCCATTCCATTCCATTCCATTTTCTTATTCTATTCCATTCATTCCATTCCATTCTATTCTATTCTATTCTATTCTATTCTATTCTATTCTGTTCTGTTCTGTTCTGTTCTGTTCTGTTCTATTCTATTCTATTCTATTCTATTCTATTCCATTCCATTTTCTTATTCTATTCTATTCTGTTCTGTTCTGTTCTGTTCTGTTCTGTTCTATTCTATTCTATTCTATTCTATTCTATTCTATTCTATTCTATTCCATTCCATTCCATTCCATTCCATTCCATTTTCTTATTCTATTCCATTCATTCCATTCCATTCCATTCCATTCTATTCTATTCTATTCTATTCTATTCTATTCTATTCTATTCCATTCCATTCCATTCCATTCCATTCCATTCCATTTTCTTATTCTATTCTATTCTATTCTGTTCTGTTCTGTTCTGTTCTGTTCTATTCTATTCTATTCTATTCTATTCTATTCTATTCTATTCTATTCTATTCTATTCTATTCTATTCTATTCCATTCCATTCCATTTTCTTATTCTATTCTATTCTATTCTGTTCTATTCTATTCTACTCTACTCTACTCTACTCTACTCTACTCTACTCTACTCTTCTCTACTCTATTCTGTTCATTGCAGGTGTAATCAATATGTGGTGGTAGAAGAACCCATAGCTCTCTTGTAGGTTGATGAGATGAATCAATCAGAATAGAGCTAGAAGGGATCTTGGAGGTCTTCTAGTCCAACCCCCTGCTCAAGCAGGAGACCCTATATTATTTCAGTCAAGTGACTGTCCAGTCTCTTCTTAAAAGCCTCCCGTGATGGAGCAACCCACAACTTCTGAAGGCAAGTCGTTCCACTAATTAATTGTTCTCACTGCTAGGAAATTTCTCTTTAGTTCCAGGTTGCTTCTCTCCTTGATTAGTTTCCATCCATTGATTCTTGTCTTGCCTTCTGGTGCTTTGGAAAATAAGTTGAACACCCCCCCCCCCCATTCCTCTTTGTGGGGGTCAGCTTACAGGTAGCCCTCATGGCCGCAATTGAGCCCAAAATTTACGTTGCTAAGTGAGAAATTGGTTAAGCGAGTTTTGCCCAATTCTACGACTTTTCTTGCCATAATTGTTAAGCGAATCGCTGAAGTTGGTAAGTTAGTCACACGGTTGTTAAGTGAATCTGGCTTCCCCATTGACTTTGCTCATCAGAAGGTCGCAAAAGGGGGACCGCACGACTCTGGGACACAGCAACGGTCATAAATACGAACCAGCCAAAAGAGCCGATGCAATCCTAAATTGCATTAACAGAGGGATACAATCAAGATCAAGTGAGGTACTAATACCACTCTATAAAGCCGTAGTAAGACCACACCTAGAATGCTGTATTCAGTTTTGGTCACCACACTATAAAAAAGAGGTTGAGACTCTAGAAAAAGTGCAGAGAAGAGCAACCAGGATGATTAGGGGCAGTGGTGATATCTAAAATTTGTTACTACCGGTTCTGTGGGCGTGGCTTGGTGGGTGGGTGGGTAATGTGACTGGGTGGGCGTGGTCTTTTTTTTTTTTAACTTTTAAAACCATTTTTAAAAGTTCGGCGAAGAGGTTGTAAAAAAATTATTTCAAAAGGCTCTGATGATCCCAGCTGAGTTGCCTGATCAGCAGAGACTTTTTGTCTTTTAAATGCCTCTGACGATCAGGCAACTCAGCTTGGATCGTCAGAGGCATTTAAAAGAAAAAAAGGGTTTTTTTTTCTTTTAAAAGCCTCTGGTGATCCCAGCTGAGCCGCGCGATCATCAGAGGCTTTTTTTTTTTTTACTTTTAAAAGCATTTTTTCGGCTGAAGAGGTTGTAGAAAAAATGCTTTTAAAAGTAAAAAAAAAAAAGCCTCTGACGATCGCGCGGCTCAGCTGGGCATGGGGGGGCAGGGATTTTTGCTACCGGTTCTCCGAACCACCCGCCTCCATCGCTACCGGATCGAGCGATCCGGTCCGAAATGGGAGCATTTCACCCCTGATTAGGGGACTGGAGACTAAAACATATGAAGAACGGTTGCAGGAACTGGGCACGGCTAGTCTAGTGAAGAGAAGGACCAGGGGAGACATGATAGCAGTCTTCCAATATTTGAGGGGCTGCCACAGAGAGGAGGGGGTCAACCTATTTTCCAAAGCACCTGAAGGCCAGTCAAGGAACAATGGATGGAAACTGATCAAGGAGAGATTCAACCTGGAAATAAGGAGAAGTTTTCTGACAGTGAGAGCAATCAACCAGTGGAACAGAAGTTGCCTTCGGAAGTTGTGGGAGCTTCATTGCTTGAGTCTTTCAAGAAGAGATTGGACTGCCATCTGTCAGAAATGGTGTAGGGTCTCCTGCTTGGGCAGGGGGTTGGGCTAGATGACCTACAAGGTCCCTTCCAACTCTGTTAATCTGTATAATCTTTCCTCCTGAAGTTGTGGCTGCTTCTTCACTGGAGGGTTTTTAAGACCATTTACAGTTAGAGTTTGCTACAGTGCTGCTACAGGGGATCCTGGACTTATAACTGTTCATTTAGTGACCATTCGAAGTTACAACGGCATGGGAAAAAGTGACTTATGGCCATGTTTCACACTTATGACCGTTGCAGCATCCCCGTGGTCACGTGATCAAAATTCTCATATTTATGATGGTTGCAGTGTCCCAGGGGGTCATGTGATTTCCCCCTTTGCAACCTTCTGACAAGCAAAATGGGTCAATGGGGAAACCAGATTCACTTAACAACCGTCGTAACATTTGGGGCTCAATGGTGGTTATTAGTTGAGGACTAACTGTATTTGTAGTGCAGTTTTAACAGATAAAGTAAGATTTCAGATGATATACTTGAAAATATACTTCAGAGCGGTGCCATGGCCTAGAGGTGGAGCTCTCGCCTCACAGTCAGGAGGTTGTGAGTTCGATCCTAGGGAGAGGCAGATATTTCTCTCTCTGGGCACAATGAGAATATATCTGCTGGGGGGGAAAAAACCTCCGCATTGGCCACAGGAAGGGCATCCGGCCAGTAAATATTCAGCTCCATTCAGGTGCCCAGACTCCACTTTTAACAATTATGGGGTCGTTAAAAGAGGATGATGATACCTGAAGATATACTTGAAACTGGAACATTTAGGAGATTAAGAATAGAAGGGACAGAAAACACCAGGCAAAATTAGGATAAACGCAATTCTGACACAAACCCCAAATTCTTGCTTTGAGCTCCATGCTCAGGAACCTAATCTACTCCTAATCACCTGCTCAGAAAAATTGCTTCATAATTCCAGTTTGTCCCGTTAACCTTATCCTTATTCTGAAGGATCTACTTGTTGAAACAAAAATGGAAGTTAAAAACAAACAGAAATGAGCTGAACCTCAAATCTGGCCACCCCAGAAACCGTGACGGTTCATGAAAACTGCTTACAACATGTTCTAAAAAAAATATAAAAAGATAACCAGAACTGTTTTATACACCAATGGACCGCAAGTTGATATATTCGCCAAGTGAAGGATGGCAAATATTTCCTGACATTCCCCTTTAACAGATGTGCTATCAAAACAAACACTGTCTGTGTACGCTTTCTTTTCAGCGTGGACGTAAACAGAGGATCTAGGAAGTCCGTGTGTTAGTAAGTGAAGATGTGAAGGTGGGCCCTTTCTATAACTGGTATATTCTAGGCATAATTACAGACAGAGTCAACCGCATGTACTCTGGTGCGATTGCTCCCTAGCCCAAGAGTTGTTAAATCTCACATCCTGCAATGACTGTATTTGGGGAGTTTGTCTCTGTCACACAACCCACACACAGCAAACTTCCTGATTCTGCTAACCAACATGAAGCGGATGAAGTCATTGCTGAATATTAGCCTGCAGTGCAGGTGTTGCCAAATCCACCGTCTGACTGTACTGTGGATCTTCGACATTGTTGTTGTTGTTAGTTGCGAAACCGTGTCCGACCCATCGCGACCCCATGGATAACGTTCCTCCAGGCCTTCCTGTCTTCTACCATCCTCTCAGTGGTGGGTCGCTCTCGGTTCGCACCGGTTCGCAAGAACCGGTAGTAAAAATTTGTAGTCGTTCGGAGAACCGGTAATAACATTGGCTGGCCACGCCCCCGAACCGGTCCCTGGCCCGGTTGCCGCTCGCTTACCCCACCCATCAGAGGCTTTTTTTTTTTTTTACTTTTAAAAGCATTTTTTCTACAACCTCTTCGGCTGAAAAAAATGCTTTTAAAAGTAAAAAAAAAAATGCTTCTGATGATCACGCGGCTCAGCTGGGATCGTCAGAGGCTTCTAAAAGCATTTTTTTTTCTGCAACCTCTTAAGGTTATAGAAAAAATGCTTTTAAAAGTAAAAAAAAAAGTTGGCCACGCCCACCCAGTCACATCCCCACCAAGCCATGCCCACAAAATATGCCATGCCCACAGAACCAGTAGTAAAAAAATTTAGAACCCACCCCTGCATCCTCTGAAGTCCATTTAAACTCATGCCGACTGCTTCAGTGACTCCATCCAGCCACCTCGTTCTGCCGTGCCCTTCTTCTTTTGCCCTCAATCTTCCCCAGCATTAGGCTCTTCTCCAGTGAGTCCTTCCGTCTCATTAGATGGCTAAAGTAGTTGAGTTTCCTCTTCAGGATCTGGTCTTCTAAAGGGACCGCCTACTACCACCAATAGCTTCCCATCGGCTGGTACATTCTCATAGAGAGGGGCTCCTCTGGGTGCCATCGGCCAAACAATGTCGACTGGCGGCCCCTAGGGGAAGAGCCTTCTCTGTGGGGGCACCTACTATCTGGAACGAGCTCCCCCCGGAGATACGGAGGATCCCGGATCTGCGCACCTTCCGCCGCGCTCTTAAGACCTTCTTATTCCACCAGGCAGGCCTGGCCTAATCTTTTCCCTCTTTTTAATTATGCAAATTTTAATCAGTTTTTAAATGATTGGGGTGTTTTAATCTGTCTGGGCCAAATTGTTTAATTCGATTTTACTTTGTTTTTAAATTTTGTATCTATGTATTTTTACTGTTTGGCTGTTCACTGCCCTGAGTCCTTCGGGAGTAGGGCGGTATATAAATCAAATAAAGTAAGTAAGTAAGTAAGTAAGTAAGTAAGTAAGTAAGTAAGTAAGTAAAGGGCAGTCAGGGTTGATCTCCTCTAGGACTGACCGGTTGGATCGCCTTGCAGTCTGAAGGAATAATGGATGGAAACTGGTCAAGAAGAGATTCAACCTGGAAACAAGGAGAAAATTTTACGACAGGGAGAACAATCCACCGATGGAACAGAAGTTGCCTTTGGAAGTTGTGGGAGCTTCATCACTGGAAGCTTTCAAGAAGAGACTGGACTGCCATCTGTCAGAAATGGCGTAGGGTCTCTTGCTTGAGTGGGATAGGGGTTGGACTAGATGACCTACAAGGTCCCTTCCAACTATGATATTCTATGTTCTTTATCCCATTAGAGACAATTGGTTGACCAATCTCTTCTTTAAAAACACCCACAATTTTTGGAGACAGGTCGTTCCACTCATTAATTGTTCTAACACTTGGGAAATTTCTCCTTAGTTCCAGGTTGAATTTCTCCTTGATCAGTTTCCACCCATTATTCCTTGTCTGGCCTTCAGGTGCTTTGGAAAATAGCTTGACCCCGTTCCTCCTCTCTTTATATTCCATATAAAGATGGACTAGATGATCTACAAAATCCCTTCCAACTCTGTTATTCTGTTCCGTTCTGTTTCTTCTATGCATGTTTAACAAAGGCAATTTATTGTTTGGCCACGGCAAGACACACAAGGAACCATTAAAATCTCTCCCTCCTGTACAGTAGTGGCCAAAATTATGGAAACCTTTAGGGAAAAGTATATTTTTGAGGTTTGATGGCTAATAACACCACTTTTTTGGGGGGGGGAGTTCCAAGATAATCCTATTGCACTGCTGGAATGGCCTGGGAATAGCCCAGACCTTAACCCAATGGAAAATCTACGGAGCCGACTAAAGAAACTTGTTAGTCAGAAGTGACTCAGCAATAAAACCCAGTTAATAGAAGCCATCATTCAATCTTGGTTTCACATTATAACAGCTGCAGAACTAAAAGACTTGGTTCCCTCCATGGGAAGATGTTGTGAGGCTGTCATTCATGCTAAAGATTACCCAACGAAGTATTAACTGACATGGGGATAATTTTTGTATATCTTGTTTTTTCTATGGTGATAAGTTTTGTGTATCTCATTTTTTTCTACGTGTTTCACTTTTCTTCTTTATACTGTAACTGCCATTCTAATAGCAAACCCTTCATAAAAGTGATTGCATTACATTCTTGATTAAATTATCTTTCCATTGATATATAATTTTATGGCACTACTCCCCCCCAAAAAGTGGTGCTATTAGCTAGTTTTAGAAAATACACTTTCCCCAAAAGGTTTCCACAATTTTGACCCAATACTGTAGATTAAGCGAATTAGTAGCAGTGAATCGGTAGGAAAGATCAAACCACGAAAAAATCTTGCAAGCTGGAAACATTTATACTTTATACTTATAATTCTTTATACTGTAACTGCTATTCTAATAGCAAATCCTTCATAAAAGTGATTGCATTACCTTCTTGATTAAATTATCTTTCCATTGATATATAATTTTGTGGCACTACTCCAATTAAAAAAAAAAAAGTGGTGTTATTAGCTAGTTTTAGAAAATACACTTTTCCCAAAAGGTTTCCACAATTTTGACTACCCTACTGTAGATTAAGCGAATTAGTAGCAGTGAATCGGTAGGAAAGATCAAACCACGAAAAAATCTTGTAAGCTGGAAACATTTAAAAGCAATTTTCTCGTGATGCAAATCCTCAGTGTCTATTTACTTTTACCCTGAGGTTTGGGCAAGCGTATGAATCAGACCGAAGAAAGCTGGACAGCCCAATACAGACGTAGTAATTTTTTTTTTCTTCTCCAGACTCAACGGAAGGAATGTGGCACTTCCATTATAATTTACCTGCCTACATGTTCTCTGGCTCAGATGCTAAGTGGGCGTTTCGATCTGCGAGTGGCCAAAAAGGAAACACACGCTCACTTTTCTCCCTCAAAAAAAAAAAAAGGAAGATCCTGATGGGTTGAAGCACAAGACATTTTTGCAACCAGGGAGATCAACAGCCGATGCCATAAAAGGATTTTCTGGACGTAAGAGGATGCAGCCCCTGGGCATCGACGGACTTTGCAGGACATTCTTGGCTACGTCATCAATAAAAATAACCCTCTTGACAAGTGGCAGCAGACAAAACGTAAACCTCCAGAGGTAATTCCGGGGAGGAGAGAAAAAAAAAAATCTCTTGGAACATTTACATTTTAAAATATTTACGGAAGTATCATAACAGGAAGTGGATTTTTTTTTCTCCCTTAAATTGACTTGCATAAGAATGTTGAGGGCAAGTTTTGTTTCTTGCCCATCATATTGTACAGAGAGAAGAATGGGATGATATCTAAGAACAATTTAATGGGCTTAAACCACATTCCAGCCACTTCTAACGTCATGAGCCTGGTGTTCTGACCTAGGCTTCCCCAGCATCATGAAGCCAAGTCCTCGTCCTGATAAACCCCTTTTATTTCATTTACAGTGAATTCCTCTCCAGCAAAGTCTTTCCTCTCCCGCAGTCTTTCAAGATAGTTCACAATTACCAACCTTTATCAGGCTTGGAGAGTGGCCAGGCCGAGATCTTTCAGACTCCACACTGTAACCGACAATACTTGGCAATAATGCAGGAACAAATCTTCACCCAAATGAACTAATTGCCTCCTGCAAACTCCCCTCCGCTTCGCTCCTCTTTTATTCCCTCTGGGAGGGGCCATTCACTGTCCACCTGTGGCTTTACTCCTGAGTCGACCCTTGTTCCTTAGCTGTTCCCTTCTCCTGGCAGCTCTGCGCACGCGCACACTGGGAACAGGCTCCAGCTGTTCTTCTGCCTCACTGATATCTGACTCCAAAGGCAGCTGACAACTGTCAGGCGGCCTGGCCCCCTCTCAGCCCTCATCAGAGCCTTCCCCAGACTCCAGGACTGGCCCATGTTCCTCCCCAACCTCCCTCACTGTCCGAATCTGCTGCCAGATCTGCTGCCAGATCCGCTGGCGGGCCACAACACCTGGCTGTGAAGCAGAGGGAAAAGTCAGAGTGCTACTCTGAAAGATTATTGAAAACTCTGGATGCTTAATGTACTTACAAGCTACAGAGTTTATGGGCTACTGGATTTGAGTTCATTGCCTTGCTCTGATTCTCCAGCACCACCATTGGCAAGAGTTGGATGCAGCCAGGCAGTTTCATCAAGATTGTTTCTGAAACTGTAGCCAACAATCCAGAGCCATTTTTCTTTCTATCTTTCCACCCCTCTATTAATTTCAACTTTCCAGCGGCTTTTAATTTTCCCTCCCTGTTGCTATTTCTGATTCTAATTCCTGCTACAATCTGGTTTTTTACAATCTGTTGAGCAAAACTGGATGCAGTATTCCAGGTGTGGTCTTGCTTACTAATTACTGCATGCAGCTTGTCCTGCTTTCTATGTGGGTCCCTGTACCTCAAATATGAGAATGCTCAAGACATGTTTGATATGTAGGAGTCGAACTACATCAGCCCTATAAATCTGTTCTACATGATGGAGATGGGCAGGATTCCAGCTGGCCAGATGTTTGCTCTCTCTGGAGCATAATGAATGCCCTGAGATAATTTATGGGCAACAATTTGCAGAGAGAGTTGCCCTCTCTTCTCTAAAAAAGAAGAGGCAGAAGGAGCTAGATCCCTGTGAATCTAACTCCTTGCTGTTGATCTCAGAAAGCTGAGACAGATTTTGTGGCGTCTCGTTTTCCTAAAGTAGATTTCAAGCTTCCATCCATTGTGTCTTGTCCTGCCTTCAAGTGCTTTGGAAAATAAATTGACCCCCTCTTCTTTGTTCTTTTGGTTTTTTTTTTTCTTTTGAAGATATTTCGCTTCTCATCCAAGAAGCTTCGTCAGCTCTGACAGGATGGTGGGGAATGGAAGGATTTATATTCCTTGCAGACAGCTGGTCATTTGCATCCTCTAAAAGGAAGGAATATAAATAAATAAAGGAATATAAATGGAGGGAATATAAACCTTTCCATTCCCACAATGGAACGGAAGACACAATGGATGGAAGCTTGAAATCTACTTTAGGAAAACGAGAAGCTTCTTCGACAAGAAGCGAAACGTCTCCAAAAGAAGAAAAAAACAAGAAATGTCATTAGACTCCAGGATCATACTACCATATGTGGTGGACACGTAAAGAAGCTAAGAGATATTGGACTAAGATACACACATGGCTGGAAAAAATGATAAACACATTGACTTTAAACCAGAAATATTTTTATTAGGGATTTTACCAGAAATTCCGCCTTGAGTCTTCGGAGAAAGGCGGCATACAAGTTGAACAAACAAATAAATAAATAAATAAATATCCAATAGAGATTTGCAATATCTAATTGTAAATGTCTTAACAGCGGCTAGAATCGTATTTGCTAAAAATTGTAAAGGGGAGAAGTTACCTACTGATGATGAAGTCATTAAGAAAATTATGGAATGTACTGAAATGAGTAAATTGACATTTGAAATCAGAGAACAGGAAGATAAGACAATATTACTTGATATGGGATTTGTTTTATCAATGGATAGATAATAAAACATGGAGATGAAAGATGAGGTTGATGTAAAGATAAAATATGCGAAGTTCTTCCTTATGAGAAATAAGCTTTTGTGATAAATTGGTACAAGTTGGAAATGAGCTTAAGCACAAAATAATGTTTACCGATCGACACACTCTTTCAAATTGTATGGAATGATGAAGGTTTTATGTTTTGTTTTTGTTTTAAAATAAAATAAAAAATTTAAAAAATAAAGAAAGTCCAGTTGCCTCTTGGAAAAAAAAGAAACTTTGGGACAGCCATGAAACTGGATGGATTGAGAATCTCTGTAGAACAGGGGTGGGCAAATATGGCCCTTTTACAACCTGTGGACTTCAACTCCCAGAATTCCTGAGCCAGCTTGGCTGTCTCAGGAATTCTGGGAGTTGAAGTCCACAAGTCGTAAAAGGGCCATATTTGCCCACCCCTGTTCTATAGAGATTCTCATGACCTGTGGACTTCAACTCCCAGAATTCCTGAGACAGCCAAGCTGGCTCAGGAATTCTGGGAGTTGAAGTCCTCAGGTCATAAAGGGGCCATTTTGCCCACCCCTGCTATAGACTATGGACTGAGATATCCCATCTTTTCAAAACCAGGGTTCACACTAAACCCCGGAGTGAAAGAGTGGGAGCCACACATACACCCCCCCCCAAAAAAAGACCTTCCCCAACCCGAATCAAGGGGAAAAAAAATGATTAGAATTCAGATGTGAATGTTTCCCCAGGAGACTCTGAAGCCAGAGAAACCAGGCGGGGGGGGGGGTTGGGGGGGGGGCGAGGAGAGTGACGTAACCAGAAACCGCGCCTGGTAGTGTCTCCCGCCGCTTTCCGTAGTAGCCGGAAGTCCCCGCGGGAGGTCCGCTCTCCCACTTCCGTTTCCGCCGGTGGTGGTTATGGCGCGAAGGTGGGCTCGGGGGAAACCGGGGGTGGGGGAAGGGATGAGCGGGGTGTGGGGGGGGGAGATCGGGAAACGGGCGGCCGAGTCTTCCCCTATGACCGCTGCGCTTGCCCGGCAGGAGCGGCCGGAATGGGAGGGCGGCCCCTGAGGACCCGTTCCAGGAGGGCGACGAGGGTGAGTCGGGGGGAGAGAAAGGTGGGGGGGGAGGGGGGAGGGGCGGGGCGGGGGTCTCGGCGACGGCCTGACCCAAAGCCCCCCCTCTCTCCCCGCCAGCAGACGAGGACTTCGCCGCGCCGCCGAAGAAAGCTCGCCCCGCCGGGAAAAGGTGAGCCTGAGAGAGAGAGAGAGAGAGAATGTGAAGGAGGCTGTGTGGAATATGTATGGGTAGAAGGCTCCCTATGTGGTATATACGATTATATAAATATGTGGGTGTGTATTCAGAGAGAGAGAGAGAGAGAGAGAGATGGAATAATAGATAGATGGATCGATGATAGAAAGATGGAATGAGAGAGAGAGAGAGAGGGATAGAGATAGATAGATATAGATAGATGGAATGATAGATGGAATTATAGATAGATAGATAGATAGATAGATAGATAGATAGATAGAAAGAGAGATGATAGAAAGATGGAATGAGAGAGAGAGAGGGATAGAGATAGATAGATATAGATAGATGGAATGATAGATAGATGGAAAGATAGATAGATGGAATTATAGATAGATAGATAGAAAGATAGATAGATAGATAGATGGAAAGATAGATAGATGGAATAATAGATAGATGGATCGATGATAGAAAGATGGAATGAGAGAGAGAGAGGGATAGAGATAGATAGATATAGATAGATGGAATGATAGATAGATGGAAAGATAGATAGATAGATAGATAGATAGATAGATAGATAGATAGATAGATAGATAGATAGATAGATGATAGAAAGATGGAATGAGAGAGAGAGAGAGGGATAGAGATAGATAGGTATAGATAGATGGAATGATAGATAGATGGAAAGATAGATAGATGGAATTATAGATAGATAGATAGATAGATAGATAGATAGATAGATGGAAAGATAGATAGATGGAATGATAGATAGATAGATCGATGATAGAAAGATGGAATGAGAGAGAGAGAGGGATAGAGATAGATAGATATAGATAGATGGAATGATAGATAGATGGAAAGATAGATGGAATTATAGATAGATAGATAGATAGATAGATAGATAGATGGAAAGATAGATGGAATGATAGATAGATCGATGATAGAAAGATGGAATGAGAGAGAGAGAGAGGGATAGAGATAGATAGATATAGATAGATGGAAAGATAGATAGATGGAATTATAGATAGATAGATGATAGATTGATAGATGGAATGATAGATGGAATGATAGACAGATAGAGATAGAGAGATAGATGGAATGATAGAGAGAGATAGAGATAGAGAGATAGAGTGGGTGGATGGATGGATAGATATGGATAGATACAGATATATCCATATATATAGATGTGTGTGTATAGATAGATACACACATGCATAAATAGGTATAGATTATAGATACATGCATTATATATGTATATATATATAATACATCGGTATATGTGAGTGTATATTATACGTGAATATATATTTGTGTATGAATATATATGAGTGTATATATTGTATATGAATGTGTCTATATGTGTGTATGAATATATATGTACATATGTATATTGTATGTGAATATATATTTGTATATGTATGAATATATATGTGGGTGTATATACGTATGTGCACATATTTATGCATATATGTGTGTATACATATGTGTATATATTTGTGTATATGTATGAATATACATATATGTGTGTATTCATGTAAATATAGATATATAGAGATTAAATATAGATATATGCATATGTCCATGTGGTGTGTATAGATAGATAAATACACAGACACATGTAAATAGGTATAGATTATATATACATGCATATATGTATAGATAGATATCTGTGAGTGGGTATATTATACGTGAATATATATTTGTGTATATGAATATATATGAGTGTATATATTATATATGAATGTGTGTGTATGTATATGTATGTATATTGTATGTGAATATATATATTTTTATATGTATGAATATGTGTGTGTATATATGTATGTGCATATATTTATGCATATATGTGTATATACGTATACTTATGTGTATCTATGAATATATATTTGTGCATTTGTATGAATATACATATATATGTGTGTATTGTATATGAATATATGTGTGTGTGTATGTATAGTGTATAAATATGTATATATAGAATACATGTATGTATATTCTATATGAAAATATGTGTTTGTATATATGATGTATGTATACATATATGCATGTGTATAGTATATGAATGTATGTGTGTGTGTGTATTCATATCTCTAAACTACATTATTTATGATAATGATATTTGGTCGATTGCAAACTTGCCATGAACAGCAAGCAGCTGTTGAAAAGGAATTGCAGCCTTAGGATCCATCAGTCAAAATGTGGCTTCTAAATCATTAGAAATTGTGATGATGTCTCCCCTCCAAGTGTGAAAAAATACTGCAAAATTCCATTTGTAGCAGTTATCTCTTTAATATCAGCTACTCTACAAGATTTGCCCATTCTGTTAACAAGGACTTAGGATACCGAAGATTTGCTGTCTATTTTATTGGACCAGCTGGTTTAGCAAAGGTTATTCTGTTGTTGTGGGTGAACTTTAATGACATCATTTGTTTCTGATGTCTGTAGAATTTTGGGGTGGGTAGTGGCTGAACATTGGAGTGTCCTTTGCCCAACTGGGGGAAAAAAAATTTCTGCCTTGTTTTCTGTTTCAGAGTTCCCCTCGGTGAGAAACTTTTCCAGAGAGACTTGGAAGTTACCTTAGCCCTGTCATTGAATGAATATTTGGGAAACAAAGATAAAATTCGGAAAAAAGGTGATTCTGAAACTCTCAAGATAAAAATACCGTTTTTATGTACATCTTTTGCAGTAATAATACGTTATTTCTTGAAATTGTTTATTTCTTGCCTTCCTTTGAGCTGATAGAACAGTCAAGTTATACAGAAGGCAGCATGTTTCAGGTTTGCTACTCCTGCCAGTTGGGCTGCCTTTATCAGCATCCCTTGAAGTGAAGGTGCCAGGAACTCAGTCTGATACTGCACAGGGAAGAAATTTAATGTCCCCCGATGATTGTAAGCCTGAGTGAGAAGTCACAGTTTACTTGCAAGCGGCTGTGATGTATTATGAAAATGAATGTACTGTGTTTCCCTGAAAATAAGACCCTGTCTTATATTTTTTTGAACCCTGAAATAAGCGCTTGGCCTTATTGCCATGCACTCAAAAAGCCCAATTGGGCTTATTATCAGGGGATGTCTTATTTTGGGGGAAACAGGGTATGTATGTGCAAATTACCTCTTATTTGCAAGTGCATAAGACAGCCAGCATTCTCCATTATCTTCTTTCCACACGGACAATAACTTTTATATGAGTTAATTTCATGTTGAGTGGCCCAGAACTCTAGTCTCCGGGCCCGTACGTACGATGGTTTATTTCCTTCATCAAAATTCCCAATGTTGCTTAGCGAAAACATTCCAGTTTGGTTTACTGTCAGAGTGGTAGTGATTCATCAGTGAATGGAAGGTGGGTTAGACACTTTGAGCCCTTGCTATTGTACGGAGTGTAGGTGCCTTGTTCAGAATGGGTGCAAGAAAAAGCCCAGCAGAAACCACAGAGTCGTCTTTGTCGGAGAACATGGCCTCTGGCTCTCTCTTTTCTTCTGAAGCATTGTCTTCACTGTGTTGTGGCCCTCCAGCAGCAAGCGGAGCTGGCAGCAGATTCGGACAGTGAAGAGGTTGGGGAGGAACATGGGCCAGTCCTGGAGTCTGGGGAAGGCTCTGATAAGGGCTCTGCATCAGAGGCAGAGAGGGGGCCAAGGCCAGATGCAAGTTATCAACTGCCTTTGGAGTCGGACATCAAGTGGGGCAGAAGAACAGCTGGAGCCTGTTCCCAGTGTGCACATGCACAGAGTTGCCAGACGAAGGGAACAGCTAAAGAACAAGGGTCGACTTGGGAGTAAGGCCACAGGTGGACGATGAACGGCCCCTCCCAGAGGGAATAAAAGAGGAGGGAATAAAAGAGGAGCGAAAGGGGAGGGGAGTTTGCAGGAGACAATTAGTTCACTTAATTGGTTTGTGACTCCTTGCCAAGATTTGAAAAAATCGGCCTGGCAGCTCTCCAAGCCAGATAAAGGTCTGTGACTGTAAATTCTCCCTTGAAAGACTTTGCTGGATGTGAATGAGAAGAATTCACAGTAACTTAATAAAAAGGGTTTTTTGTCGGGACAAGGAGTCTGCTTCATGCTCTTGGGAAGCGTCAGTCAGAACACACTGTTTGATTTCAATTCTAGATGACCGTGCCGAACCGAAGGCAGCCGTAGAGGATTTCAAACAGGAAGCTGTGTTATCCACACCAGAGACGGACAACGATGAAAACTTACGTGCCAGTAAGATTGACCTGAAGGTGGCATGCAGCCTTCTTTCCCTAATATCATGCCCTAAATTTGCCTCTTGGGGTTTTCTCCCTTTTTTCCTCTTAAATTGCATTTACTTGAGAATACCTAGAACTGTAATGGCGAACCAATGGCACGCGTGCCACAGGTGGCACGCAAAGCCATATTGGTGGGCACACAAGCGTTGCCCTAGCTCAGCTCCAGCGTGTCTGCACACGCTGGCCAGCTGAATTTCGGGCCTTCTGGGCCCACCGGAAGTCGGCAAATGGGCTGTTTCCGGCCTCTGGAGGGCCTCCAGGGGGGTGGGGAAGGCTGTTTTCGCCCTCCCCAGGCTCCTAGAAAGCCTCGGGAGCCTCGGGAGGCGAAAAACGGGCCTATTGGGCCGACTGCCATCACATGCCAAAAGCGGGGGGATCACTGGGGGAGGTGTGACGCGCGCATATGCGGGGGGCAGGGCACATAGAATTATGGGTGTGGGCACGCATGCGCACAATCACCCCGCACTTCCCCTGCTTTTGGCACATGATGGCAAAAAGGTTAGCCATCACTGACCTAGAAGCTGATTGTAACTATGAGTAGAGTAGAGTAGAGAATAGAATAGAATAGAATAGAATAGAATAGAATAGAATAGAATAGAAGTCTTAATTGGCCAAGTGTGATTGGACACAAGGAATTTGTCTTTGGTCCCTATGCTCTCAATGTACATAAAAAGAAAAGATGCATTCGTCAAGAATCATAAAGTACAACACTTAATGATAGTCACAGAGAACAAATAAACAATCAAATCATATTAGGAAACTGTCAATATAAATCTTAAGGATACCAGCAACAAGGTTACAGTCATACAGTCATAAGTGGGAGGAGATGGGTGATAGGAACAATGAGAAGATTAATAGTAGTGCAGACTTAGTAACTAGTTTGACAGTGTTGAGGGAATTATTTGTTTAGCAGAGTGATGGTGTTTGGGGAAAAACTGTCCTTGTGTCTCGTTTTGGTGTGCAGTGCTCTATAGTGTCATTTTGAGGGTAGGAGTTGAAACAGTTTATGTCCAGGATGCGAGGGGTCTGTAAATATTTTCCCAGCCCTCTTTTTGACTCGTGCAGTATGCAGGTCCTCAGTGGAAGGCAGATTGGTAGCCATTGTTTTTTCTGCAGTTCTAATTATCTTCTGAAGTCTGTGTCTGTCTTGTTGGGGTGCAGAGCCAAACCAGACAGTTATAGAGGTGCAGATGACAGACTCAATCATTCCTCTGTAGAACTGGATTAGCAGCTCCTTTTTATGTGACCCTTTTATTTCACCGCATTTTTAAACTCAGTAATTTCATACAGACACACACCCAATATCGTCTTCTGAATCATTTTGAGCTAGCACAGCGAGTAGATTTCTATTCTAGAAAAAGATTTCCCTGCAAACAGAATGAAACAAGTGTGATGATATTAAAATATTTAGTGTCTCACTATGAAACTTTTGTGTTAAAAATCATCTCTTCTCAGTACCCTATTGTCAATATAGCAAACAGAAGTGCACCCTGGGCAAGTCACAAGGTTCCTTTTTTTTCCCCAAAAAAGGCAACTGGGCTTTGTTGTTGTTTTTTTTCTTTGAAAATGTTTCACTTCTCATCCAAGAAGCTTCTTCAGTTCTGGGCAAATATTGTATGCAATTAATCTGCATAGGAGGAATTATTTGATAACCATCCATCCATTCATTACTTTTTCAACTTTCAATCTCACGATTAGATCAGGAAAACTCTCAGCCACTTTTGGAGATTGAATTAGGTTCTTCGGAATCTGTTGGGAAGCCATTGAAAACCTCAAGCCCTTCAGTGGCCAAGAAGCCCAGCTGGACACCCCCAGGTATGTTCACACTGGTTCAGGATGACCCAGTCTCTCTCTCTCTCTGCCCTGGGCATTTGGGTTCAAGAAAGAAAGCATCTCGGGACATGCGATGGGGACGTTGTATGAGGCATTTCTCATTCCAGAGGATGGAGCACAGCTGGACCAGAAACCAAGGCTGTTGCCCCTGCCTTGAATCAGGAAGCTCTGGGAACCGGGGGTATTTTGGGGAGAAAAAAAATAGGTAAACAGTATGAGCTTTGGGGGATTAATCCTGAAAATGAGCTTATTCCTATTTATTTATTTGTATCCCACTTTTATTATTTTTACAAATGACTTAACGTGGAGAACATTTTTTTTTTAAAATTAGATTTATATGCCGCCCTTCTCCGGAGACTCAGGGCGGCTTACAGTGCGTTAAGCAATAGCCTTCATCCTTTTGTATATTTTATACAAAGTCAGCTTATTGCCCCCACAAACTGGGTCCTCAATTTACCCACCTTAGAAAGGATGGAAGGCTGAGTCAACCTTGAGCCTGGCGAGATTCAATCTTACTTTAATTTATTATTTACTTTACTTACTTTATTATTTACTATTAATTAGTTATTTGGTTTAAAATGGGATTTTATTGTACTTGTTTCTTAACTTGTGTTCACCACCCTGAGTCCTTCGGGAGAATGGCGGCATATAAATACATGCAATAAATAAATAAATAAATTGCAGACAGCTGGTGTTAAATTACAGTGCTTCTGTCTGTTGAGCTATCCAGGCTCAATACCCAACACACATACCCAACACACCTCCCTCCTCTTATTTCCCCCACAGCAACAACCCTGGGAGGTGGGCCGGGCTGAGCTGAGAGAGAGAAGGACTGGCCCAATGTCACCCAGCTTGCTTTCATGGCTAAGGCGGGACTAGAACTCACAATCTCCTACTTTCTAGCCTGGTGCCTTAACCACTAAACCAAGGGTCAGCAACCTGCAGCTCTGGAGCCACATGTGGCTCTTTCACCCCTCTGCTGTGGCTCCTTGTCACTCAAAATATGTGTCACAACCGCCAATGTGCGACACCTGCCGGCACGTGATTTATTGAGCTTTTCAACCCCGGGTAGGCCATCCATGGATAAATCCAAGAAAAGAAAAGTTTCAGAAGAAAACAGAACATTTAATTCAACTACATATGCTAGTTTTGTGGCCGCTCAAGAAATAGTCAGGCACGGGAAAGATTTTGTGGCTCCCGGTGTTTTCTTTTCTGTGGGAAACGGGTCCAAATGGCTCTTTGAGTGTTTAAGGTTGCAGACCCCTGCAATAGACCAAACGTATTAATGTGATTTAATAGGATTCTCACATTTGATTACCAACTGCTACCAAAAAAAAAAAAGTTGTAAAATCAGGTGAGGTCACGTGATGACTCCACTTAATGACTTAACACGATTTGCGACTCTAATTACGGGCTCAATTTTAGTTGTAAGTCAAGGACTACCTGTAAAGTATGGCAGCGGGATCTGGGGGGGGGGGCGGTGTCTATGAAAGTACCCCAGAATCTGTTGTGATGTACAGGTAGTCCTCGACGTACGACCCCCCCCAATTGAAGCCCAAAATTTCTGTTGCTAAGCGAGACATTTGTTAAGTGAGTGTTGCCCCATTTTACGACCTTTCTGGCCACGGCTGCTAAGTGAATCACTGCAGCTGTTAAGTTAGTAGCAAAGTTGTTAAGTGAATCTGCCTTCCCCATTGCGGTTGCTTGTCAGGTGGTGATCACAAGATCCCGGGACAACGCAACCGTCGTAAAGACATGCCAGTTGCTAAGCTTCTGAATTTTGATCACATGACCATAGGGATGCTGAAATGGTCATAAGCGTGAAAAACAGCTTTTTTCACTGCCGTTGTAGCTTGTGATGGCCACTAAATGATCTGTTGTAAGTCGAGGATTACCTGTTGTGAGTTTTTTTTTTGCATTTGTTTCAGGTGCATCTGGAAGCAAAACCAGCCCGTTGGGAAGAGCCCCTGTTAGATCACCAGTTCATGGTCTCCGCCTTGGCCTCTCCAGACTTGCCAAAGTGAAACCTTTGCACCCACCTTGTGCCGGTACCTAAGGTTGGCACGGGAAGGCTGCAGTTTGAGGTGGAACAGAGGAGAAATCCGTTTTTTTAAAATACAGAACCAGACGTGAGCAATAAAGGCATCCCAGTTTGGAAAAAGCTTTGCCTTTTAAAAATGGGTTCTGAAAAAAATGGAACTATTGTCCCTTAAAATACCCAGCAATAACGCCACGGGGTTTATTTATTGTTCCTCAAAAGATCTAAGTGATAATGCCACGGTTCCATCTTCTTTCCCTCAAAAGGGTTGGCCAATGAAACACAACCCAACCTTTCTAGGTTCGATCCCAGTTTGGCCAGTTCTAGCTTTTGAGGATTGCGTAACCAGCAACAGTGGTTCGGAGCATCTGTTGACCATGTAGAGCCGTGTTTCCCAACCGTGGCAACTTTTAAGAGGTGTGGACTTCAACTCCCAGAATTCCCCAGCCAAACCCTGGGGAATTTGGGGAGTTGAAGTCCACGGTTGAGAAACAGAATGTGTCTAGAGAATGTGTTTTAAAACCACTATGAAAGCAATGTTATTCCCTCCTTGATTTTATTTCTAATAGAAAACACAGTCATTGCCATCAGTTTACAGCTGTTGTTTGCCTGACCAATGAAATGCGGGTTCAGCTTCTAGTCCTTGCAGGCATTACTCGCTCTTTGAATGAGATACTGAATGTAGTGATCGAACGTATTTATCATCGCGACTTTAGACAATGAAATAAATTTTTTTTTTAGAAAAAACAAGCTAGGTGATTTCTATCTATTTTTACAACCAACTGTATTATAAGTTACACAGAGAGACAACAAACACAAAAAAATAAAAAATTGGGGGCAAGGACTCAAAAAGGGAAACGTTAAGTGAGGGGGGGAAATCGTTTTTAAAAATCGACTTCTGACTTAAGTTTGGACAAATACAGTCAAGTTTCCTTTTAAAACCAAACCAAAGCATAAAAATATATATTTGAATATTTTTCTAATCAATCACAATAACAATTCTATAAAAAAAACAACCTATTCCTATTTAAACAAACATAAAATATACAGTGGACACATAGAACAGCCAGAATGAAAATACGCAATGTTTCTATAAAAACTGATTCAATCATCAAATCCTAAAGTCAGACCTTTTATCTTTCTCGAACAAGAAGTCTAGCCTCCATATAGAAACAGATAGATAAGAGAGAGAGAGAGAGAGATAGACAGACAGACAGACAGGAAGGAAGGAAGGAAGGAAGGAAGGAAGGAAGGAAGGAAGGAAGGAAGGAAAGAAAAAAAAAGAAAGGGATGGATGGATGGATGGGCGGGTGGATGGACGGATGATGGGTAGCGGGTAAGTGATAGGTGATATAGATAGATGACAGATAAAGATGATAAATGACAAATGACATATAGGATAGATGACAGATGATAGATGACTGATAGAGATGGCAGAGATAGATAGATACCATAGATCCGTGATTGCAAACCTATGACATACATGCCATAGGTAGCATGCAGAGCCCTTTGTGGCCATGCGAGCCATCGCTCCAGCTCAGCTCCACCGCACATGTGCATGCGCCTCCTGCCAGTCAACTGGTTTTTGGGTCTCTGCGTGGGGCACAAGTGGGAGATGGGCGTGCATGCATGGGTGGGCGGGTTGCATGCATGGGAGGTTACGCATGCACGGGTGCACGTGAGGTCATGTGCATGTGTGGGGGCATGGGCCGCATGTGGGGGGGTCACGGGCACGCACGCGCATTGCATTATGGGTGTGTGCGCGTGAGCGCTTTCAGCACTTGGCGCCGAAAAGGTTAGCCATCACTGCCATAGATAGATGATAGGTGACAGATGATAAAAGAGATGACTGATAGATGGTAGACAAATGACAGATAGAATACAGTGATAGAAATACATGTACTATAAAACCCAATTTGCAAAAAACACACAGTTTTCCCAACAGGCCGCAAGATGGCGGCAGTTGTGGCAGAATTATACTGTAATTCGTAGGCTTTACAAATTTCAGTTCAGAACTTAATTGAAGAGAAAAATCTTCGGGAAATATTCGTGGGCGGAGAGAGAAAGTTAGGGGTAGTAAAGCTTCATGAGACACTAGTTTGTATGGGGTTTGCACTGTGAAGTTGCTGGACCAGGAGCACAGCCCCACCCCACCCCAGCCATGGAAGCACCTTCGAGGTTTTAGCTCAGACCCTCAGTGTCTGCCCTATGCACCTCCCAGGCATCTGCTCCTCAACCCCCTGTATCAAAGAGGACTAGAAACCTAGTAAAAAAGAACAAAATAGTGGGGGGGGAATAGTTCCCGCTAAAAGGCAAACTCCTGAATAAAACAACTTTGTGACAACTGACGTCCGAAGTAAAGTCCCTGCTGAGGGAATTCCAGTCATTTTTCACAGAAAACCTTGCCGCTTTTTCTTCTCTGACACAAAATTCCCGGAGTGAGGTTCGCCCTGCCTTTGTTTTTCCCTCTTCCGAGGGCTGGCCTGGCCTAGGGCAATGTCTGGGGACCGATCCCCTAAGACAAGAGAAAGTGAAAAATCAAATAGCAATAGCGCTTAGACTTATATACCGCTTTACAGTGCTTCACAGCCTTCTCTAAGCGGTTTACAGAGTCATCCTCTTGCCCCCCCGACAATCTGGGTCCTCATTTTTACCCACCTCGGAAGGATGAAAAGCTGAGTCGACCTTGAGCCTGGTGAGATTCGAACTGCCGAATTGCAGTCAGCAGACGTAGCCTGCAGTACTGCACTCTAACCGCTGCGCCACCACGGCTCATGGTTCAGCCTCTACTATGCTTGTAGGCCTCTCGGAGTCGCATGGCAAATAGATTTGATAAAAAAGTTAGTAACAATTATAACGGGCACCTCCCAAAACATAACGGAACAACCAGCGGCATTGACAAATTCACCAGCACATCAATTGCGAAAGGCAGCTGTACTCCGAACAGCTTCCATCTTGAGATGGTACCATCCAAAATCCACACCTCTGCCTATCCCAGGTCCTCTGCCTATCCCAGGCCTATCCCTGTCCCAGATTCAACCTTTTCATAAGCCCTACAGCCCCTAGAACAGGGGTGTCGAACTCGAGGTCCGTGGCCCGGATTTGGCCCACGGGGTGCTTAGATCTGGCCCACAGTGCCTCTGCTAGCAAAAATGGAGCTCTGTTCTGCCCCAGCTAGGGACCACAAAGAACGCAGCACACATAAAGTCCGTACAAACCTTAGTTTACTAACTAAGGACTACTAATGAGCTTTCTTAGTAGTTGTTCAAACACAAGTACAGTTTAAATCAGTCTTTTCTGAACAAGGGCAGTTAATTTAACTTCATTAACAGCCGACAAGAATCCAAGAATAATAATTCAATTCTGAGGCACAGTCTTTCAGATAACCGTAAGCTTACTGTGGTTGGCAGAATGCCCAGAAGCAATTTGCAGGAAAAATGACGAGAGAAGCAAGAGCCGATCAGACCTTTCTCGAGTCAATACACGAAGGAATATTAACGAAGTTGTTTTCTGCAAATTGCCTCAGTAGTAGTCCTTCCTTAAATAGGCTAAGGGACTGGCCAATTAACCCCAAGCCTTACTCTCGAGGAGACCTCCTCCTGAGGAGCCACTCCTGCCTTTTGGCAGCTCTGCGCACCTGTGCATTGAGAAGAAGCTCCTCTTCTTCCTCTTCACTTAAGGGAGCTTCTGGAGGTTCTGAAGGCCCTGGCTGAATCCCTGCCTCTGGCACCACATCTTCTCCAGCCTCCTCATTGTCAGACTCGGGCGCCAGCTGCACAGGCTACTGGCGAATCACACCAGTCTCCTTGCTGTCAGAATCAGCTACCAGCTGCACAGGCCGCTGGCGGGCCACAAGAAGCTCAGAGGGGCTGCATGCGCCCCCCCCCAGAGCTCCGTTTTCACTGGCAGAGGTTGCAGGAGACCTCCAGGATGAAATTGGGGTGCGGGGGGGACGGACGGACTGTGCACACACACACCGAGCTCCATTAAACTAAAAACAAAAGGAGAAATGTTTCCCTTTTGCATTTCAGCATGCAAGAAGGGACAGGAAAGGAGAAAGGGAAAGAGGAAAGACAAAGGAGAAGATGGGAAGAGAGCAAGGAAGGAAAAATAAGGAAAGGGGGGGGAAGGAAGAAGAAAAGATAATGAAGAGGGAAGGAAAAAGAAGGGGGAAGGAAGGAGATTATAATGAGAGTGAGGGAGGGTCTCAGGGACCACAGGTGCCCCCGACCTGAGTCCTGTGTCCCGCCCACCATGGCCATGCCCCCGGCCACGCCCCCCCAGCCCTCCGAGATCAAACACAACCCTGATGCGGTCCTCAATGAAATCAAGTTTGACACCCCTGCCCTAGAATAAATTATTCCTCTCCTCCAAGTTAAAAGGAAAGCTGGTATATTCAGCTGCAGCATCCAGATCACCAGCAGATGGCAGCAAATCCTGACTCTTTCTCTCTTTGCTGCCATCTAATGGTGGTTCAGGGCTCTGCATCCCAGATAGGTAGCCTTCATTCAGAGAATTCTGTCTTTTCTTTCTATTGTGAGATCATGTGTTCTCTTTTTTTTCCCCCCTTCATGAACAAAGCTTCTCTAATTCTTTCAATCCAAATATTTAAAGAAAGGGGTGCTAGACAAGCCGCCTTTGCTCCATCTTCCTCCTCCCTTTCCTAGGCTTCTATAACCCCAGCCTACCTGATCTAATGCCTTTTTTTTTTAAAGGGAGCAAACATAGGAGGAATTCTTCAAACATGTCATGCTGTCTAAATATTAATTCTTTCCATCAGCTTAGTTGATAGATTTGCCTGGCTAGAAAAGCTGCTAAGCTAGAAAAGAAGTTCCTAGTCAGGTGTAAAGAATACAGAATAACAAGAGTTGGAAGGGACCTTGGAGATCTTCTAGTCCAGCCCTCTGCTCAAGCAGGAGACCCTATACCATTCCAGACAAATGGCTGTCCAATCTCTTCTTAAAACCTTCCAGTGACGGAGCACCCATAACTTCTGGAGGCAAGCTGTTGATTAACACCCTGTTAATTCTTCTCACTCTGATAAATTTTCTCCTTAATTCTTGGTTCTTTAATAAGTTTCCATCTGTTACTTCTTGACTTGCTCTCAGGTGCTTTTGGAGAGTAGGTCAACCCTCTCTTCTCTGCAACAGCCCCTCAAATATTGGAAGACTGCTATCATGTCACACACACACACACACACCCAAGTCCTTCTCTTCATTAGATAAGACATTCCCAGTTCTTGCAGAGTTCATCGTGCGGTTTATCTTCCAGAGTCCTAATTATCTTGGTTGCTCTTCTCTGCACACTCTCCAGAGTCTCCTCAACTTTTTTTACATCGTGTTTTGACCAAAACTGGACAGAGTAGCGGTCTGAACTCCTGCAATATAAAACGGTGCTAAAACTTCACGTGATCTTGACACTATCACACTGAAGCTTTGTCCCTTCGTCCATTGCAGGGGCTGGATCCCTCTGGGGACGGCCTACAGCTCAGGCAAACAAGAGAATAGAATAACGGGACCCTGGAGGTCTTCTAGTCCAACCCCCTGCTTAGGCAGGAAACCCTACACCACTTCAGACAAAGGGTTGTCCAATCTCTTCTTAAAAACTTCCAGTGTTGGAGCACTTGCAACTTCTGGAGGCAAGTTGTTCCACTGATTCATTGTTCTAACTGTCAGGAAATTTCTCCTCAGTTCTACATTGCTTCTCTCTTTGATTAGTTTCCATCCATTGCTTCTTGTCCTGCCCTCAGGTGCTTTGGAGAATAGCTTGATTCTCTCTTCTTTGTGGCAGCCCCTGAGATATCGGAACACTGCTATCATGTCACCCCTCGTCCAGGGGTGGGTTCTACTTACCTTTACTACCAGTTCGCAATGGGAGAGGACACGCATGCACAGATCGTCCATTATGACGTCTGGGCGGGTGGGCGGAGCCTCCCACCGCTTTTACTGCCGGTTCGCAAGAACCGGACAGAACCAGGAGCAACCCACCACTGCTCTAGTCCTTCTTTTCATTAAACTAGACATACCCAATTCCAGCAACCGTTCTTCATATGTTTTAGCCTCCAGTCTCCTCATCGTCTTTGTTGCTCTTCTCTGCACTCTCTCTAGAGTCTCTTTTTTACATCGTCGCAACCAAAACTGGATGTCATATTCCAAGTGTGGCCTTACCAAGGCATTATAAAGTGGTATTAGCACTTCACGTGATATTGAATTTTAGAAAACGTAGCTCTTCCAGATAGCAGATGGAAAAGAGCTCAACAGGGCCCTTCGAGGCTGTGGGATAATACGGCCTTTTAAGGCAGCTGCATCGTCCACCACCAGGCATTCCTACTCTGGAGGGTTACATCACAGACCCTGCCATCTACAAAACTCCATTGGCCACCTCCCATTGTCTCCCATTGTTATCTCAGAATGCAGCAAATATTAGGTGATGGGGGGAGCTCACAACTGGGAAAGGCTGCAATGGGAGGCCACCGTTTTGATTGGCGTCAGTGGTAGCTGACCCACGTCTGCTTCTGTGGAGCCGGATGTCTCTGTGAATACCCGGGCCCATGGGAAAGCCCCCCAAAAAGAAATTGCCACTCCCCGAGCAAAATATCCAAAGATCTGCTGTGGAGCACAAGTTGGAAACCGGGGACTATCAGGAGCCGAGTGCCGTGGCTTGTCCTAATCCTTCCGGGGCTCCCCCTGTGGAAGTCGGTGACCCCTTGGAAATTTCATGGAAGACTTTCCTCTCGGTCCTGAGGTCCATGGAAGAATGCTCAGAAAATATGAGGAATTCGTTGGTGCCGCAGTTCATCACTTCCCAGCCCGTCCTGCCCAGGTGCGGGGAATGCAGTGGTGAAATCCAAATATTTTTTTACTACCGGTTCTGTGGGCGTGGCTTGGTGGGCGTGGTGTGGCTTGGTGGGCGTGGCTTGGTGGGCGTGGCAGGAGAAGGATACTGCAAAATCTCCATTCCCACCCCACTCCAGGGGAAGGATACTGCAAAATCTCCATTCCCACCCCACTCGGCCAGCCAGAGGTGGCATTTGCCGGATCTCCGAACTACTCAAAATTTCCACTACCGGTTCTCCAGAACCTGTTGGGTTTTACCCCTTGTAGATTTCAACCAAAGTACAGTAGTGGCCAAAATGGTGGAAACCTTTTGGGGAAAGTGTATTTTCTAAAACTAGCTAATAACACCACTTTTCTTTTTGGAGTAGTACCGTAAAATTATATATCAATGGAAAGAGAATTTAGTCAAGAATGTAATGCAAGAACTTTTATGAAGGATTTGCTATTAGAATGGCAATTACAGTATAAAGAAGAAAAGTGAAACACATAGAAAAAATGAGATATACAAAAATGATCACCATGTCAGTTAATACTTAGTTGGGTAACCTTTAGCATGAATGACGGCCTTACAACGTCTTCCCATGGAGTGAACCAAGGCTTTTAGTTCTGCAGCTGTTCTAATGTGAAACCAAGATTGAATGATGGCTTCTATTAACTGGGTTTTATTGCTGGGTCGTTTCTGACTAACAAGTTTCTTTAGTCGGCTCCATAGATTTTCAAATGGGTTAAGGTCTGGGCTATTCCCAGGCCATTCCAGCAGTGGAATAGGATTATCTTGAGAGTCCCCCCCAAAATGGTGTTATCAGCCATCAAACCTCAAAAATACACTTTCCCCCCAAAACGTTTCCACAATTTTGGCCACTACTGTACACGAATAATCAAAGGGACTTTTTTTCCCACTTTACCTGGGCATTAAGGTCACAGTGATTGGCCATGTTTTGGGTTCTAGCCTCCTTCAAGAGAGAAGGATATGGGTTTTGGATGCATTCAGTAAATTACTATTTGAGGCATACTATTTGAGCTTTGGTGGCACAGTGGTTAGAGTGCAGTACTGCAGGCTAATTCTGCCGACTGCCGGCTGCCTGCAATTTGGCCGTTCAAATCTTACCAGGCTCAAGATTGACTCAGCCTTCCCTCCTTCCGAGGTTGGTAAAATGAGGACCCAGATTATTTGGGGACAATATGCTGACTCTGTAAATCACTTAGAGAGGGCTGTAAAGCACTGTAAAGCAGTATATAAGTACTATTGCTGTTGCCAAGACCTTACCATTGCAAGTTTGCTTTCATATATAAATATATATATTTATGAGATGCATCCCATAGCTGGCAAGGTTTAGGAGCGGGACAGCTGATTTCCTTACAAGGCAGGAGTAGCATTCAAACATAGTTTAGAGAAATGGACTGAAATCAGGGGTGGGATGCTGGGGGTTTACAAGGGTTCGGGAGAACCTCTATCTAAGATTCTGTGCAGTTCGGAGAACCCCCAAATCCCACTCCTGGCTGGCCCCGCCCACCCCGCCCCTCCTAGGAGTCCCAACATGGCCCGTTTTGGATGCAGGTAAGTACAGGAGGTTCGGGGAGGGTGAAAATCCGGCCTACCGGAAGTTCAAGAAAGCAGGAAACAGGTCCGTTTCCGGCCTCCAGAGGGCCTCTGGAGCCCGGGAAGGCTGTTTTTGCCCTCCTAGAGGCTCAAGGAAAACCTCCGGAGCGCAAAAATGCCCCCTCCTGCTGTGGTGCAGGAGGCCGACTAGGCCACACCTACCATGGCCACACCCACCCAGCAACCGGGCAGAGAACCCCTTGCTAAAATTTTTGAAGCCCTCCCCTGACTGAAACCACAGGATGAAATGGAACAGAAGTGAGTTAAAAAAACAACAACCCGCTTCTCAGAAAACCAAGACACAGGTCGATAATGGATAGACTCGGTGATGTCTGCCTTGGTAACGATATTTTGGAAAGGCAGAGAAATAGTAGCATGCAAATTTTTTTTATGAGCTGGTTGTTTGTTGGGGTTGCAGAAATGGTAACTATAAATGCTTTTTAAAGCAGCTTTTGCGGGCACTCCATCACTCCATCACGCGATCCGGATAGATCCAGCTGAATTTCACCACTGAAGAACATACATTTACCAGATGCTCTTTTTTTGTGTGTGGTGATTGGGGTGAGCCGTCAATGGCCCCTTGGTCTCCTGACTCTCCCGGCCACACCAATCCATTTCTGACACTGACCCATACTTGAGAGTATTTCCAGAAGTGACGAAACCTCTCCAAAGGCCCTCAGTTTTTCTCCAGAAACAATGCTTTAAAATGTTTCTTGGCTGCCATATTTATGGTAGGCAAGTTCTATCTTCCATCAGTGACCAGCAGTGAAAAGGGAATAATAATAACAACAACAACAACAACTTTATTGTCATTGTCCCTGTATACACAGCATTCCCATACAACAAATTCACTTAATACCCAAAGACCAGGTCCGACATACACAACAATCCCCAAACACACTTCCACCCACCACAAATTCCCCACCCCTAAACCACCCAAACATCCACACAACAGACCAAGTAATGCTGTCCAACAGCTCACTGATGGTGGCCCTTTAGTTCATGGTTGAGTGCAATTATAACTCTGGGATAAAAACTATTCAGAAAATGTGTGGTCCGAGTTTTAATTGTCCTGTATCTTCTGCCAGAAGGCAACAGTCCAAAAAGATTGTAAGCAGGATGGGAAGAGTCTCTGAGAGAGTTATACAACTTTCTCAAACAACGAGATTCGAAGATGTCGTCCAGGGCTGGTAGCTGGAGTTTGATGATGTTCTGGGCAGTTTTAATGATTCTCTGTAGAGCCTTTTTGTCCGCTACAGAGCTGCTCCCATACCATGCAAGAATGCCGTACATCAGGACACTCTCAATGGTGCTGCGATAGTAGGACAGAAGTAGATGCTGAGATAGATTTATCTTCCTGAGCATTATTTCTAAAATAAATGTAATACAAGAGGAGGTGAAAGCGAACAGCTTTACCAGGCTGACCTCTGGAAAATGAAGGGCTTGTGACAGGATTGCTGTTTTGAAAGAATTGTCTCGTCTCACCTCACCTCACCTCACCTCATCTTACCTCACCTCACCTCACCTCAAGATTTCATTTCATTTCATTTCATTTCATTTCATTTCATTTCATTTCATTTCATTTCATTTCATTGCACTGTAACAAAGCACCCTGTATTGTAGAAAATAAAACACACCCTTTCAAAAAAGCCAGCCTGAGGCTCAGCATGTAAAGTGCCTTTTTTTTTTAAAGAGGTTCTTCAAATTATTTTTAATGTGTTCGCGTGGCGAGCACATCTCACAGTTCCCAATCCCTTATTCTATTTTATTTGGTCATAAATGATGCTTTAATGTTGCTCCTTGAGGCGTTTGATTTTTATTTATTTTTTTTAACATGACAAAAGTCATTTCATCTGCTACAGCTGGAGGAAATAATACCCTAACTCTGTATTTTGAAAAATAAGATTTTTTTAAAAACATGACATCTCATCTGCTACAGCTGGAGGAAAGAGTATCCTAACCCTGCATTTTGAAAAATAAGGTTTTCTTCAATGTTTGTAATGTAATCATAATTCTACTGTGGTTTTTCTCCAGAAAGAAGATTAGTGCCAAGCCTGAAAAAATTAGGAAAGGACGATCAAGTGCTCTCCCGGTTATACTGAAACCTGGTGAAAAACCCAACCTTCTAATCCAAAAGGTGAGCAAAGGTAATTTTAAGTAGTTGTGTTGTGGCCTATCGGCCACCAGCCAGGATTGAAATCCAACAGGTTCTGACAGGTTCTGGAGAACCGGTAGTGGAAATTTTGAGTAGTTTGGGAAACCGGCAAATACCACTTCTGGCTGGCCCCAGAGTAGGGTGGGAATGGAGATTTTGCAATATCCTTCCCCTGCCACACCCACCAACAGAACCGGTAGGGAAAAATTTTGGATTTCACCCCTGAGTTTGCCTAATTATCCCAAGGTCAGTGATAAACTGTAGAATGGTGTTTTGAAGAATTTGCTTTAATTTAGTTTGGACTACGCTGAGAATGAGTTAATTCTCAGCTGTTCTAATAAAGTCTGTTTGTTTTTGAACCGTTTGTATTTAATACTAACTACTTGGGCCTGGGTCACAACACAATTCGGCAGTTCGATCCTGACCAGCTCAAGGTTGACTCAGCCTTCCATCCTTCCGAGGTCAGTAAAATGAGGACTCAGATTGTTTGGGGCAAGAGGCCAACTCTATAAACTGCTTAGAAAAGGGCTGTAAAGCACCATGAAGCGGTATATAAACCTAAGTGCTATTGCTATTGCATCCTATGTATTCTGAACACAGCTATCCGATGTTCTTCAAGTCTATAAGTATTTCTCAACTTACAATCATGCATATAATGACCATTTGAAGTTACAACAACACTGAAAAATTAGTTTACAACTAATCCTCGCATGTAGGACAGTCATAGCATCCGCAGGGTCCTGGGATCAAAATTTGGGGGCTTGACAATTAGCATTTTGCAACCCTTTTTTAAGAGTATTGCTGCAGTAGTGAGCTATTTTTTTTGTTCAGTGTTGTAGTAACATACAGACTAACCAACATAGAAACATGGTCTTCTTAATTCAGGCCAGAACATGGCCAGAGGGCTTGGCAGGTCTGCAGGTTTCTTTGCCAGATTTGACCAAGAGATTCTTGGTTCAAACTTCCAAGGGCAGAGAACAAAATGGCGGCACCTTCTCATGACAGGTAGGAAAAAATGACGGAAGACACAATGGCGTCCCATGGAAGGTTTGTAGCAGAAAGACACCTCGAAGGAGGCCAGGAGACGACACAACCCAAGCTCCTCCAGCAGTTCCTTTGAACAAAGTTTTGAAAATGTTACCGCTCGGTCATTTTGACGCATTGTACTTTCTCTTCTTCTACTAGGAAAGGGAGCTGAGTGCCACTGTTCACAATTCCAAGCCAGATGGAGGAAAAAGTAGAATTGGATCAGGACACGTCGATCCCTGCGGTGAGGCGATTTTGAATCACGAATGCATCGAGATAATACACTTTCATTTTTAACCTTCCCTAAATGTTTTGAATCATCGAAGGCTTCGGGTCCCCCCGAAGTGATTATTTTTTGGTTCCATGGGGAACAAAAATGAGAATCTCACAGTCCTAAGCATAATTAGTATTTCCAAGCATGCCTTTGGGCTCTGTATGATATATCCTGAGGCATTTTACCCTAGTAATGCCTCAGGACATTGTATAGAGCAGGCATCCTCAACTACGGCCCACGGGCCAAATATGGCCCGCCAATGCAAAGTATCTGGCCCGCAGAGTGGTGTGATTAAGCCCCGTCCCTCACTATGAGGGCCAGCTGTGGGGTGATCTTGCGGTGCAGCCTTGAAAAGCAGTTCTGGACTTGTAAAGTACTGCTTTAAATTACAAGTCTTTGAAAACAATTTAAACAGAAGCGTAGGAAGGAGAAAGGCAAAAAAAATGGACTGTTAAATTGGCCATGCCCACCCAATCACATGACCACCTAGCCACGCCCACCCACCCAATCCGGCCCCCCCCAATAGTCTGAGGGACTGTGAATCGGCCCCCTGTTTAAAAAGTTTGAGGACCCCTGGTATAGAGCCAATTTGGTTGAGCGGTTAAGGCACCAGGACAGAGAGCAGGAGGCCATGAGTTCAGGTCTTATCTTAGCCATGAAAGCCAACTGAGTGAACTTTGGACCGGTCATTCTCTCTCATCCCAACCCACCTCACAGGGTTGTTGTTGGGAAAATAGGAGGAGGAAGCTGTGTTTTTGATACGTTCCCCATCTTGAGTTATAATAGATAGATAGATAGATAGATAGATAGATAGATAGATAGATAGATAGATAGATAGATAGATGCCGATCTGCCTTTGCCTTTGCCTTAACCTTGTTCTTGTTGTTGTTAGTTGAGAAGTCATGTCTGACCCATTGTGACCCTATGGACAATGTCCCTCCAGGCCTTCCTGTCCTCTACCATCCTCTGGTCCATTTAAGCTCACGCCGACTGCTTCAGTGATTCCATCCAGCCACCTCGTTCTCTGCCATCCCCTTCTTCTTTTGCCCTCAATCGTTCCCAGCATTAGGCTCTTCTCCAGTGAGTCCTTCCTTCTCATTAGGTGGCCAAAGTATCTGAGTTTCATCTTCAGGATCTGGCCTTCTAAAGAGCAGTCACGGTTGATCTCCTCTAGGACTGACCGGTTGGATGGCCTTGCAGTCCAAGGGACTCGCAGGAGTCTTCTCCAGCACCAGAGTTCAAAGGCCTCCATTCTTTGGCGCTCAGCCTTCCTTATGGTCCAACTTCCACAGCCACACATTGCAACTGGGAAAACCATAGCCTTGACTATACTCACTTTTGTTGGCAGGGTGATGTCTCTGCTTTTTAGTATGCTGTTTAATTTTGCCATAACTTTCCTCCCCAGGTGCAAGCTTCTTTTAATTTCTTGGCTGCATTCCCCATGTGTGGTGATCTTGGAGCCCAGGAAAATAAAATCTGTCACTACCTCCATTTCTTCCCCTTAATCTTAACCTTAACCTACCAAAATAAAATAAGGAGTGGCTGCATCCTAAACTTTATTCAAAGATGTCTTCAGCTGCTGAGAAAAACAAAGTTAGAAAGAAGAGTCCAAGCAGTCATTCCAACAGCTTGCCCTATGGGAATCTTCTTTTTTGCCGAGGGAAAAGTGATAATTCCTTAATTGCACCCCAAAAGTTAATATATTAGTATAGCCCCAATTCATTCATTCGTTCGTTCGTTCGTTCATTCATTCATTCAAAAAAGTATCTTTTTAAATGTAAATCACAAAAAGACAATATTTTAGGTAAGAAATAGTAAAATGGCATCCAAAACTCCCTGGTTTATAACATTTAAACCTCACAGAATCATCAAGCCTGGTCTGAGTTTGAAATAGGACTTGAGTTTGGAAAAGTCCATAATTTGGCCCAGCAAAGTGGAAGATCATTTGTTTAAAAAAGTATCTCATCTGAAAAAAATAATAATAATGTGCATGAAAAAAAAAAAGAATGTTCTCTGGATTTGCGATGTAGACAATATCAAATATCTCTTCATTTGAATCTCAACATAAATGCTTGTAATACTTTCCAATTTTGAGGAAAAAAAGGAAGGCTGTTTTAAAGGGCTTCTGGGTTCATTAAAAAAAAATCTCGAAATCTAGATCGAAATCTCCAGCAGAGAAACGATGAAAAATTTCAGGGCTCTTTTTAATGGGGTGATTAAAAATTAATCAGTTAATGTGGCAGTTTATTTTTAAGCAAACCTGTGTAACGTTTAATGGAGCAGCTACAGTAACTGTTTCCCCTCTCTCTCTCCCTCTCTCTCTCTCTCTCTCTCTCTCTCTCTCCCTCCCTCCCTCCCTCCCTCCCTCTCTCTTTCTCTCTCTTTTTAAAAACAGGAAAGACTCCTAAAGGAGACATATGTTATACAGCAAGCAAAACCAAGTTAGAACCAACATCATGTGAGACGAGTTACACCCAAATAGGTTTGGTAAGCAATTACATTTATCAGTTACATACCTGACCAAGTGTTTAAGTGCTTTTTAAGCTATTCCACTACAAGCTCTACAAATTTTCACGAGGACAAAATAATGCAAACTATATAGAACATAGAATAATAGGGTTGGAAGGAAACATGGAGGTCTTCTGCTCCTATCTCCTGCTCAAGCCGGAGACCCTATACCCATGATGGCTAACCTGTACCTTTTAAAATGAGGACCCAGATTGTTGGGGCAATATGATGACTCTGTAAACTGCTTAGAGAGGGCTGTAAAAGCACTATGAACTGGTAATATAAGTCTTAAGTGTCAGCATTCTGATGCTGCCATAAAAAGACGAGGCTTGACTTTTCACCTACTTATTTTCTCTGTAGATAATATCCCCTAGGAGATGGGATGGTGGGGGGAACATTCCTGCGGGGTGAGGTCAGAAGCTGGGGAGACTGACTTGGAAGATGGCCAATGAGAAGATGAGAATTGGGGAACGGAAAGGGAAGGGTTTGGGGGTCAGAGGGTTAGTATTGGCTACGACAAAGTCGGGGCCAGATCTGTCGTACTCAATAAATGGAATATTTCAGCAAAGATTAATTGTTTGGGAGTGCAATTTATTTGAGATGACTTCGAAACCTGACACTAAGTGCTATTACTATTAAAGGTTGAAATATATTTGGTTTATCATCGCAGCCTCTACCAGAGCCTAAAACCTTAGTCCAAAAACAGAGGGAGGTGCCAACTTTAATTTCCCAAGAAAACACATCTCTAACTCACAAATTCAAGAAAGGAAACATAGGACTGTCAAATTCTAAGGTGAGTATTCAGATTAAACTACCCTCCTATTCTTTAAGTGAGAAATATTCACGAAACCTGAATGGTTTTCATGTGGTGATTTTCCTTTTCTCCATAAATATTTCAATTTAGAGAAATCTGTATCATTGTCAATACAAGATCCTCTCTTCTGCCTATAAAAAAATGATTTTTGTTTAGATGCAAAAGTAGTTCTTAGATATAGGTAGTTTATACAGGTCGTTACCATTCATTTAGTTCATGAGCCACAAGCCAAACTTCAAAAGAAATACAGTCATTTATTAGGAGCACCATTTCGGCAATACACGGATGCAGTTAGAACTAATCCCACGTAGATTTACGTTCCCCTATGACCCTGTCTCTCTCCTCCTCCCTGGCCATGTCATAAATCATATTCTCCAATTAACCACTTTGGCTGGCTGTGAAATCCAACACCCTCCTTCTGATTGCGGTCAGGAAGAATGTATGGAATGCACTTCAGTTAGGGAAATCAATCAGCTCCATCAGTTCTCCCTCCCTCCTGCTCATGGCAACTTGAAAGCTTTGCAAATTGACACGGGGCAGGTAGGCAGGCCCTCGCTGCTACCGGTTCGCCTAAACCGGTGCGAACCGGCTGAATAACATCTGTGTTTAGTGACCATTCGAAATTACAACGGCACTGAAAAAAGTGATTTTATGATTTTTCTTGCCTGAGTTATTAAGTGAATCACGGAGGTTGTTAAATTAGTAATCTGGTTGTTAAGTGACTCTGGCTTCCCCACTGACTTCGCTTGTCAGAAGGGATCACATGATGAGGGGGACACTGCAACCGTCATAAACATGAATCAGTTGCAAGCATCCGAATTTGGATTGTGTGACCATGGGAATGCTGTAAGGGTTGTAAGTGTGAAAAATGGTCATATGTTACTTTTTTCAGTGCCATTGTAATTTCGCAAGGGTCCTTAAGTGAACTTTGTAAGTCGAGAACTACCTGTAATAAATTTGGGGTACAATTATCCTGCTATTGGGTTATATCCTTTGCATGTGGGAATCCAGAAAGCCTTCCAGTGAGGCTCTTCAAGAATAATTTTGGGCCTGAGACAGTGGTGGGATAATAATGCGGTGGTTGACAGTGGTGGTTCAAATAATTTAACAATTGGTTTGCTGCCCTAATGACCAGCTGAGTAGGTGTGGCTCAGTGGTCATGTGACTGTGTAGGCATGGCCAACTCAACGTTACTCACATCGATGGGCGCTTCGCCTTAGCTGTTACAATGTAATAAGGGTAACCAGAGAGGCAGTTTCTGTAAACAGGGCAATAAAGATTAGGCTAGAAACAACACCAGAATTTTTCCTTCCTGCCTTCCTTACAGGATTAGCCCTGTAAAGTGGAAAAAAACAAAACAAGATTTCTTCCAATGACCAGTTCTCCGAATTGCTTAGAAAGTTAACAACCGGTTCTCCCGAATCGGTGCGAACTGGCTGAATCCCACCACTGGCCTGAGATAACTTTCCCCGTTTGCTTTTTCCGGTTTTGCAAATTTGGATGCAACCTCCTTAGTTGGTTCCTTCCATTTGATGCTTTCGAACAGCGACAATCCCTCCTCCTGTTGGAATATTAATTTTGATCCCTCCATTCAGACGTGTGTCAAGGCTGTTACATGAGAAACTTTGAATTGGACTTATTGGGAATAATAATAAAATATAATTAAACACAAGAATATCCTATTAATAATTTAGGTACATCTAATGAGCATAACTGTACTAGGCACTGAAGTCATGAGGGAATAATTTTCCATGCTAATTTTGCCGTTCTCCATTTTCCCCAGATAGCAGCGCTGTCTCGTCCTAAATTGCCGTCTCAAGAGAGTAGCCGACGTGGAGCCAACAGAATTTTCCGACAGGTATTTGCGCAGGAATGTGTTGGCAACAGACAACCCCTGTGATGGCTTCCAATTCAGATCGTCTTCATTGATTGTTTCAAGCAGGAGTCTCCAAACTTGGCCTCTTGAAGACTGGTGGATTTCAACTCCCAGAATCCCTCAGCCAGAATCCATGGCTGGTTGAGGGATTCTGGGAGTTGAAGTCCACCAGTCTTCAAGAGGCCAAGTTTGGAGACCCCTGCTTTAAAGCAGTGTTTCTTTGGAGACCCAAACAATAGTTTGCATACTCTGTTTCCCTGAAAATAAGACACCCCCTGATAATAAGCCCAACCGGGCTTTTGAGCACATGCGCTAAAATAAGCCTCCCCCTGAAAATAAGCCCTCCCGAAATTATTTAAACGCAGAGCTGGAAATCAGGTAAGAAGGCAAGAGGAGCCCTATCTTGCTCCACGCACCCCAAAATAATAAGACCTCCCTGAAAATAAGGCCAAGCGCTTATTTCGGGGTTCAAAAAAATATAAGACAGGGTCTTATTTTCAGGGAAACATGGTAGTTTCTCAACTATTAAGCTTTGTGGACTTCAACTCCCAGAATTCATCTGTTGCACATCTCACCGATATAGAAAGAAGATTTTTTTCCCTCAACCTTATAGAAAATCCAAAGGCAATGAAGGGCCATTTGGGTGGGCGGGAAAGGTGACCTTCACTTGCCTTCCACCTCCAGCCTTACGTGGTCATTTTCAGGAAGTCTTCGGCTTACGACCACAATGGAGCCCAACATTTCTGTGGTTAAGTGGGATGGTTGTTAAGTGAGTTTTGCCCCATTTTACGACCTTCCTTGCCACAGTTGCTGAGTGAATCCCTGAAGTTGTTGAATTAGTAACAATGTTGTTAAATGAATCTGGCTTCCCCATTGACTTTGCTTGTCAGAAGGTCCCAAAAAATGATCACATGACTCCGGGATATTGCAAAATATGCCCCGACTCCACCCCGCAATAAGTCCACCCCAACTCATAAATATGAGTCAGTTGCCAAACGCCTGAGGTGATTCTGATCACGTGACCATGGAGATGTTGCCATCGTCGTAAGTGTGAAAAATGCTCATAAGTCACTTTTTTCAGTGCTGTTGTAACTTTGGTCACTAAATGAACTGTTGTAAATCGAGGACTATCTGTATAGGAGGCCAAAGAGATGACCAGCTGCTGCGACCATAGAAAACTGTCTGATCTCTTGACCAGACAACCTTTTGTTTGGTTTTTTAAACCTTTTACAAAAATGTGCATATAATATATTATGAAAGCCGACTGCTGGGATTAACTCTGTATTTTTTTTTCTTTTAATGACCCCGTAATCCCTTGCATTGGGGTGGAGTCAGGGCAATTGAATGGAGCTGAGTGTTTACTGGCTGGATGCCCTTCTTGTTGCCAATGCGGAGTTTTGCAGGAGATATATTCTCAGTGTGCCCAGAGAGAGAAATATCTGTCTCTACCTAGGATCAAACTCATAGCCTCCTGATTGTGAGGCGAGAGCTCCACCTCTAGGCCAATGCACCACTCTGGGATTAACTCTGTATTTCCTCCTCAGAAATTAAACAGCAATATCAACGCCCTCCCTCATTTGGACTGTCCAGCCAAATCAAGTTTGGTGACATCTGCTTTAAAGCCTCTACAGCAAGATGCACTTTTCCCACAAATAGCCACCAAAACTTTTCAGTCTATGACAACTCTGCATTCGGTAAGTTTCCTCCGTGGTGAACTGAGGCCCTAAAAGTAAGGGAATAAAAATATCAAGCTCAGGAAAACAGGAGTCCGGGCAGTTGAAATGAACGTACGTTTATTGTATACTAACGCGCTCTACAAGAATCTGAGCTACTAACGGTCAAAGCAAATTAGCGGTAGATAAGAGTCAACGGTATTCACGGTGGGCTGGACTTAGATCTCTTGTGGGCACAAAGGGACTCGAGACTGATGACATAATTAGAGGAAACTGGCATTGTCTAAAGCAGGGGTGTCAAACTCAAGGCCCGTGGGCCAGATCCGGCCTGCAATGTGTTCAGATCTGGCCCCTGGGGCCGTCCTGGTCTATCCAATGCAAAGAGGAAAGATCAGGCCAACATAGCTTCAGCCCGGTCTACCCAGTGCGAAGAGGAAAGATCAGGCCAGTGTGGCTTCGGCCTGGTCTACTCAATGTGAAGAGGAAACATGCCAGCAGTTTGGGGAGTGGTGTCAAGCTGGCCACACCCACCCAGTCAGCCATACCCACGCAGTCAGCCACACCCACCCAGTCAGCCACACCCACCCAGTCGGCCTGCTCGACCAACCCCCCTCCGAGATCAACCACAATCCTGACGCGGCCCTCAATGAAATTTAGTTTGACACCCCTGGTCTAAAGCACGGCTGTCAAACATGCAGCGTCACGTTGCTGTCATGTGATGTTTCGTGACATTTCCCCCCTTCACGGAGCTGGGGTGGGCATGGCCTGCACATGACACATCCGGCCCGTGGGGCTGCCAGTTTGACACCCCTGGTCTAAAGGGTCAATGTCTAAAGAGAGAATATTTTGACCATATCATTGGGAGGAATTAACTAGAGAAAGCCATTATGCTTGGAAGAGCTAGCGGTAAAAGGCCGCCAAAGAACATGGTGGCTGAACACGATCAAAGCTGATGCCAGCCAGAGCATAGAACAACTCAAAGAAGCAGTGCAAGATCAGAAGACGTGGAGAGATCTGCCCCACAGAATCGCCAAGAGTCGGACACGACTGAATGGATAACATCATCATCATCATCATCATCATCTCATCATCATCATCATCATAGGGACAAGTGTGGTATGAGAAAAGAAGGTGAGCTGAGCTGTTTCCCAACATGGAAGTCAACATGGAACTCCTCCATTTCTCTTTCTAAATAATGAACCCGATTCTTGGTTGGCTTTGTTACAGAGAGTAGCTGTTCTGGCTTCCTGAGTCATTAAAACACACGCGTAGTCCCAAAAACCTCTTTTATTGCAACAGCTGTGAATTCTGTTCATTCACAGCTAAGTCCCAATTAGTTGTAAAGAGTCCTTCAGGAGAAGTCCTTCGGGATAATCACCCACCTTTATCTCCCTTGACAGGCTGCCAAAGACCTACTTGGCAAAGCCACACGGAGTCCAGAATCAAACAGAGCTTCAGGCTTTAAGCTCAACTGAATGAACAAACGTTGCTTCCTGCGAAGGCCCATGTACCTTTGTTCCTCTTTTAAGCCTTATGGGAGGGGCCAATCATCTCCAAGCCTTACTCCTGAGTCGTCCCTTTTGTTTGAACTGTTCTTGCCTTCTGGCAGCTCTGCGCATGCACGCACTGGGAACAGACTCCCCCTGTTCCTCTGCCTCGCTGAGGTCCGACTCTGGAGGCTCTGGAGGCAGCACGTACCTCCCTGATGGCCCTTTCTCTGCCTCCGACGCAGAGCCCTCATCAGAGCCTTCCCCAGACTCCAGGACTGGCCCATGGTCCTCTCCAGCCTCCTCACTGTCTGACTCTGCTGCCAGCTCTGCAGGCTGCTGGCGGACCACAGCAGTAGCCTGGCCTAGTGTCAGGATTCCAAGTAACACCCCCAACAAAAGAAGACTCTGACATAGACATGGCATAGGACCCGGGTACCTTCGAGACCGTCTTCTGCCACCAATAGCCTCCCACCGACCAGTCCGTTCCCACAGAGAAGGTCTCCTCAGGGTGCCATCAGCCAAGTTATGTCGGCTGGCGACACCCAGGGGGAGGGCCTTCTCTGTGGGAGCCCCAGCCCTGTGGAATGAACTGCCCCCGGAAATACGCAAGATCTCCGACCTCCGGGTGTTCCGCTGCGCATTGAAGACCTTGTTGTTCCGCCAGGCAGGGCTGTCAATATAATAATTTTAAATTGGGGTATTTTAATTTTTAGAGTTTTAAATCAGCCAAATCTATTTAATTATTTTAATTTTTAATTATTGTTGTGTCTTGTATTTTTAAACTGGCTGTACACCGCCCTGAGTCCTTCGGGAGAAGGGCGGTATAGAAATAAAATTATAAATAAATATAAATAAATAAAGAACGAGAAAGGGGTTACACTGGGGGTGGGGGAGAGGGGGCTCCACACCACCATGGAGGTCTGGTCCTTTCTGAGTCATTTAGAAGACTTAAATACAGTGCAGTTGGGAGGGTGAAGGAGAAACAGGGCGTAAACTCTAAAACGACAAAAGTGCATTTTTTAAATTCCTGATTCTTCTGCAACTTTAATTTTGCAAAAAAGACAGAGAAGCAAATGCACCCTTTACTGATGCTATGTTTTTTATCCCGGCGATACCTTCCCCTGAAAGTTGGTTTTTGAGCCTGGCAGAGTAATTAATAAAATCACGAAAATAATGAAGTGGCTTTCAGGAAAAAGAAACAAACCTCTCGCAATTTTGCAGGATAACCGATCTCAAGTCCAGCCGTTTCCTCCCACCCTCTCCGAAAACATCCCCAGAGGGCTGAGCAGTAAATCTGGAGACATCGAGAAGACTCACAACCTCAAGTTCCCACTAACTTCAGCAGGTACACAGTCCTCGGCTAAAATGCTAAAGGGAAAACAGCAGAGAAACCATCCAATTTCTGTATAGTACCACCCAGTGGTGAAATCTGAACCAGTTTGCTACAGGTTTGCTGGCTTTTCCGGAACCAGTAGCTAAATATGCTTTTAAAAGTAAAAAAAAAAAAATTCTCACGATCGCGCGTCGCTCAGCTGATCTTTGGAACTTTTTTTTTTTTTTACTTTTTCCACTACCGGTTTGGGCAAACCGATCCGAACCAATAGCATTTTACCCCTAGTACGACTTTCCCCTCCAAACGGGATGCCTATAATATCATGGAAAACCAATAATAATTTAAAAGCAACTGGCTGAAGAGGGGGAATCGTATCTCCTTTCCTAAAAGCCTAGTTGAAGTATTCTTTGACTTCTCCTATAGAACCATCCTTCAAGTTTCTTTAGGGCCCAAAAATACAAATCTTTTTTTTTTTAATTGAAAAGTTTTAAAAAGTTTTACAGACATTTCCCCTTCCCCCTCCCTCCTCCCCTTCCAACCCTCCCCTTCCCCTCCCTCCCCCCCCACTTCCCAGAGCAAAATACAGGGTATAACATTTGACAATCATAAGCTAACATAAGCTAATTATCTATGGCCTCATATCCCCCTCTTGAACTTTTAACTCCCCTTTTACTAAACTAAATTTAAGTACTTTATAAAATCTCTTTGATCATTCATAAGCTATTTGAAATTTTTTAATCCGATATTTGCCTTGAATATAATCAATCCATCTGTTCTGTCCCCGTCTCCACACACACACACACAGCCAGCCGAAGGTTAAAGGAAGCACTTGGCACACACACAGTTTGTTATCAGAAACTTGGCAGCAATACAAGCACCGACTGCCAAGTGCTTTTACTTCAATAAACGGGAGTATCCCTTCACCAGATAAACAGAAATACACACAGTTTGCAAATAGTCCAGTTCAAAACAAGAAACCTTTGGCAGATTTAGGCGTTGTTCAAAGTGACTAGCCAGTCCGTCACAGAGTCTTAAATAGCCACCACACTCTCTTATATAGTCTCTGGGGTGTGGTCCAGTGACTCAGCCTGATCCCTGGCACGCCTCCTCAACTGCTGCAACCGTTTATCACGCCTTCGTTGGCGTGGATCCAGGAACGACAGATCGCCTCCATCGCTATCATCGGAGACACCTGGCTCCTGGCTAATCTCCTCTTCCTCGGCCGGCACCTGAGGCAGTGCCAGAGAGGAGGGGCCTGGAGAGGGAGGCCTGGCCGATTCCTCTCCTTCATGTTCGGAGCCTTCTCCCTCCGATAAGATAGGCTCGGAGGACGGAGCCACAACACCATCTTCTCCATTCTAACATATATTTCTCATTTGAATGGTCCTTTAGATATGCCTGAAATTTTCGCCACTTCTGCTAAATTTACTACTTTTAATGTCCATTCTTGAATACTACTAAAAATACAAATCTTAATGTTCAGAAAACTAAGCCGAGAAACAGAACTTTTGATAAGCAGGGTATTTAGGATTTTGAAGGCTAGAACCAACCACTTTAAATCCCAAAGGTCAGAACCAACCACTTTAAAATAGTCCAGTTCAAAACAAGAAACCTTTGGCAGATTTAGGCGTTGTTCAAAGTGACTAGCCTGTCCGTCACAGAGTCTTAAATAGCCACCACACTCTCTTATATAGTCTCTGGGGTGTGGTCCAGTGACTCAGCCTGATCCCTGGCACGCCTCCTCAACTGCTGCAACCGTTTATCACGCCTTCGTTGGCGTGGATCCAGGAACGACAGATCGCCTCCATCGCTATTATCGGAGACACCTGGCTCCTGGCTAATCTCCTCTTCCTCGGCCGGCACCTGAGGCAGTGCCAGAGAGGAGGGTCCTGGAGAGGGAGGCCTGGCCGATTCCTCTCCTTCATGTTCGGAGGCCTTCTCCCTCCGATAAGAGGCTCGGAGGACAGCCACAAACACCATTCATCTTCTCCATTCTAACATATATTTCTCATTTGAATGGTCCTTTAGATATGCCTGAAATTTTCGCCACTTCTGCTAATTTACTACTTTTAACTGTCCATTCTTGAATACTACTAAAAAAACAAATCTTAATGTTCAGAAAACTAAGCCGAGAAACAGAACTTTTGATAAGCAGGGTATTTAGGATTTTGAAGGCTAAACCAACCACTTTAAATCCCAAAGGTCAGAACCAACCACTTTAAAGGTCAGAACCAACCACATTAAATCCAAAGGTCAGAATCAACCACCTTAAATCCCAAAGGTCAGAATCAACCACCTTAATCCCAAAGGTCAGAATCAACCACTTTAAATCCCAAAGGTCAGAACCAACCACTTTAAAGGTCAGAACCAACACATTAAATCCTTCCCCAAGTTAAAATCAACCACTTTAAATCCCGGAAGTCAGAACCAACCACTTTAAATCCTGAAAGTCAGAACCAACCACTTTAAAGGTCAGAACCAACCACATTAAATCCCAAAGGTCAGAATCAACCACCTTAAATCCCGAAAGTCAGAACCAACCACTTTAAATCCCAAAGGTCAGAACCAACCACTTTAAAGGTCAGAACTAACCACATTAAATCCCCAGGTTAAAATCAACCACTTTAAATCCCGGAAGTCAGAACCAACCACTTGGTTGGAAGCCGAGCTTCCAATTTCCAGTGTGTGCATGCATGCCAGTCACCTGATCTTCCAGTTTCTGGAAGCTGGCTGACGCGCATGCGCATGCCGGAAACCGGAAGCTCAGTTTCCCTGTGCGGGCATGCACCCCAGGGAGCTGCTGTTCCAGTTTCTGGCGCTCCCATGCACGCGAAGACCAACTGGCCAGCGCACATGCGTGTGCTAGAACCCGGAAGAGCAAGAGCCACAGGCGACGGCTGGCGTGCCCCGAGAGATGGCTCTGTGTGCCACTTCCGGCACGCATGCCATAGTTTGCCATCATGGCCCTACACTATTTCAGAAACTGGGGTGATACATTTGAGGGCGGAGGACGGGACATAGAAACAGTTTACATGTTAAATATTGATTTAGATACCTATGGTATCTTCAGGTCTTTTAATATCCCTTTGACTTCCTTCACAAACCAGAAGCCTTGAAACATTTTAAAAACCAACTCACCCTGTATGAACAACGAGAAATCAAGGACTATAAAGAACTGTGGTTTCTTGGCCTGGGCGCAAAGAAGATTGAGGGCTACATCGATTCAGAGAACAGCAGCACTTACGATGATGACCATGGTTCCTATAAAAAGGTAAGAGGTTGCCGCGGTGGTAGAGCTTGGCATCCAGATCATCAATACCCACAGGGCAAAAACTCTGCAGCTGGAATTGGGTAGGAGATGCCCAAGGAGGTGTGTGGTCTTAAGTCTCACAGGAACTGGGTATGTCTAGTTCTGATGTCTCCCACTGACGGTTCCCTAGATACCTCCTTAGAGGTCATTTTGGGGGAGGATGAGTCAATTCCTGGCACGTCAGGAATTGAGTTGATTGATGGCTCTGAACGGCCATCCGGAAGGGATTTGGCTGAGGCTCCAGCTGGGGAAAGCTCCAAGTGTGTTGTGGCTCCATTACCTGAGCCTGTGTCATCGGCAGGAGAGGACTCCGAGAGTGAAGGAGAGGAGTTGGCAAGGCCTCCCTCTCCAGGACCCTCCTCTCTGGCAATGCCTTCGGTGTCTGCCGAAGGGCAAGAGATAGGGCCGGGGCCAAGCACGTCCACGCAGCCACAGATGGACAGTGATGAGGGTAATGAGTCTTGGCTGGATCCACGCCAGCGTCACAGAGATAAGCGCGTGCAACAGAAGAAAAGGCGTGTCCGAGATTAGGCTGAGTCACTGGACCACACCCCACAGGATATAAAAGGGAGCGTGGTGGCCAGTCAAACCTTGTGACGAACAAAACTGAAAGCTTCCATGCCATTCTGCATTGCTGGACTTTTTGCTATAGCCTTTGCTGGATTATCTCTGGACTTGATTGACTCTGTAATTATTGAGCTGTTTCTTTTGATGTACCAGGAGTGGGGAGAAGTTATCTCTCGTCTTCGTAAATAATAAACTCTTGGCAGGCAGCCACTAGGTTGTTGCCAAGTTCCGTTATCATAAGGAAAAGGATTTTGCCGGCTGGTTTGGTCTTTAACTCTTGAACGTCTGTTGGTGTGTGTGCGTGTGGTTGGGGACAGAACACAGTGGCAGACGGCCAGCGAAGAAGAGGAGGAACTGCCTTCTGCCCCTACGTGTTCTCGGATCAGGTGCAGAAGGCAGTTCCTCCTCCTCTTCGCTGGCCTTCTGCCACTGTGAGCTTTCCCAGCTGGAGCTTCAGCCAAATCCCTTCCAGAGAAAAGGCAGGAGCAAGTAGAGGTCAGCCAGACTACCCAGGAGGAGGAAGTCCCCCCCCCATCTTGATGGACTGCACCAGAAGCTGGCTATTTATCACAGCAGACAGATGGAGGCACAACGTATTTGTTTTCTAGCTGTGTGTTTTCTGTTCGTCGTGGTTTCTGATTCACTCTGGATTGACACCGTGTTTGGAATTGAATTGTGTGTGTTGGAAAGCCTCTGGACTTTTCTTGCCTCGTGTGTGTGTGTGTGTGTGTGTGTGTGTGTGTGTGTGTGTGTGTGTATTTAAGCTTTGCCTGATGGATTTAAGTTGTGTCTGCGGGAATTACTTTGTTCGAACAACTTTCAAGGGCTTTGTGGACTATTGTGCCATTGTTCTGTGGACTAACCTAGATCTGCTTATGCCTGGGCTTAAGTGGGACCAGTTCTGGGTTTTGATGAAGGGAATTGCTGGGGAATATTAATAAACTCACTAAACCATAGTTAGTGGGCAGCACACTAGTCTAACCAAGAAAAGAACTAGGTGCTAGCTACTTCCAATACAGTGGTACCTCGGTAATCAACATTAGTTGACTCCGGAAAATGTGATGAGCATCAAAAAAGATGAGTATCAAACACATTTTTCCAGTAGGAATGATGTAGTGAGTCACAAGGCAGCCAACGCCAACAAATTCTCACGCACACGAGCAAAGTGCCTGCGCGGAAGGCCGGGCTCATGCGCGGAAGGCACACACGCACGCACATTTTCGGTGCGCAGCGAACCAGTGGTAAAAAGTATGTGAAACCCACCTCTGATCAAAATGGGTTGAATACAACTTCAATGAGTTTCAAAACAGTTGGATACCAAGGTACTGCTCTGTTTGAGGGGCTGTCGCAAAAAAAAAGGGGGGGGTTTCAACCTATTCTCCAAAGTACCTGTGGGCAGGATAAGAACTAACAGGTGGAAGATCATTAAAGAAGGTTCCAAGCCAGTGGTGAAATTCAAATTATTTTTTTACTACCAGTTCTGTGGACATGGCTTGGTGGGCGTGGTGTGGCTTGGTGGGCGTGGCTTGGTGGGGATGGCAGGGGAAGGATACTGCAAAATCCCCATTCCCTCCCCGCTCTTGGGGGAAGGATATTGCAAAATCCCCATTCCCTCCCCGCTCTTGGGGGAAGGATATTGCAAAATCTCCATTCCCACCCCACTCCAGGGGAAGGATACTGCAAAATCCCCATTCCCTCCCCGCTCCTGGGGAAAGGATATTGCAAAATCCCCATTCCCACCCCATTCCAGGGGGAAGATACTGCAAACTCTCCATTCCCTTCCCACTTTAGGGGAAAGATACTGCAAAATCCCCATTTCCTCCCCACTCCTGAAGGAAGGATATTGCAAAATCCCCATTCCCTCCCCGCTCCTGGAGGAAAGGATATTGCAAAATCTCCATTCCCACCCCACTCCAGGGGAAGGATACTGCAAAATCCCCTCCCAACTCCTGGAGGAAAGATATTGCAAAATTCCCATTCCCTCCCTACTCCTGGGGAAAGGATATTGCAAAATCTCCATTTCCACCCCACTCTGGGGCCAGCCGGAGGTGGCATTTGCCGGTTCTCCGAACTACTCAAAATTTCCGCTGCCGGTTCTTCAGAACCTGTCAGAACCTGCTGGATTTCATCCCTGCTCCAAGCCTGCAACCTAGAACTAAGAAGAAACTTCCTAACAACGAGAACAATTAACCATCAGAACAGCTTGCCTCCAGAAGTTGAATGTTCTCCATCACTGGGACCTAGAATGACAATGTATTTTTGCTTTTTTGCGTGTTTTGTGAATGTGGCATGAGAAGTAGTGGAAACATATGCTAGGTTTACTTTGTACGTTGTTGTCACTCTGTGTAGGTACTAAGCGATCATATTGCATATAGATACGAAATCTTGGCTATAATTGGGAAAGGCTCCTTTGGCCATGTTGTGAAGTGTTTGGACCACAAGACCGGTGAAAAAGTAGCAGTGAAAATAATAAGGAACAAAAAGAGGTAGGATTGTCTTGAGTTCCTTTTGTTTTGTTTGACATTTTATTAATAAAAAATAAAATACCGGAAACTAGTTGAATAGAGGATTGATTCCTCATTGGTTTTCGTTTAATTACGATTTATTGTCTTTAATGTGAGCGTTAATTTATAACCAGAAGATTAAAGGAAAAAAATTGGCATCAAGCAAACGAAGAAAAATCATTCACACAATTTGTTGCTATATTTTTCTGCCAAACATATTAGGGGGTGTATTTAAGTCCTTATAAATGCTTTCAGCTTTCGCTTGTAGATGGCAGAGGAAAATGTAATATTAAAAAGAGAAGATTATGGAACATAAGCAAAAGCCAATTAAGGAAGCAAAAGGCGACTAGCATTGGGTTAGAAAGGCCAGGTTATGTACCGTATTTTTCGGAGTATAAGACGCACCTTTTTCCCCCCTAAAAGGGGGTGAAAATTTAGGTGCGTCTTATACACCGAATGTAGCCCCGCCCACCGACTGGCCCCCACCCTTTGGCCTCTGCCTCCCAGCAGTTTACCTCCTTTGCAGCAAGCAGCAAGAATAAACAGCCCATTGCAGCTTCAGCACAGCCTAATTAGCACAAGTTGATTGGATCGGCCTCCCAACTCTCAGCTGTTTTTCTCTCAGCTGTTTTGCGAGGGCCTCTGCTGCTTGCTGCAAGGAAGCAAGTCAGTGGTGAAATCCAAATATTTTTACTACCAGTTCTGTGGGCGTGGTTTGGTGGGCATGGGGTGGCTTGGTAGGCATGGCTTGGTGGGCGTGGCAGGGGAAGGCTACTGCAAAATCTCCATTCCCACCCCACTCCAGGGGAAGGATACTGCAAAATCTCCTGGGGCCAGCCAGAGGTGGTATTTGTCGATTCTCCGAATTACTCAAAATTTCTGCTACCGCTTCTCCAAACTGCTCAAAATTTCTGTTACCGGTTCTCCAGAACCTGTCAGAACCTGCTGGATTTCACCCTGAAGAAGTAAAAATCTTGCTGGGAGCAGATTTTTTTTTTTCCTTGTGCTAATCAAGCTGTGCTGAAAACAAAAATGAAAGTAAAGCAGGCTGTTTGCTGTTTGCTGCAATGAGGCAGAATTGCTGGGAGGCAAAGGCAGATTTCTTTTTTGTTTGTTTTCCTCACCAAAAATGGTAGGTGTATTTTATAGTCCGGAGTGTCTTATGCTCCAAAAAATACGGTATGTCTGCTTACATTAGCACTTTATATTATGTCTAGTTTAATGAAAAGAAGGACTTGGGGAGACATGATAGCAGTGTTCCAATATCTCAGGGGCTGCCCCAAAGAGTCAAGCTATTCTCCAAAGCACCTGAGGGTAGGATAAGAAGCAATGGGTGGAAACTAATCAAGGAGAGAAGCAACTTAGAACTAAGGAGAAATTTCCTGACAGTTAGAACAATGAATCAGTGGAACAACTTGCCTCCAGAAGTTGTAAATGCTCCAACACTGGAAGTTTTTAAGAAGAGGTTGGATAACCATTTGTCTGAAGTGGTGTAGGGTTTCCTGCCTAAGCAGGGGGTTGGACTAGAAGACCTCCAAGGTCCCTCCCAACTCTGTTATTCTAAATTCTAATATGGTGTCATTTTCTCCTTTCTATTCAGATTCCACAGTCAGGCTTTGGTTGAAGTTGGCATCTTAAATTCACTACGGCAAAAGGACCAAGATAATACATATAACGTCGTCCACATGAAAGAGTATTTTTGCTTCCGTAATCATTTCTGCATCTCCTTTGAATTATTAGGGTAAGGCACTGTTCTGCATCTCCAGTTAATACTTTCTATCGTGATTAAGTGTGAATTGGCTGGATCTTATTTTCTCAATCTTAGCAGTCCTTCATCTTAACAGCTTAGGCAGGATGGCATCGGCAGCTATAAATGAGACAGCTTCAGTTTTAGTACTGAATGCAAATGTTGTCGGTCAAATCAATCAAGCAAACAAATAAATATAAGGGAGTTGACTCAGCAGCAAGAGAGTTTGGAAAGCTAATCTACTACATCAGGGGCGTCAAACTCAAGGCCCGAGGGCCGGATCCGGCCCGCAGGGTGCTTAGATCTGGTCTGTGGGGCCACTTGGAAACAGTGGTGCCTCTGTCAGCAAAAATGGAGCTTGGGAGAGCCACACGTAGCCCTCCTGACTTCCGTTTTCACTGGAAGAGGGTTGCAGGAGGCCGTCACAGCCGAAAATGGAGTTTGCAAGGGTCCATTTTTGCTGGCAGAGAATTTGGGCCACCACAGGCGCCCCCAATATGAGTGATGTCAAGCTGGCCAACCCCTAACCCCTAACCCCAACCTCTAACCCCTAACCCCTAACCTCAACCCCTAACCCTAAACCCAAACCCAAACCTAACCTCTAACCTTTAACCCCTAACCCCTAACCCCTAACCCCTAACCTCAAACCCAAACTCTAAACCCTAACCCCTAACCCCTAACCCCAAACCCTAAACCCTAAACCCTAAACCCTAAGCCCTAATCCTAATCCTAAACCTTAACCCTAACCCTGCCCCCCTCCCGAAGTAAAACACAACCCTGATGCAGCTCTCAATGAAATCATGTTTGACACCCCTGTACTACACCATAACCCTGATTCTACAGGCAAAAGAGGAAAATGCAAATCCAGGTGCTTTATTTGTCTGAGCTAATCTTGTCAGCTTTGGCTCCTTGCCTATTAGGTGCTTATCTGGAGTTTCTGGTTGCTCTTTGAGAGTGGCCCAGTCTTTCTGAACAGATACAAAATCTCCATTCCTAAAGACTAACCTCTTCATGCTTCTGCTTGAGGCTGCTTTCCTATAGCAGGAAGACTGGGGCTGCTTTCTGCCTTTAAAATGTCTCTCCTCTTTGTCTTCAGGGGAAATATTCTATTCTGCCTCTTCTTAATGTTAAGAATAAAGAATGTTCTATTCTGCGGAGGGGAGGGACTTCCTACAATATCTTGAACGGTCTCAAGAGACTTTGAACTGAATCACAGCTTTAAAAATTTCAAATAATTGAACTGCAGCTGTTTTCGTGCAGTGGCCTCTCCAGGCGCGTGTTGGTTAAAACTGCTGTTTCTCACCCCACAGTTTAAATTTATATGAATTAATCAAGAAAAATAATTTCCAAGGTTTTACTTTGGGCTTGATTCGCCGTTTCACCCATTGCATCTTAAGATGTTTGCAACTCTTATACACGGAAAAAATCATCCACTGTGATCTGAAGCCTGTAAGTACATATCCTTTCAGTACCGGTGAAGTTTTTAATGATGTTTGTATGATGTTTGGAAATTTAAAACGTTTTGGTGTAAGGAAGCTCTTTTCAGCACAGATAGGAATTCTAATTTTGTTAGGCATTGTCAATGCTTTGGATATGCTTAATGGACTTAAAGCTCAAGATAAATGATTTTTTTTCCTAGTGCAAGTCCCTTGTACCAGTAGTGGTTTTTACTTACCTTCGCTACCGGTTCTGAACTGTGAGCACGCCCGTGTGTGTGCTTGCTTCGCTCACGCGTGGTGCTTCTTTGCATGCGCAGAACCTTCTGCGTATATGCAGAGCGTCCGTGATGACGTCTGGGTGGGTGGGCGGAGCCTCCCACCACCACCGCAAGCGGTTCGCTCGAACCGGGGTGAACCGGTAGAAACCCACCACTGCCTTCTATGTGCTATTTCTGTTATGCTGTAGATTTTACAAAATGCACTGATGTTACCTAGTGTGATAATGAAAGGACTGTAGGAAACTACCAAGCTCAGAGAGCACCAAGGACCCCACAATTTACAAAATTGTATTCCTCTTGCTTGTTTGAATCTCCATTGCTTTATACAAGAAATAACTTCCTTAATGACGGTACTATAGCAATAGCAATAGCATTTAGACTTATATACCGCTTTACAGTGCTTTACAGTCCTCTCTAAGCAGTTTACAAAGTCAGCATATTGCCCAGAGGTGGGTTTAAGCAGGTTCTGACCAGTTCTGGAGAACCGGTAGCAGAAATTTTGAGTAGTTCAGAGAACCAGTAGTAAAAATTCTGACTGGCCCCGCCCCCATCTATTCACTGACTCCAAAGTCCCAGCTGATCGGGAGGAAATGGGGATTTTGCAGTAACCTTCCCCTGGATTGGGGAGAGAATGGAGATTTTACAGTATCCTTCCCCTGCCACGCCCACCAAGCCATGCCCACCAAGCCACACCTACAGAACCAATAGTAAAAAATTTTGAAACCCACCACTGATATTGCCCCCCAACAATCTGGGTCTTCATTTGACCCACCTTTGGAAGGATGGAAGGCTGAGTCAACCTTGAGCCTGGTGAGATTTGAACTGCCAAATTGCAGGCAGCCGGCAGTCAGCAGAAGTAGCTTGTAGTACTGCACTCTAAGCACTGCACCACCGTGGCTTATAAACTGCACAATTCATTGTTATTTTCTTTTTTAAAATATCCTTTATGTTGTCCTACATCCTAGAGCAGTGGCCCTCAAACCTTTTGGGCATCAGGGATAGGTTCCGTGGAGAGAGGTTTTTCTGTGGACTGGAGGGAGCGTGGTTTCACATGCTGCCTGCATCCTGCGGATGGGGCTTTGCTTGTTTGTGTGGCCCGGTTTCTAGCATGCCACGGATTGGTGCCGGTCCACAAACCAGGGTCTGATCTAGAGTTTTCTATTGGTAGCTTATCAATCTTTGACCCTAGAAAGATAGCGCACATAAACACAACTGCTTAGGAATGTAATATTTAGTACATAATTTTAATTTAAAATGCTAGAGAATTCCTGGAAGCCTGGCACTCTGTGGTATTCAGGAAACCAGCTTTACCTTATTAGGAATGAAGACAAAGACTATGAACATGCAAGACAGGATCATTTATTACAACTTTGCAAAGTGACTTTTCTCTCGCAGGAAGAGAAAAGCAATTAAGCCTTTTCTTACAGATCTTTTATACAATTTTCAGAATACACAGGTCTGATACAACAGGATACAAGCATGTCCCCAGAGTCCAGTTTCAGATCTTATATAACATATTTAGCACATGTTCTGCCCCCTGGAAAATCCCCGCCTTTCCAGTAAAAATATCCTACTCAAAAATATTGCTTATGCTTGTGATATCATTATATGTGTACTTCCCCTTATTAATGAGGGCATGTTGACCCAGAAGAAGATTTCCTGCAAAACAAGCATAGTCTAAGAACATACATCAGCATTTAAGATCATACACAGGAATTACACAGTTCCTTCTCTCATGTTCCTAAGTCTTATTATTCTCTTAGCTAAATTATATAATCAGGTTATACAAGGTAAAATAAGGCACTTAAAATGGCCTAGCTCAGGTTATACTTTTTACAGGAATAATCCTTATTTCTCTCACACTCTGACAAATTGGCCATCAACAGACACACAGACATAAACGACATCTACCCACTGTGCAAAAGAGACAATCAACAAGCCTAAAAGGGAAGAAAAAGACCAAAACACTCCTCCACCAGCAATCAACACCCAGCAATCAAGACTCTCATACGGATCCTGTTTCCAGTTAAAGCTTGGTGACCCGAATAGGAAAAAAAAAATTAATATGTCAACAGTTTGTTAACCTGATAGATAAAATTTACTGATATTTTCTCCCTTGGTCTTATTCTTTTTTTTTTTTTTTAATTCTTTAGGAGAACATATTAATAAGCCAATCTTCAGCTGGACAAATTTCATTCAAAGTTATTGATTTTGGATCGAGCTGCTACGAACATCAAAGAGGTTTGCGGAGTCAAGTAGATACAATTTTTTAATTGATTTATTTTTTAATACTTTGGATTGATTTTGTTTATTCTATAGATGTAAATGAGAATGCAAAATGTTGACAGGGCAATCCTGTAGCATTTCCTTCTCTCGGTCAATGTCTTGGAGTTCATATAAGGGAGTCCGTGCCCGAGTAGCTATTTTTCTCATGAATACAGATAGTCCTCGACTTACGACCACAATTGAGCCCAACATTTATGTTGTTAACTGAAGCATTTGTTAAATGTGTCACTTGACAACATGACCCAATGTTAAAATGGGTCTTGCCCCGTTTTACGACCTTTCTTGCCACGGTGGTTAAGTGAATCATTGCAGTTGTCAAGTTAATAACATGGTTGTTAAGTGAATCACTTCCCTGTGGACTTTGCTCGTCAGAAGGTCGCAAAAGAGGATCACGCGACCCCAGAACATGGCAACCGTCATATATATGAACCAGGTGCCAAGCATCCAAATTTTGTTCACATGACCATGGGAATGCTGCAATGGTCGTAAGTGTGAAAAGCAGTCCTAAATCACTTTTTTTCAGGGTTGTTGTAACTTTGAATGGTCACTAAATGAATTGTCATAAGTCGAGGATTACCTGTATATTGACGAAGGAAAAATAAGCGTCTGTCCTGTTTTCTTTCAGTGTCTCAGAATCTACATCCTAGATCAGTGTTGACCAAGTGCCGAAATGGGAGCGCTTGCGTGGTTGCCAGAAACTGGAAGAGCAGCCGCCCGGTACGCATGCGCGTGCCGGGAAGATGATCTTCCGGTTTCCGATGGGCTCATGCGCACCGGCCAGCTAGTCTTCGTGCACATGTGTGCCAGAAACTGGAAGTTCGTCTTCCCGGCGCGCTCAGGCGCGCTGGGCGGGCGCCCTTCTGGTTTCCAGCACTCCCACCAGTGGTGGGTTCCGCCCGGTTCCACCCGGTTCTGCCGAGCTGGTAGCAGTGACGATATGACATCACCGAACCGGTTCTTCCCCCCGCCCCCTCACATTATTCTTACCTTTAATTTGGCCCCACCCCCAATCTATTGCTGCCTCCTGAGTCCCAGCTGATCGGCTAGAAGGAAAAAAACTGTTTAAACTCTTGCCACGGGGCTTCAAAGGGCCGCCCTACAGCTGATCAGTGTTAAAAGGCAGTGTGGTGGTAGACTGGTGCCTCCAAAAACAAATGAGTAGACTGGTACAGCTCTGCAAGCAGTTAAAAGCCTGGTAGACCAGTACCTCTGCTAAATCCTAAAGAATTGTCACATGACCGTCAAGCCATGCCCATAAAATAAGCCACGCCCACAGAACTGGTAGTAAAAAATTTTAGAACCCACCCCTGACTCCCACGTGTGTGAAGACCAGCTGGCCAGTGCACCGGAACCCAGAACTGCAACTGGTGACAGCTCGCGTGCCTAGAGAGATGGTTCTGTGTGCCACTTCCAGCACACATGCCTTAGGTTTGCCATCACAGTCCTAGATCCTATCTAAATCTGAGCAGCTCTTATAACAGGTCAGCTACATTCAGATAGGTATAGGTAGTCGTCAACTTACAACAGTTCCTTTAGTGACGACGACACTGAAAAATGTGACTTTAGACCATTTTTCAGAGTTACGACCTTTTCCAGCATCCCGATGACGATGTGATCAAAATTCGGACACTTGCCAACTGACTCATATTGATGATAGTCACAGTGTCCCTGGATCATGTGATCTCCTTTTGTGACTTTCTGACCAGCAAAGTCCATGGGGATTCACTTAACAACCGTGTGACTCATTTAACAACCGCAGTTGATTCACTTAACCACCCTGGCAACGAAAGTCGTGAAATGGGGCAAGACTCCCTTGACAAAATGTCTCGCTTAACAACAGAAATTTGGGGCTCCATTGTGGTCATAGGTCGAGGACTACCTGTACTCTGGGACTGAGCACTTGCGAATCCTGAATCAAAGGCCTCTCGTGATCAGTTTCTGAGTTGTCTCTGTTCAGACATGTCTTTGGGGGAAGGCAGGTGTATCCTGGGATGGACCTTGGACCATGGTCCCCATCAGAGGTGGCATTCACTTACTTTCCCTACTGGTTCGCCAATGGGAGCGTGCTCATGCACCCGGTCTTCCATGCATGCACTTTTCTGGCATGCACACCTTCTGTGCATGTGCCTGGACTCAAAAATGTGCCTAAATAAGATGGCATGGAGCCGTGGTGGATGGGCAGGCCCACCCATGATTTCCATTACCGGTTCAGGTGAACCGGTGAGAACCGACTGAATACCAGCTCTGGTCCCCATTCAAGGAGAACGCTGTCCTTAGGGGGCTGTTGCTACAGGGCAGAGCCTCTGAAATTCATTTGGATTTAGTACTAATGGGGTATTTGAAAGATCTCTTCACCCAGAAAGTCAATGTAGGAGAAAAGCAGGCAGAGCTGAGAGGCAGAGTTAAGTGTGTCATCAGTTTAGAGTCATTATGTTGTCACAAATGGTCCATGTCCGATCCCTTCCGAATTCCATTAATTCTTAATTCCCTTAACGGTTGCTGGAATTGGGGATATCTAGTTTAATGAAAAGAAGGACTAGGGGAGACATATTAGCAGTGTTCTTATATCTCAGGGGCTGCCACAAAGAAGAGGGAGTCAAGCTATTCTCCAAAGCACCTGAGGGCAGGACAAGAAGCAATGGGTGGAAACTAATCCAGGAGAGAAGCAACCTAGAACTAAGGAGAAATTTCCGGACAGTGAGAACAATTAACCAGTGGAACAACTTGCCTCCAGAAGTTGTAAATGCTCCAACACTGGAAGTTTTTAAGAAGATGTTGGATAACCATTTGTCTGAAGTGGTATAGGGTTTCCTGCCTAAGCAGGGGGTTGGATTAGAAGACCTCCAAGGTCCCTTCCAACTCTTTTATTCTATTCTATTCTTATCTAGAACCAATTTAGTATTGAACTTTTAATTGACTAGATTCTCGTTTTATAGGCTTGAGCAATAAATCCACTGAACTGCAACTTAACACATGGTCGCGATCCTTTTGCCCCTGACATTAATTTAGTCAGTTGCAATTCAGAAGATGTATCGTTCACGCTTCTACACAAGAATCTAGTCAACTGAAGTTCAGTACTAAACTGTTGCCAGATAAGGGTCAATGGAATTCAAGATTTGGACCATTTGTGGCGACGTAAAGATTCTAAATTTATGACATGCTTAACTCCACCACCACCACCACCCCCAGCTCTGCCTTCTCGCCTCCTACAGGTTCATTGTCTGGAGTTTAGATCAGAGTTCCCCAACCTTTTCGGCTTTGTGGATTGGCGGGGATAGGAGAAGGGATGATTCCGCGTGAGTGGCGAGTAAGCACGTGCAGCTTCATTTGTGTGAGCAACGGGCATGTGTGCTCCCCGCTCATGCAAATGGAACATGCATGCATGCGCTCACTGTTCGCGCAAGTGGGGATGTGTACACATGCTCATCTGCCACTTCCGCAGCCCGGTTCTAAATGGCTTAAGGCCCAGAGGTGGATCACGGCCTGGATGGTTGGGGATCCCTAGCTTAGTTTGGGGCTCATAAGAAGCATTGGGTGTTTCTAACAAGGTCAGAAATCTTTGGCAATATTGTGGCCTGTCAGCCACCGGCCCCTCCAGCAGCCGAATCAGATGACGAGAAAGCATGGGAGTCAGGATCAGCATCAAGGCAACCTGAGAGCTCCGAGGGGGAAGAGGGAATGGAGCTGGCAGAGAGAGAGAGAGAGAGACAGAGGCGGAGCCTGGGCCGTCCATCAGCCCTCAGATGGAGAGTCAACAGCCCCTAGGTCTGGAGGTGACTGATGAGGAAGAGGAGGAACAGCTGGGTCCAGTGCCTGACGTGCGGATGCACAGAAGGCAGAGGAGAGGAGAGTAGTGGAAATCTATGGGCCGGTCCTTGGAACAGATGAGCCGCTGCTGCTAGCGGAGCCCCACCCTAGCTCTGGGGATAAAAGGCAGGGAGCAGAGACGAATAGATGTGGCAGACAACTATTCATCTCCCTGCCGGACAGACTTGTTAGCCTGTGTTGAGAGAGAAACTTTGTGCCGGGGCAGCTGGCGCTCCTAATAAAGGAATCATTGATTTAAATACAGAGGGTTGGTCGTGTTTGGGGAGCTGGGTCAGAATAGACAAGCGTCCTCCAAAGCAAATGTGGAGGATGGGAAACCAGTCAAGATAGAGGTACAGATTCAGATGCAGAATGGGGGTGGAGGTTAGTATTGCAGGAATAAGCCATGGAAGCAACTGCTTCAAAATAACAAGCAAAACATTAGATATATTAGCACAAATAGTGACTTACGGAGTAAAGACTGTCAGGTGGTGGAGAAAATCAGAGAAATGCTGTGACGGGGGAAAGAAACATTTTTGATGGTGACTGACCTACCCTCTCTCATATTTTTTTTCTCCGGTGTCCATTCTCCCTTTCTGGTTTGCTTTAGTGTACACTTACGTCCAAAGCCGGTTTTATCGTTCTCCAGAAGTCATCCTGGGCCACCCGTATACAACCTCAATCGATATGTGGAGCTTGGGTTGCATCATGGTTGAGCTCTACACGGGGTACCCCCTTTTCCCAGGGGAAAATGAAGTGGAGCAGCTTGCCTGCATTATGGAGGTACCTTGTTTTATGTTTGTTTTTGTCTGTTTTATTAAATTTGTATACCACCCTACTCCCGAAGGACTCAGGGCGGTGAACAGGCATAGAATAAAATACAGAAATACAAAAGTTAGAAACAATTTAAAACCAAATTAAATAATTTAGTCCAAAACAATTAAAAATCCCAATAATTTAAAACAAATTAAAATTTCAGTTTAAAAATTTAAAAGAAAGGGGAGAAAAAATTAGGCCAGGCCGGCTTGCTGGAATAGAAGGGTTTTAAGAGCACGGCGGAAAGTGCGCAGATCCGGGATCCTCCGTATCTCCGGGGTCACACGGGAGCGCCATGTTGCTCCCATAACCACCCGCGCAGCCGCACTCTGCACCAGTTGAAGCTTCCGGGTGCTCCTCAAGGGGAGCCCCATGTAGAGACCTTCTGTTACATCATTAACGAGGTCGGTAAAATGAGGACCCAGATTGTTGGAGGCAGTGTGCCGATTCTGTAAACCGCTTAGAGAGGGCTGTAAAAGCACTATGTAGTGGTATATAAGTCTAAGTGCTATTCAGTAGTGAAATCCAAATTTTTTACTACCAGTTCTATGGGCGTGGCTTGGTGGGTACGGTGTGGCTTGGTGGGCATGGCAGGGGAAGGATATTGCAAAATCTCCATTCCCACACCACTCTGGGGCCAGCCAGAGGTGGTATTTACCGGTTCTCCGAACTACTCAAAATTTCCGCTACTGGTTCTCCGAACTGCTCAAAATTTCTGCTACCGGTTCTCCAGAACCTGTCAGAACCTGCTGGATTTCACCCCTGGTGTTATTGCTGTCTAAATCATTCAGGCGAAGTGCTTAGACTGCAGTATTGCAGCGCTGTTCTCTTCGACCACGTAGTTTCACCTGGATTTATAGTAGTGCAATATCCCTTGTCACAACCTAGCACAGTGTTAAATAGAGCGGCCTTAAATCCAGTCACTTGCCGTATTTTTTAGAGTATAAGACGCACCTTTCCCTCCCAAAAAAAGAGGGTGAAAGTCTGGGTGCGTCTTATACTCCGAATGTAGCCCCGCCCAACTTCTCAAACACAGGTTTCAGAAGCTGAAAAAAGCATCAGAAACGAAGCTTCAGAATAAAGCCCCCAAACAGAGTTTCAGAAAAAAAGCCTCCAAACAGAGCTTCAGAAAAAAAGCCCCCAAACAGAGCTTCAGCGGCTTTTTTTCTGAAGCTCTGTTTTGGAGGCTTTCAGAGGCAGGAATTTTTTTTTTTTTCTGAAACAGAGTTTCAGAAATTTCAGAGGCAGAAGAAAAAGCAAAAAAAAGAGCTCACAACCAAGGAACCTGTTGCTAAAATTCACCTCTGGGAACAGCTGTTTGGGGGTATTCCGGGAGGCCGATCCACCTGCCAATCAGCTTTTTTTCTTATTTTCCTCCCCAAAAACGAAGGTGCATCTTATACTCCAAAAAATACGGTACTCTGAGCCAAGTCCTGAAATGGCTACTCAATCCACAGCTCAGCTTTGGACTTCAACTATATTAACTACTGATTGGTTTACAGAGAAATTGTAAACTCACTCTCTCTCTCTCTCCCTCTCTCTCCCTCCCAACCTCCCTCTCTGTCTTTCATCTCTCTGTTTTTTTCTTTCATTTTAAAGATCTTAGGACTTCCACCATCCGATTTCATTCAAACTGCATCAAGAAAACGAACGTTCTTTGGTAAGCATTGATCATTACTGAACAATTCACTTAAGTGGCTGTAATGATGAGGAAAAAAGTCTCTATTTTGAGGACTGCTTTATGCAGAGAGAACGTGGCTCTGATTTAAGCATTTATCCACCTAATATTCATCATCCCCCCCCCATCTTCATCACGGGAAGAGCCGTGGTGATGCAGTGGTTGGAATGCAGTATTGCAGGCTAACTCTGCCCACAGCCATGAGTTCGATCCTGACCAGTTCAAGGTTGACTCAGCCTTCCATCCTTCTGAGGCCGGTAAAATGAGACCCCAGATTGTTGGGGGCACAATAGGCTGACTCTGTAAATTGCTTAGCGTTGTGAAGCGGTATATAAGTCTAAGTGCTGGTGCTATAAATATAATATAAGATGTATAAAATATATAAATTGTAAGAGCCATGGTTGCACAGTGGTTAGAATGCAGTATTGCAGGCTAACTCTGCCCACTGCCAGGCGTTCGATCCTGATGGAGCTCACGATTGACTCGGCCTTTGTGAGGTTGGTAAAATGAGGACCCAGATTGTTGCGGGCAAGATGCTGACTCTGTAAACCGCTTAGAGAGGGCTGTAAAAGCACTGTGAAGCGGTATGTACCCTGTTTTCCCCAAAATAAGACATCCCCTGATAATAAGCCCAATCGGGCTTTTGAGCGCATGGCAATAAGGCCAAGCGCTTATTTCAGGGTTCAAAAAAAATATAAGACAGGGTCTTATTTTCGGGGAAACACGGTAAGACTAAGTGCTGGTGCTATTTTACACAAATGGGCTATTTTGGATCCTACGTGTTCACTTATCACTGTCACACAGTGAAATGCAACAGATGCACTGAACAACACTGCTTGAGCTGGCACCAGCCAGAAAGCCCTGCTGTGGATCCAAGGCAGAAAAATATGAATAGAATAGAATAGAATAGAATAGAATAGAAAATATGGAATGGAATAGAATAAGAATGGGATGGAATAGAATAATTAGAATAGAATAGAATAATTAGAATAGAATAGAATAATTAGAATAGAATAGAATAGAATAATTAGAATGGAATGGAATGGAATGGAATGGAATAGAATAGAATAGAATAGAATAGAATAGAATAGAATAGAATAGAATAGAATAGAATAGAATAGAATAGAAAATATGGAATGGAATGGAATAGAATAATTAGAATAGAATAGAATAGAATAATTAGAATAGAATAGAATAGAATAAATAGAATAGAATAGAATAGAATAGAATAGAATAGAATAGAAAATATGGAATGGAATGGAATGGAATGGAATGGAATAGAATAGAATAGAATAGAATAGAATAGAATAGAATAGAATAATATAGAATAACAGAGTTGGAAGGGACCTTGGAGGTCTTCTAGTCCAACCCCCTGCCCAGGCAGGAAACCCTACACCACTTCAGACAAATGGTTATCCAACCTCTTCTTAAAAACTTCCAGTGTTGGGGCATTCACAACTTCTGGAGGCAAGTTGTTCCACTTATTAATTGTTCTAATTGTCAGGAAATTTCTCCTTTAGTTCTAGGTTGCTTCACTCCTTGATGAGTTTCTACCCATTGCTTCTTGTCCTGCCCTCAGGTGCTTTGAAGAATAGTTTGACTCCCTCTTCTTTGTGGCAACCCCTGAGATATTGGAACACTGCTATCATGTCTCCCCTAGTCCTTCATATGGATGGATGCTGCTACAAGGGACATTGTGTTTGTAGAAAAAAATCTGATGCCCCTTTTTTGAATGTAGCATGCACTGCGTAAAAAATGGAACCCACCCTCTATGCCTACAGCCAATTAATTTTGTAATTAAGAATTCCTACTTGGCTGGCTGGCCATAAAATGAAACTTCTAGCTCTATAGACAATTTCAGACAAACAAGTAGTGTGCAAGACTGCAACATTGGCTGTCTCTGAATATGTGTAATTTTATTCTGTGTAGACCAGGCGGTCTGCAACTTTAAACACTCAAAGAACCACAAAGGTCCTAACCAGAAGCTCGCGTTCAATTCTGGAGCTGACCGGAAGTCCGGTTCCCCCACCATAGAGTCTCCTCCTAGCGCGGCGTCCTTTTTCCTCTGCCGACTGGAAGTCTGGTTCCCCCACCATAGAGTCTCCTCCTAGTGTGGTGTCCTTTTTCCTCTATCTATCCCAACCAAAAGCCCTATCAATTGTGGAGCCGACCGGTGACAAGGAGCCACAGCAGAGGGATGAAAGAGCCACATGCGGCTCCAGAGCCGCAGGTTGCTGACCTCTGTTGTAGACTGACAGTTCGTGCAAACGCCTCTCCGTTTCACAATCTCAGCTGATGTGGAAATGTACCCACGGTTGTAAAATCTGTTTCCCTCTTTCGTAGATTCCAACGGTGTTCCGAAAAGCGTCACAAACACCAGAGGGAAAATAAGGAACCCAAATTCCAAAGATCTAAGCACCGTCTTGAAAACGCATGTTGGCTCCTTTCTGGATTTTCTCAAGAAGTGCCTCGTGTGAGATTATTTTTTGAAACAAGATTATTTTGCTAAATCCTTGCTTTTATTTTTCCCATGCTTTCAAAAAAGAAATAGCTGTAGAGAAATGGAGAATTGTAGAGAAGTTATTCTTGGGTAGCTTAATTCCCCATTTGGTCAATTATAATCATAATCATAATCATAGGTTTAATTGTCAAGCACGTATAAGATAACAGGTAAAAGTATAAACATAATTTGAATACATGAAAAGAGTAAGTAAAAAGGAATATTTAGGACAGGGACGGTAGGCACGCTGGTGCACTTATGCACCCTCCTTACAGACCTCTTAGGAATGGGGTGAGGTCAACAGTAGACAGTTTAAGATTAAAGTTTTGGGGGTTTGGGGAAGAAACTACAGAGTCAGGGAGTGCATTCCAGGCATTGACCAATCTGTTACTGAAGTCATATTTTCTACAATCAGGTTTGGAGTGGTTTACCTTGAATTTGTATCTATTGTTTGCTCATGTATTGTTGTGGTTGAAGCTGAAGTAGTCATTGACAGGAAGGACATTGTGGCAGATAATTTTATGTACTATGTTTAGGTCTGACTGAAGTCGGCGTAGTTCTAAGTTGTCTAAGCCCAAAATTTGGAGTCTGGTGGCATAAGGTATTTTATTGCGGTTAGAGGAATGGAGGACTCTTCTCGTAAAATATCTCTGGACTCTCTCGATTGTATTTATGTCCGATATGCAGTGCGGGTTCCAGACAGATGAGCTGTATTCAAGAATTGGTCTAGCAAATGTTTTGTATGCTCTAGTTCAGTGATGGCTAACCTTTTTGCCATCACGTGCCAGGAGGAGGGGGCAGGGGAGGTTCGCACACGTGTGTGCCTACACCCATAATTCTATGTGGGCCATTTCGGGCCTCCGGAGGATCTCTGGAGGGATGGGGAAGGCTGTTTTCGCCCTCCCCAGATGCATAGAGAGGATTTGGATCCAGGTGAGAAAGAAAAACAGGCCTTCCCCACCCACTCTAGGCCCTCCGGAGGCAGGAAACAGCCTGTTTCCCTACTTCTGGTGAGCCCAGAAGGCCCGAAAATCAGCTGGCATGCGTGCTGGAGCTGAATTGGGGTGCCCACTGATATGGCTACGCGTGCCACCTGTGGCACGCGTGCCATAGGTTTGCCATCAAGGCTCTAGTTAGTAGTACAACATTACCAGAGAAGAAGCTACGCAAGATTAGGTTAACAACTCTTAATGCCTTTTTGGCAATGTTATTACAGTGGGCTTGGGCACCTAGATCTTTAGAAATGATTCCATGTTGCATTTGATGAGTAATTGGAAAATGCATTAAATAGTCTTTCGTCTTTTGTAATAAAACTTTCCTGTGGATTTTGAAGAATTTTCTTATAATATTCTATGTTCTCACACAATCAAGGATGTCTGCAGTGACCATAATTATGACAAAATAAGCAAGGAGGTCTGGTTAGGATCTTGCTTAAAGCAAAGTGTGCCCTTAGTGGCTTCCAAATGTTATGCAGGGTCTTTGCTGTTAAGATTAAACATCTGTAAGCCATCACTGTAAATTCATTGTGAGTCAAGCTCACAAAAGAGCTGTAAAATGGGAAGATGGAAACAAACTGGCTGGAACACACAAATGGCAAAAGTATTTTTTCCCCTTGGAATTCCTTGTCACCCAAGCTTTACTGGCAGCGCAGTGGCTCAGCGGCTAAGACCCTGAGCTTGTCAGCTGGAAAACCGGCAGCCCAGGTTCGAGACCCGAGAGCCATGCGATGGGGTGAACTCCCGTCCTTGCTCCAGCTTCTCCCAACCTAGCAGTTTGAAAGCATGCAAATGCGAGTAGATAAATAGGTACCACTTTGGTGGGAAGGTAACAACATTCCATGATGTCATGCTGGCCACATGACTGCGGAAATATGTCCAGTCAGTGCTGGCTCAATGGCCTTGAAATGGAAATGAGCAGCGCTCCCTAGAGTTGGCAACGACCACCCATGTTTCCCCGAAAATAAGACCCTGTGTTATATTTTTTTGAATCCTGAAATAAGCACTTGGCCTTATTGCCATGCGCTCAAAAGCCCGATTGGGCTTATTATCAGGGGATGTCTTATTTTGGGGGAAACAGGGTAGCAGAGTAAAATCCGATGGGACTCCTTTATTTTTAGCTTTTTAAGCTCTACCTCTTTTTTTTTTACACAATGGTCCTTGAGGTGCAACTATTCATTTAGTGACCATTCAAGATTACATCACTGGAGAAAGTGACATGACCATACCTTGTACTTATGACAGCATCTGCCATCACAATTTGGGTGCTTAGCAACCAATGTATATTTATGAGGGTTGCAGAATCCTGAAATCATACGGTCATCCTTTGCAACCTTCCCAGCCGGCTTCTGATAAGCAGAGTCAGCAGGGAAAGCTAGATTTGCTTAATGACCATGTGACTCATTTAACAACTGCAAAGATTCACTTAACAACCAGGTAAAAGAAGATTGCAAAATCGGGCATGTCTCACTGAGCAGTTGCCTTGCTCAGCAACGGAAATGTTGGTCCCAATTGTGGTTGTAGGCCAAGAACTACCTGTATTAAATAGATACTCGCATCTTCATTTGGACCCTCCCGAAGTAGTCCTTGACATACGACCACAACTGAGCCCAAAATTTCTGTTACTAAGCACCCCATTCTACAATCTTTCTTGTTACAGTTGTTAAGTGAAGCCAGTTGTTAAGCTGGTAACACCATTGTTTAGTACAGTGATGGCTAACCTTTTTGCTGTCGCGTGCCAAAAGCGGGGGGAGCGGGGGGGGTCGTGGGTGCGTGTGCCCACATCCATAATTAAATGTGCCCCGCCTTCCCGCCCATGCGCATGTGACCCCCCCACTTCCCCCTGCTTCTGGCACATGATGGCACAGTGGGCCCGGTAGGCCTGAAAATCAGTTGGAATGGAATAGAAAATATGGAATGGAATGGAATGGAATGGAATAGAATAGAAATCTGGAAGGGACCTATACCATTTCAGTTAAGACGTCTCCGTGGTCATGTGGCCGGCGTGACTCAACGCCAAAGGCACACGGAACACTGTTACCTTCCCACCAAATGTGGTCCCTGTTTTTCTACTTGCATTTTTTACGTGCTTTTGAACTCCTAAGTTGGCAGAAGCTGGGACAAGTAACGGGAGCTCACCCCATTACATGGCACTAGGGATTCGAACCGCTGAACTGCCGACCTTCTGATCGACAAGCTCAGTGTCTTAGCTACTGAGCCACCGCATCCCTTTTATTAGTCTATTATTTTATTTTATTTTAGCCTTTTTTAGTCTAGCCTTAATCTGTTTTTTTATTATTATCCTCTCTTCATATCAAGATGGAAACCTTCTTCGCGCATGATTCCGGAAGAAGCCATCCACCACACTTGGATGGAAGAACCGTGGCCGCCCAGACTGAAACAGAAGCCCAAGACGGCTACGAAGCTGAGCGAGACAACTTTCTACACCCCGGAGAAGAAAAAGGAAAACGCTCATAAAAATACACAGATAGAAAAAGGAGGTTGTTTAGTTTTAATTCTTGCTTTCCTTTAAAAAAAATAATAATAATAACCAAAGCTCTACATGTACTCCTCGACTTACAATCATTCCATTCGGCGACCGTATGAAGTTAGAACAGTGCTTTAAAAAAAAGGGTGACTGAGGACCAGTCCTCACACTTATGACAGCCCCCCCCCAGGCAGTGGTGGGATTCAAATAATTTAACAACTGGTTCTCTGCCCTAATGACTGGCTGGGTGGGCGTGGCCATGGTAGGTGTGGCCAGGGGGTGTGATAGGCAGCACTCGGTCTCCTGCACCCCCCTAGGAGCAAAAACGGGCCGTGGGGGGACACCTCCCCACCGTGCCCCATTTTGGGCCTAGTAGGCCTCCTTGCAGCCACCTGGGAGCAAAAACAGGCCACGAGGCCGCGCTGCATCCCCCTGCACCCTGTTTTGGGCCTAGTAGGCCTCCCTGCAGCCTCCTGGGAGCAAACATCGGTCCCGGGGGGACTTCTGGAAGAGGCAGGGAGGGAAGGGGAGGGGCCAGCCAGCAATTTAATAACCGGTTCGGCCGAAGTGGTGCGAACCGGTTGAATCCCACCACTGCCCTACAGTCACTTGCTCAAAATTTGGGCACCTGGCAATGACACATTTATTTTACAACAGATACAGCATTCTGGGCTCACATAATCGCCACTTCCCCGGAGACTTTTGACAAGCTAAATCAATAGGGGAAGCTGGATTCGCTTAACAGCTGCGTGATTCGCTCAACGACTGCGGCCAAAGTCATAAAATCTGGCGTGACTCGCTTAGGAGCTGTGATGTGGCATTAGAATGCAGTATAAGCAGTCCTTGACATAGAACAGTTCGTTTAGTCACCCTTCGAAGTTACAACTGAAAAAAGTGACTTACGACCATTTTTCACACTTACGACCTTTGCAGGATTCCCCATGATCATGTGATCCAAATTCTGACGCTCGACAGCTGGTTCATAGTTATGACCATTTTGTGACTTTCTTACAAACAAAGCCAACGGGGGAAGCTAGATTCACATAACAACCAGGTTACTAACTTATCCACTGCAGTCATTCACTTAACAACGGTGGCGAGAAAGGTCATCAAATGAGATGAAACTCCCTTAAAAATGTCTCGCTTCACAACAGAACTTTGGGGCTCAATTGTGGTCGTAAGTTGAGGACTACCTGTATAAAGGAAAAATTTTCCTGGTGATGTGTACAGCAGTGGCACAATCGGTGGGTTCTTTATTTCTTTCTTTTTAGTTTTTAAGAAGCAGCCTTTGGGGTGTGGTTTAATTGATTTTTTTTTTTTTGCACATTGCAGAGGGCTGGACTAGATGATCCCTTTGGTTCCCTCCAGCTCCACAGTTCTATGATTCTATGGCTTCTCTCTGGGTGGCAGGAAGCATAGCAGGTTAGATTTAAAATCAATAAAAACCAAACCAAAGGGACGATATTCCCTCTAAACTCAAAGTGAGAAAAGAAAAAAAATGAATTTAAAAAATGGTCCTCAGAGAATGGCTGTAGACCGGAGTTTGTCACAATTCTGTTGCTTGCTTTCATCCTCTTGCGATGGGCAGGCTAGTGCCAGCAAAATAATATTACAGGTAGTCCTCGACTTATGACCATTCATTTAGTGACCGTTTGAAGTTACAGCAGCACTGAAAAAGCGACTTATGACCATTTTTCACACTTATGGCCATTGCAGCATCCCCATTGGCTTAACGACCCTGTGATTCACTTAACAACCATGGCAGAAAAAAAATTACTGTATTTTTTGGACTATAAGATGTACCTGACTTCTATAAATTTAGAAGAAGAAAACAAACAATAAAAAGTTTTTGGCCTCCACGTGCCTTATTTTCAGCCCTTTTTTGGTGCCTTTTTTTGGTCCTTTTCCAGCCTTTTTTCGGTCCATTTTCAGGGTTTCTTTTGAGGCTTTTTTCGGCCCATTTGTTTGGGTTTTTGTTTTTGTTTTTTGCTTTTTTTGGCCTGTTTTTGAGGCTTTTTTGGCGGGCACCTGGCAACGACACATTTATTTTACAACAGATACAGCATTCTGGGCTCACATAATCGCCACTTCCCCGGAGACTTTTGACAAGCTAAATCAATAGGGGAAGCTGGATTCGCTTAACAGCTGCGTGATTCGCTCAACGACTGCGGCCAAAGTCATAAAATCTGGCGTGACTCGCTTAGGAGCTGTGATGTGGCATTAGAATGCAGTATAAGCAGTCCTTGACATACAACAGTTCGTTTAGTCACCCTTCGAAGTTACAACTGAAAAAAGTGACTCACGACCGTTTTTCACACTTACGACCTTTGCAGGATTCCCCATGATCACGTGATCCAAATTCTGACGCTCGACAGCTGGTTTATAGTTATGACCATTTTGTGACTTTCTCACAAAGAAAGCCAACGGGGGAAGCCAGATTCACATAACAACCAGGTTACTAACTTATCCACTGCAGTCATTCACTTAACAACGGTGGCGAGAAAGGTCATCAGATGAGGCGAAACTCCCTTAAAAATGTCTCGCTTCACAACAGAACATTGGGGCTCAATTGTGGTCGTAAGTTGAGGACTACCTGTATAAAGGAAAAATTTTCCTGGTGATGTGTACAGCAGTGGCACAATCGGTGGGTTCTCTATTTCTTTCTTTTTAGTTTTTAAGAAGCAGCCTTTGGGGTGTGGTTTAATTGATTTTTTTTTTTTGCACATTGCAGAGGGCTGGACTAGATGATCCCTTTGGTTCCCTCCAGCTCCACAGTTCTATGATTCTATGGCTTCTCTCTGGGTGGCAGGAAGCATAGCAGGTTAGATTTAAAATCAATAAAAACCAAACCAAAGGGACGATATTCCCTCTAAACTCAAAGTGAGAAAAGAAAAAAAATGAATTTAAAAAATGGTCCTCAGAGAATGGCTGTAGACCGGAGTTTGTCACAATTCTGTTGCTTGCTTTCATCCTCTTGTGATGGGCAGGCTAGTGCCAGCAAAATAATATTACAGGTAGTCCTCGACTTATGACCATTCATTTAGTGATCGTTTGAACTTACAGCAGCACTGAAAAAGCGACTTATGACCATTTTTCACACTTATGACCATTGCAGCATCCCCATTGGCTTAACGACCCTGTGATTCACTTAACAACCATGGCAGAAAAAAAATTACTGTATTTTTTGGACTATAAGATGTACCTGACTTCTATAAATTTAGAAGAAGAAAACAAACAATAAAAAGTTTTTGGCCTCCACGTGCCTTATTTTCAGCCCTTTTTTGGTGCCTTTTTTTGGTCCTTTTCCAGCCTTTTTTCGGTCCATTTTCAGGGTTTCTTTTGAGGCTTTTTTCGGCCCATTTGTTTGGGTTTTTGTTTTTGTTTTTTGCTTTTTTTGGCCTGTTTTTGAGGCTTTTTTGGCCCATTTTCGAGGCTTTTTTCAGCATGTTTTGAGGCCTTTTTTTGCTCATTTTTGAGGCTTTTTTGAGCCCATTTTCAAGGCTTTTTTCGGCCCATTTTCAAGGCTTTTTCCAGCCTGTTTTTGAGGCTTTTTTCGGCCCGTTTTTTAGGCTTTTTTTGGCCCATTTGTTTGGGTTTTTGTTTTTTGCTTTTTTGGCCTGTTTTTGAGGCTTTTTTGGCCCATTTTCGAGGCTTTTTTCAGCATATTTTGAGGCCTTTTTTTGCTCATTTTTGAGGCTTTTTTGGGCCCATTTTCAAGGCTTTTTTCGGCCCATTTTCAAGGCTTTTTTCGGCCCATTTTCAAGGCTTTTTCCAGCCCGTTTTTGAGGCTTTTTTCGGCCCATTTTTGAGGCTTTTTTCGGCCCATTTGTTTGGGTTTTTGTTTTTTGCTTTTTTTGGCCTGTTTTTGAGGCTTTTTTGGCCCATTTTCGAGGCTTTTTTCAGCATGTTTTGAGGCCTTTTTTTGCTCATTTTTGAGGCTGTTTTCGGCCCATTTTTGAGGCTTTTTTTGGCCCGTTTTTTCCAAAAAATGGACCAAAAAGCCAAAAATGAGGCGTACAGAGGCAAAAAAACCCGACCGGTGGGTGTGCGGAGCTTCGGCAATATTCGATCTATAAGACGCACAGACATTTTCACCCCCTTTTGTGAGACCAAAAAGTGCATCTTATAGTCCGAAAAATACGGTAATAAAATCAGGCCCTGCTCACTTAAACAACTGCCTTGCTTAACAATAGGAGTCGTGCTCCCAACTGTAGTCGTAAGTCGAGGATTACCTGTATCTGAAAGCTTGGATAGCGGCCAATTCGCATGTCTATTTGCTGATCTCTGGTTTTAGTTTTCAAACCCAACAATAATATTTGGCGCTTTTCCTGTTCCGCAGATGACATCGCTCGGCAACAGTCCAGCACAGAAGTAAAATCCGACCCACCTGAAAAATTACCGGTTTCACATCAAAAACTTTCTCCCGTTGCATTGTCCGAAGAAGTAAATAAAGAGGAAAATCAAGAGTCAGTTAAACCAGATACTCCAGCAAAGGAAACAGAACCTCTGAATGATAAAGTGGCTAAAAGAGATCACAGGCCAGGGAAGGTCTTGCGAAAAAATATAAGCATCTTACCACCCATTAAGTACAAGCAGTGATTGATTCTCTTTCCGTACAGTTTCTAGATAAATATTTTGCTGTAACGTGTTCAAGAACAGAAATTTAATGCATCTCTCTCTCTAATCGTGGTCTGTGCACTTTTATTGGCGGTGTTGGTCCTTAGATGGGACTATAGACCTCCCGGTCTCCTGGTTTCTAATAAACTGAATTCACATGTGCCGGATATTGAATCATGGACTCCTAAGGAACTTGTCAGGCTCCAAAAAAAAAAAAGAAAAGAAAAGAAAAGAAAAGATCATGCTATGAAAATATAGTAATTTGTGTATTCAAGCAATAAATCGTGGTTTGTTCATTAAAGCGAGCTGAAAATTTATCAGGGAGCGAAAATCGCATACCAAAGGCATGAATAGATTTGTAGACGAATAGAAAAAGGTTTAATAAATGTGAAGAAGAAATAGCGCTACAAATTCAAGATAAATATCATCTGTAAAATGGTTTGCCTAAAAAAAAAAAAAAAAACCCAAATAACATTTCAAGCAAAATAATGTGTCTGGCTGTTTTTTTGCAAAGGAGTGGAGTCCCATATAAAGCTAAGGATTAGGGCATATCTAAAGGAGTGGTGCAGTGGCCTAGAGGTGGAGCTCTCGCCTCACAATCAGGAGGCTGTGAGTTCGATCCTAGGTAGAGGAAGATATTTCTCTCTCCGGGGCACAATGAGAATATATCTGCTGAACAAAACTCCGCATTGGTGACAGGAATGGCATCTGGCCATTAAAACACTCTGCTAGCTCCATTTAGTTGCCCAGAGTCCACCCCGCAAAGGATTATGGGGTCGTTAAAAGGAGATGATGATCTAATAAAAGATGAAGGAAAAAGAAGGTTCAGGAGTGGACAGCCACTTGTCAGAAATGGTATAGGGGGCTTGAGCAGGGAGTGGGACTAGATCAGTGGTGGGTTGCTACCGGTTTGCCCCAGTTCAGGCGAACCGGTAGCAGCCGTAGTGGGAGGCTCCGCCCACCTGCCTGACATCATAAAATACGATCTATGTATGCGCAGAAGTGGCGTGCATGCGAGCGAACCAGTAGCAAAGTGAAACCCACCCCTGGACTAGATGACCTAAAACAGTGATGGCTAACCTTTTTGCAATCGCATGCCAAAAGTGGGGGGAGTGTGGGGGATCACGCGCACATGTGCCCACACCCATAATTCAATGCTCCCCCACGTCTTCCCCCCGCGCATGCGCACATGACCCCTGCTTTTGGCACGCAACGGCAAAAAGGTTACCGGTGGGCCCGGTAGGCATGTTTTTCGCCTTCCCCAAGCTCCAGAGGCTTTCTTGGAGCCTGGGGAGGGTGAAAACGGCCTCTCCCACCCCAGGGGCCCTCTGGAGGCTGGAAACAGCCCATTTCCCAACTTCCGGTGGGCTCGGAAGGCCTGAAAATCAGCTGGCTGGCACGCGCATGCATGCTGCAGCTGAACTATGGCAACGCTCGCGTGCCCACAGATATGGCTCCGTGTGCCACCTGTGGCACGTGTGCCATGGGTTCGCCGTCACGGACCTAAAAGGTCCCTTCCAAGTCTGTTATTATGTAATAGGGATAGCAAACCATTTTAGCTTAGGGCTTGAATTAGTTAGGGCTTGAGAAGAAAAATGTTGGATGGAATTTTCAGGAGGGTTTGCCGATATTAGATTTGTGGTGACAAATTGATTTTTATGTGCCTTCAGAAGAAATAGAAAAAGGAGCACAGTGGCTTGAATGATTGGGATGCTGGGCAGGAGATTAACAAGCAAGCTCGTATTCGAGATTTGAGAGCTGTCATGGGATGGGGTTGAGCTCTTATCCTTCCCTCCAGCTCCTGCCCGGGACAAGAAAAGAATCCTCAACTGGACATCCCCCTCAAGCAACAGTGGTGTCACCGGCTCATCCTTTCAACCCAGCAGTGCCTCAGTGCTTCTGACACAAGGAGAAATAGGAGCTAATATAGAGTTGATAGCTAGGATGGAAGATAACTTCTTATGAAGCACCAAGCAAGGATCATCCTGATGGAAAAGATCTCTCTCCACAAAAACTAGAAGCAAAAAATATCTTAAAATGAAGATGGATTTATCTAACATTCCTGCTGGTTCACCAGGTCTGGATTTGGGAACCTGGGGAGTCCATTAAAATAATTCCCAAGGGAAAAAAAATACCTGTGTTTGTGTATTTCTGCCTGCTTATTCTGTCAAACATATTGCTGTCTTTGTTGTGGCCCATCAGCGGCCTGTGCAGATTGTAGCTGATTCTGACAGCGAGGAGGCTGGTTGGTGCTGCGCCAGCAGCCTGTGCAGCTGGCACTCGAGTCAGACAATGAGGAGGCTGGAGAAGATGTGGTGCCAGAGGCGGGGATTCAGCCAGGGCCTTCAGAACCTCCAGAAGCTCCTTTAAGTGAAGAGGATGAAGAGGAGGAGCCTCTTCTCGATGCACGGGCGCGCAGAGCTGCCAAAAGGCAGGAGTGGCTCCTCAGGAGGAGGTCTCCTCAAGAGTAAGGCTTGGGGCTAACTGGCCACTCCCTTAGCCTATTTAAGAAGGAACACCGACTGAAGCAATTTGTACGGAACAACTTTAGTTCATTCTCCTTCACGTCTGGATTCTCTGCAAATTGCTTCTGAGCTTTCCGCCAACGTTAGTAAGATTGTGATTACTTTATCTTTGGTTTCTTGTAGGCTGTTAAGGAAGTTTATTAACAGCCTTTGTTTGGAAAAGAGTGAGTTATTTTAGTAAATTTAAGTTTTGTACAGACTTTGTGTGTGCTGTGTTCTTTGGGGTCTGTAGCTGGGCAGAACAGTCTTTGGAGCTTCATAGTGTAGACAGGTAGTCCTCGACTTATGACCACAATTGAGCCCAAAATTTCTGTTGTTAGGCGAGACACTTGTTAAGGGAGTTTTGGCCTGTTTTGTGACCTTTTTTGCCACAGTTGTTAAGGGAATCACTGTGGTTCATAAGTTAGAAACATGGTTGTTAAGTGAATCTGGCTTCCCCATGGACTTTGCTGGTCAGAAGGTCACAAAAGGGGATCACGTAATCCTGGGACACTGCGACCATCATAACTATGAACCAGTTGCCAAGCATCTGAATTTTGATCACATGATGATGGGGCTGCTACAGAAATCGTAAGTGTAAAAAATGGTCATAACTCACTTTTTTTTTCAGTGTGGTTGTAACTTTGAATGGTGCCTAGATAAACTGTTGTAAGTCAAGGACAACCTGTTTGTCATAACTAAGCACATAAAGAGCAATCGTACTCAACCAAATCCCATGTATGCTGTATTCAATTGTTTGTATATTTTAATTTCCATAACTACATAGAGCAGTGATGGTTAACCTTTTCGACACTGAGTGCCAAAACTGGAGCGTGCATGCACGCAATAGTGCCAGAGCCTGGAATAGAACAGCTGTCCGCTGCGAATGCTCGTGGTGGCCAGCTGCTCTTCCGGGTCCCATCACGCATGTGCATGCCAGACAGCTGCTCTCTTCCAGGTTCCAGCACGCACATGTACATACATGTGCGTGACGGAACCCGGAAGAGCAGCTGGCGGTGCCGTGCGTGCCCACAGGGAGGGCTCTGCATTCCACGTCTGGCACGTGTGCCATAGGTTCACCATCATGGATATAGAGCAGTGGTGCAATTCAGCCAGTTCTATCCGGATCGCGCGAACTGGTAGCGGCGGCTTCAGGAGGCTCCGCCCACCTGTCCTAACATCATTTTTTACCCTCTGCGCATGCGTGTCGGTGGTGTATGCACTCACATTTGCGAACCGGTAGCGAAGGTAAGTGAATACTACCCCGGATATAGAGGGGTGGCACCCCCAATCCTTTTAGGTTAGCCTCTGCTGCCTGTGGAACCATAACAAACAATCTTTGGTATTGAATTGTAGGCCATTCTCTAATTTCTGAGAGGAATTTATCCTACAAATCCCACCTAATGAACTGAAAAACTCAAGAAAAAGCAGGCAAATATTTTTTTTTTGGACAAGTATACCCAATAAATCTACGAATTCTGAAATATGTAACAAGAACTGGACACTTATCATTTAATAAGTGAGGTGATTGATTTCCTTATGGAAAATAGTTGATTTTCAGAGGATGAGGAGAGGCTGAAGCTCACGCCAATGTCTTTTAACAAGTCCTGTCTTCTGATGTAAACAACACAACTAAACACTCCTCAGATGGGGCTGTCGACGTATGAACAAGTGAAAAAAGCCATGGTCAAAACTGAGCTTTTTATGGAGTTAAGCGATTGTAGTGCTTAACATTAGCAGTTCGAAAGCAGGTAAAAAAATGCAAGTAGAAAAATAGGGACCACCTTTGGTGGGAAGGTAACAGCACTCTGTGTGCCTTTGGCGTTGAGTCATGCTGGCCACCTGACCACAGAGACGTCTTCAGACAGCGCTGGCTCTTCGGCTTTGAACGGAGATGAGCACCGCCCCCTAGAGTCAGGAACAACGTCTTGCTCCACGCACCACAAAATAATAAGACCTCCCCGAAAATAAGGCCAAGCGCTTATTTTGGGGTTCAAAACAAATATAAGACAGGGTCTTATTTTCGGGGAAACACGGTAGCTTACAGAGTATATTGTAGAGGCAGATCGTAGAGTCCTCAGTACGATAAGATTCTATCTATATGTGTGAAACAACAAAGAACATGGAAGAATTGCCATATGTCGTTTTTGGTTTTGAGCCTGACACCAGAGGGGGAGGAGAGGATTTTGCACAGTTCACCTCTAATGTGCCAATTATGGCCCTTATTGATATTCTAGTCAACTCTTATTTGGATTATGTACATGCAGTACATGGAATACCCTTGGAAAACGTTAGAAGCTAATATAAAATTTGGCAGCCTGGGCAGGTAAGACTGTTGATTTGGGAATTGCACAGGATGCCAGTTGAATTTGGGGTGTTATTTTTAGTACTTTTAAGGGCCCACAATGCTCCAGACTGAGTTATCTGAGGGATCAGAGGTGGGTTTCAGCAGGTTCTGACGACTTCTGGGGAACCGGTAGCGGAAATTTTGAGTAGTTCGGAAAACTGGTGTTAGCGTCTCAGCACTGACATAGAAAAGGGAGGAGAAGCCTGAACTTTTGCCCGCTAAATCCCTTTGAAGATTCGGTTTCCTTGGAGATGGGGAGGGGGGAGACATTCCTGTGACCTGACGAAGAAGGAATCAGGAAAGTGACTTGGAAGATAGCCAATGAGAGAATTGGGGATCGGAAAGGGAGGGATTGGGGGGCAAAGGTCAGTACTGACCGCGAAAAGAGTCAGGATCAGATTGCTGTGCTCGAATAAAGAGAAAATTTCCTTAAAGATCGGCAGTTTGGAAGTTCATTTATTTTGAGATAGCATCGAAACCTGACAACCAGTAAATACCACCTCTGACTGGCCCCGCCCTCATCTATTCTCTGCCTCCTGGGTCCCAGCTGATCGGGAGGAAATGGGGATTTTGCAGGAACCTTCCCCTGGAGTGGGAAGGGAATGGAGATTTTGCAGGAACCTTCCCCTGCCACGCCCACCAAGCCACACCCACAGAACTGGTAGTAAAAAAAATTTGAAACCCACCACTGTGAGGGATCACCTTCTTCCACATTCTTCTGCCCATCTGATCAGTTCCTCTAGGTCCGTGATGGCGAACCTGTGGCATGCATGCCAGAGGTGGCAGACAGTGTCCTCTCTGTGGGCACGCGAACCATCGCCCCAGACCTGCTCTGCCGTGCATGTGCACGCCTCCCACTGGCCAGCTGGTCTTTGGGTCTCTGCCGCACATGCGCAGGGAACGGGACACATGCGGCAGGGCTGTGCGTTCATGTGGGAGAGCGCATGCGGGGGGCTGCGGCGGGGTGCCGCATGCAGGAGGGGCATGCACGCATGCACAGGGGCACATTTACTTAACAACCGTGTTACTAACTGAAAAACTGCCGTGCTTCACTTAATAAGAAAGGTCATAAAATGGGGCAAAATTCACTTAACAGCTGTCTCGCTTAGCAACATACATCTCAGGATCAATCGTGGTAATAAATTGAGGATTATCTGTAATAGGCGCCCTGGCTGCAATCTCAAAACAGCTGGAGTAGCACTTGAAAGCTGTCGGCATTGACAAAATCCCCATCGGTCAATTGCAAAAGGCAGCTCTCCTCGGAACAGCTTACATCCTGCTACGATCCCTTTAAGACCATCAAAGCATCTACATCTCCCTAGCTCAGGTCCTTGGTAAGGACTCGATAGGTGGACCAAAATGCCAAAATCCATTCTAAACATCTGGGTGATTGTGTGATGAACTGCAATAATAACAATAATAATAACAACAACAACAGGTCTGGAAATAATACTTCACACCGACACTAAGTATTTCCTTCCTTTATTCATTTCACTGCTCAGCAGGGGTTGGGGGAATCAGTAAAACTCATATCATCTTTGACCAATGAGTGCTGTATCAAGGAAAACTAACGGGGTAAGGAGAGGCCTGCGGTCCCGAAGAACCCGAGAGATGCTGGGTTTACAGGTTCTGAAGCAGCCAATCCAGGACTGGCAACCGCACAAAATTGCCCAGAGCTTCTCCTAGCTGCCTTTCCTTCTCATACTTCAGCACAGATTGCATGACGTCTCCCACGCTGTAGTTTCTCTCCACAGCCACCGTGGAGAGTTGCTGGAGCTGCAGGGGAGGACGAGAGGGTTAGAGGAAAAGGGAAATTGTCAAACAGGTACAGGTAGTCCTTGATTTATACCCACAATTGAACCCAACATTTCTGTTGTTAACTGAGACATTTGTTAAGTGCTCCAGCGCCACTCCGGTGCCAGAAGAAGAAGTGGGCAGCCACGCGGGATCTTGCTGGATGGGGCTGTTGGAGCTGTCGCCATGAGGTGAGGCAGTTGTTAGGGTGTGGATAGCCTGGCTGTGGGAGCCCTGAGGTAAGCTGGTGTGGGGCGCGTGGGACAGCTAAAAAAAAAGACACCCACCAAAAATAAGCCCTAGTGCTTATTTTGTAGCCCAAAAGAAAATAAGACCGGGTCTTATTTTCGGGGAAACATGGTACTTGCGGTCAAGACTGATTTGCACTTTCACCTACATTTGTCCTCTGCTCGCAGCTTGACAATAAAAGGGAGGGGGTGGATAGAATGCAGGGGTGGGGGAATGATATTCAAGCATCCGTCAGCTTCCCTGAGACATTGCTGGCATCTTAAGGACACATCGAGCAGATGTCCCAGTGTGGCTGGTTGTTTCCCAGAACAAAATGAACAGACGAGATTAGTGGACATTTTGGACTGTGGGTGGCCGGTAGGGAAAGGGGTGGATTAACTATGCTTGCTTTTGTGCGGGAAATCCAGAACTGGTTCCACTTCTATGCCAGTGTGGATTATTCAATAAAGTTTTATACTCTTGCTAAAATAATACCCTGTGGTGCGGTGGCCTAGAGGTGGAGCTCTCGCCTCACAGTCAGGAGGCTGTGAGTTCGATCCTAGGTAGAGGCAGATATTTCTCTCTCTGGGCACACTGGGAATGTATCTGCTGAACAAAACTCCGCATTGGTGACAGGAAGGGCATCCGGCAGTTCAAACACTCTGCTAGCTCCATTCAGTTGCCCAGACTCCACCCCGCAGGGGATTATGGGGTCATTAAATGAAGATGATGAGATGACTCTTGGTAAAATAATGTCCCAGGAGTCCCTTTTTCTGGATTCGCTAACTGGACGGTTGATGTATGTGCATGCTTTCATGGACTACCTGTGTACAATTATAAACAGGAACAGAAAAAATGTTTCTGCTGCTTCAAACATGAGCAGAACCATCCAATTTTTATCTTCTCCTCACACGCTATTTCCCACACCCTCCCGGCACTTCCAATTGTACCTTGTTCAGGGTTTCTTCATCATCATCCATGAAGTACAACATTGGGACGTTCAACTGAGAGGCTGCCACCCATTGGAGAATGGCTTGGAGTTGCTTGTTGTGAACGTTTTCCGGAGCGCTCTGGTTAGCCACAACCACCTTACGTCCGGTAGGCGTGTCTTCTCCGGATTCTGCTCTGCTTTCCGCATTTCCTGAGCTCTTTGAATAGAAACCTCCACCCATCTCCTCTCCATCTCCGAGTTCTCCAAGTCCCGACTCAGGATTGCTGTATTTGGCGATCATCAGACACAGCTTGGTCACTGTATCGACCAGTTTGTCAACGAAAGGTCCGCTCCCTCCTTCTTTCTTGGCATCGCACTGGTCCAGAATCATTTTGGTGAGTCCGGCTATAGCATCTTCGTAAGAATGGTCCATATCGCATTGTCCTGGAGGACCTAGGCCTAGGCCTTCAGGAGCCTTGAAAGCATTCTGGATTGCTTCATCGGGCATCAATGTCCCTGTATTTCCTCCTAACTTGTTGACGGTCTCGTTGATGAGCTTCTGGATCAGCATGACTACCACGCTTGACATATCGTTTTCTGCGTTCATCCCTAACTGCTCATCCTCACATTGCTTCAAAGTGTCGGATAGTTTTAAAGAGCCAAGGCCTTTATCTTGGGCCAAAAAGCCCAGGCTTCCAGTTGCCTTGCTGGATCGTCCCCCTTCCACTGCATCCTTCATGGCGTTCTCCTGCTGCACCAGATGATATTGTATCAGCAATAACGCGGTCACAATCAGGTCTCTTGCCCAAGAATCGGTGGTAAGATTAGAAAGGTCTGGAACTTCTTGGGTTGGCATAGGCTTGGCGGGCATTGGGATTGCCCCTGTAGTGTCCTGATGTTGCTTCTGATGCCACATGTTGAGACCTTCTTTGATGATGTGATTGCCGACCGTTTCCGCGCAGGTCATTTCCTTATCTTTCATGGTTTCCGTTTTTGCCGCCGAGAACCTCATGTTCTGAGTCTTGGTGTCGGTGCCCTGGCCGGTTTTGATGGTAGTAAAGGCCATGCTCTGAGATTTGGCTTTCTCGCTGAACTGCTTTTGCACAATCAGAGCATTGTGCAGGCGGTTCAGCATGGCTTGCACAATCTCGGAGGCCTTTTGGCTGCCTTGCGTGAAGAGGCTTCGCTTCACGGCGGAAACAAAGTCAGAATCGGTCATGAGAGTCCCAGTAACGTCGTGTAAGTTCTTCATGCAGGAGTCAATCAGGTCGGAAACCACTTCCTTGGAGTGCTTCAGCAGGACCTTCTTCAACACGGCGCACGCGATGTTGGAATCGTTGACTTTGACTTTCATCGTCTTCATCACGGAGACCATCATGTCCGAAACCACGTTATTGGCGTAAACCAGGATCCCTTTGCTCAGCGAGTTGTTGTATTCGTCAGGCCCAAAGCGCTTCCGATGATGGAAGCCTCTGGCCTCGTCCCTTTGAGGCTCGCTTTTATTGGGCACTTCCGTGTTTTCCTCTTTGTAGTAAATGGTGGTTTTCTTTTTGGTGGCGGGGCTTTCTTCGTATCTGCACTCGCACGTCCTGGTAGCGATGTGCTTGGTATCCTCGGTCCCCACCCCAATGGATCGGTGGCCGTGGTCTCCAGCAGCGGCATACAGCGTGTTGTGTATGCAGGTGGGGGTGCTTTCCGAGCGGTCGTTCATCTCCTTGCGTGCCATCGCGATGGCAAGGTTGGAAAGTCTGTTGCAGTAAAAAGAGACTTCATCCGGGTCGGGATTGGGGTTCGGGGAAGAGGACCCCTCGCTTTCTTCATCCTTGGCTTCCTTCTGACAACCGGCCTTCATGCTTAAGTGGAAGTTGGGAGACACCCTGTTGGAGCTGACATTCAGACTGAATTCTTCGTCGCAGGTATTGTAGGGCGCCGGAGAACGGACGTTGCGCTTGGGCATGGTTTGACGTCCGTCGGACGGGTCTCTTGTCCTCGCCCTTCTGGCATTGTTACTGGCGTTCAACACATCCTGGACGCCAACGTCAGACTTCTCCAGATCTTGCCGGAGTCTGCTCAGGACCTTGAGGGGATCAGAGGAAGGTTGCTGGAAAAGCTTAGCAGAGTCAGTCTAAGAAATGGAATAAAGGACTTTTTTTTTTTCATAACAAATCCCTCCCCGTCATCTCCTTGTATGGAAGTGGCACCCAGTGTTTGGTAGGTGGGAAGTCATTCACTGCCTACCCTGGATAAAAGTTTCAAGAGATGTCACTTTGTCTGGGAAAATTAGTAGCAATCTTAAACTGCTGCCCTAAGTACACACAGAATTGAATATACTGTACAACCAGCGGTACTAGGGAACACAATTGTTCCTTGACTTTGGACAGTGGGCAAGGAATGGCTGCTTGCATACCTCCTATCAGGGGTGAAAACCAGCAGGTTCTGACAGGTTCTGGAGAACCGGTAGCGGAAATTTTGAGCACTTTGGAGAACCGGCAAATACCACCTCTGGCTGGCCCCAGAGTGGGGAGGGAATGGGAATTTTGTAGTAGCCTTCTGCTGGAGTGGGGTGGGAATGGAGATTTTGCAGTATCCTTCCCCTGGAGTGGGGTGAGAATGGGGATTTTGTAGTATCCTTCCCCTGGACAGGGGTGGGAATGGAGATTTTGCAGTATCCTTCCCCTGCCACGCCTATCAAGCCATGCCCACAGAACCGGTAATAAAAAAATTTGGATTTCACCACTGCCTCCTATCAACAATGGTTTGGGCCAAGAAAGCTAGCACAAACTTGGAAAGAAGGAAGGAAGGAAGGAAGGAAGGAAGGAAGGAAGGAAGGAAGGAAGGAAGGAAGGAAGGAAGGAAGGAAACAGCATTGGTCGCGTTGGTGGATGATCTCTGGAGGGCTTGGGGTAGGGGTTATTCCTCTATCCTGGACCTGTTAGATCTCTCAGCGGCTTTTGATACCATCGACCATGGTATCATGTTGCGCCGGCTGGAGGGATTGGGAGTGGGGGGCACCGTTTTGCGGTGGTTCTCCTCCTATCTCTGCAGAAGAAGAAGAAGAAGAAGAAGAAGAAGAAGAAGAAGAAGAAGAAGAAGAAGAAGAAGAAGAAGAAGAAGAAGAAGAAGAAGAAGAAGAAGAAGAAGAAGAAGAAGAAGAGAGGAGGAGGGGAGGGGGAGCAGGAAAGAAAGAAGAGGAGGGGGGAGAAGAGGAGGAAGGGGGGAGGAGGAGGAGGAGGAAGGAGGAGGAGGAGGGGGAGTGGGAAAGAAATAAGAGGAGGAGGAAGAGGGAGAAGAGGAGGAGGAGGAGGAAAGAGAAGGGAAAGAGAAGGAGAAGGAGAAGAAGAAGAAAAAGAAAGAAAGAAAGAAAGAAAGGAAGGAAGGAAGGAAGGAAGGAAGGAAGGAAGGAAGGAAGGAAGGAAGGAAGGAAGGAAGGAAGGAGCGGCTGGCTATGCAATGTCCTACTGTAGAGCAATAACCCAAAACACACTTGAGAAAGCTTTCCAGCTACATCTCAGCACAATCAAAAATGTCTTGGAAATCTCTCTCTTTTCTGGTCACGTCTCTGTAAATGCCCTTTCTTCTTTCAAAATGTCAGATGTTCTGGTATTTACTGGTTACTTTAGATAGATGCAAACATGTCTCCCCACCCCCACCCCCAACTCCCCAATCCCCAATCGCTCTCTTCCACTGCCATTCTGTTTTCTCTTCCTCTGCAAAACATCCCAGATGGCAATCTATTCGATGCCACAGGCTTGTAGAGCAGGGGTGAAATGCTCCGGGATCAGACCGGATCGCCCGATCCGGTAGTGATCTTGGCCGGTGGTTCAGCGATCGGGTAGTGATGGCAGAATGAAGCTCCGCCCACCCACCTGGGTGTCATTACTTCCTGGTTTTAACACTTCTGAACCAGTAAGGAAGGTAAGTAGATTTCACCCCTGTTGCAGAGGGGGAGTTTTGAACAAGCTGTGACAACGGTTCCATGAGATTTGAGAGAGCAAGCAGGTTAGATCCCCGGTCTCCTGTTTCGGCTTTTACAGATCATGCCATCAATCACCGTTTGCTGCTTTCCAAGCAAATGATGGTTCGACGGATGTCAGATCCGTATATCTGCCATTCTTCAGGGGAAGTGTTTTTTTTTAATTACTTTCTTTACTTATTGCTCTCTTTCCTACCGTGTTTCCCCGAAAATAAGACCCTGTCTTATATTTTTTTGAACCCTGAAATAAGCGCTTGGCCTTATTGCCATGCGCTCAAAAGCCCGATAGGGCTTATTATCGGGGGATGTCTTATTTTGGGGGGAACAGGGTATATATCCTATATCTTGCAATTTGTTGATTTATAACTTCTAGCCTGGTGCCTAAACGCCCTGGCATTTTCGCACCTTTTGGGGCATGTAAAGATGACCCTGAGAAAGTTCCCTTATCTTTTTTCCAGAGCGACAGGTACAATAACATCTTTGCACCTGCGGATTGGCTGAATCCACACTGGACTGTTGGGAGGGGTTTTTAATTCCTTTATTCCAGGGGTCAGCAACCTGTGGCTCAGGAGCCGCATGCGGCTCTTTGGGCCCTCTGCTGTGGCTCCCTGTCAGGTGATCCCACCATTGGCTGGCCTCGCCCCTCGCCCTCCCCTCCCAGTCACTCCTCGCCTGGCCTGAGAAGGTAAGGGCGATGGCGGGGGATGGAGAAGTAGCCAGGGCAGAGACAGAGAGATACAGAGAGAGAGAGGGAGAGAGAGAGACAGAGAGAGAGGGAGGGAGAGAGGGGAGAGAGGGATATGTCAAAAGGATTTTGTGGTTCCCGGTGTTTTCTGCCCTAATGACCGGCTGGGTAGGCATGGCTAGGGGGTGTCATGTGACTGGTAGAAGTGAGTGACATCGAGTTGGCCACACCCACTCAGGTTTTGTGGCTCCCGGTGTTTTCTTTTCTGTGGGAAACGGGTCCAAATGGCTCTTTAAGTATTTAAGGTTGCAGACCCCTGCTTTACTCTAACTGTATGGCCTGAAGTTCCTTCAGAGCCTGCTTTCTTTTCGCCCTGCTATCACCTCTATTCAATAAAAGATTCCTTGTGAAATGCCAAGTTTCAAGAATCTTTACTTTCTTGAATAAGGGGGAAGAGGCCGGGCCTTACACTTGTGGACCTGGTGCACAGTATCACGCCTTGCTTTGATGCACTCAAGAAAATGAGATAGCAGAATGAGCAACCTATCAAAATTACCCCTTCCCCAAATCTCTTCCCGGTATCAACATCATGAATGATTGGATAGTTTCATCCTGAGGACTGCAGGGACATTCCTGATGAGATTTAATGGCTTTGTGGGCAAGACTGACTTCTAATCATTCCCCAAGGCTGATATTCCCCAAGCCAGATTCCTCATCCTACCCCAAGAACCACAAAAGAGGTTTCTGGCCTTCATCTGAAAACAAGAGGCAGGAAAATATTTCTGAACAGAAAAAAATAATGCTATGCTGTGCAACATGCCAAGATACCTTGTCAAATCCCAAATATGAAAACTGTGGCCAACCTAGTAGATATTTAAAAATCCAGTCCCAGGCACATCGTTTCTTTCACTCTAGATCGGGGTGTCAAACTCAAGACCCTGGAGGCTGGAACCGTGCCCACAGGGTGCTTAGATCTGGCCCATGGGGCCGCCCTCGAAACAGTGAAGGACCGGCCCACGGTGCCTCTGCCAGTAAAAATGGAGCTGGGGAGGGCTGCGTGCGGCCCTCCTGAGCTCCGTTTTCGCTGGCAGAGGGTTGCAGGAGGCTGTCGCAGCTGAAAATGGAGCTTGCGAGAGCCGTGGACGGCACTCCCGACTCCGTTTTCGCTGGCAGAGGGTTGCAGGAGGCTGTCGCAGCTGAAAATGGAGCTCGCGAGAGCCGTGGACGGCACTCCCGACTCAGTTTTCGCTGGCAGAGGGTTGCAGGAGGCTGTCGCAGCTGAAAACAGAGCTCGGGAGCCTGTTTTCACTGGCAGAGAGCTCAGGCCACCACAGGCACCTCCGACACAAGTGATGTCGAGCTGGCCATGCCCACCCTGGGCCCCTGAGAACAAACGCAACCCTGATGCGGCCCTCAATGAAATCGAGTTTGACACCCCTGCTCTAGACCCTACTGACTGAAGAATTTATTTGTAGCTAGCGGAACAAGCTGATATGTCTTCCTGGACCTCCCGATCTGTTGTGCCACCAAGCCTGCTGGCAGAACACAAGCTGTGTCCTTACCGTCCAGTTCTGTTGCTCCTTCTCCTCCTCCTTCTCCTCACTGGCTGTGTAACGCTCAACTTTACACAATCCACTCTGACTCTGTAACCAGTCAATGTTCTCTGACATCTGAGGGGAGAAGAAATGACAGCTAACGTGAAGGCTGGCTGTTTCACCTTGATCCAGAGATTGGATTCAGCAGGTTCTGACCAGTTCTGAAGAACCGGTAGCAGAAATTTTGAGTAATTTGGAGAACCGGTAAATACCACCTCTGACTGGCCCCGCCCCAAGGGGTGGGTTCTAAATTTTTTTACTACCGGTTCTGTGGGCGTGGCTTATTTTGTGGGTGTAGTCATGTGACTAGGTGGGCGTGGCTAGCTGGTCAGAGTCATTTCTGGAAGGTCCTCGCACTTACGACCAGTCCTCGCATTTACGACCCGACTCATTTGTTTGCTTTTAACACTGATCAGCTTTGAAGCCCCGCGGCAAGAGTTTAAACAGTTTTTTTCCCTCTAGTCATCAGCTGGGACTCAGGAGGCAGCAATAGATTGGGGGTGGGACCAAATAAAAGGTAAGAATAACGTGGGGGGGTGGGGGGGTGGGAGGGAGAACCGGTTCGGTGATGTCATATCGTCACTGCTACCGGCTCGGCCGAACCGGACCGGACTGGGAGGAACCCACCACTGCCCCGCCCCCATCTATTCTCTGCCTCCCGAGTCCCAGCTGATCAGGAGAAAATGGGGATTTTGCAGTAACCTTCCCCTGCCACACCCACCAAGCCACGCCCACCAAGCCATGCCACGCCCACCAAGCCACGCCCACAGAACCGGTAGTAAACAATTTTGAATCCCACCATTGCCCCGCCCCCATCTATTTTCTGCCTCCCAAGTCCCAGCTGATTGGCTGGGTCTTCTTTTGTAGCCCTGCACAGGAGAACGGAGATTAGTCGGGTGAGGAGGGAATGGGGATTTTGCAGTATCCTTCCCCTAGATTGGGAGGGAGGAATGGAGATTTTACAGTATCCTTCCTCTGCCACGGCCACCATGCCATGCCCACCAAGCCACGCCCACAGAACCGGTAGTAAAAAAATTTAAATCCCACCACTGCCTTGACTGTGTTGAGTTAGGCACTTTCTTTTCCCACACTGCATAGTTTTTTTCAAACTCAAAAAAACCACACAACAACAACAATTGAAGGGGAAACTAAAAAAAAAATATTGAAGGGGAAAAAGAAAAAAAAAAGCTTTGGCACTTACCAGTTTTTTACGGCCACGAGTGGGGCTGCCGGTGTCTTCTGCTTCTGCAGGAGCACAGAAGGTAATACAGTTTTAGCAGAGAAATCCAACTTTTGGGCAAGCTATATGTTTCCTTCTCTGCTGCCACAAAATGCGAGATAGCTAAGCTGCCTTTGGGGTTTTCTCCACTACAAAGCCTTGAAAAGTTCGGCGTCACAACTGTAAAGCCTCCTGGGATTCTCAGTCATTCAGATCTTGGTTGTCCCAAAGGTGCTTTTTCAAGAGGCAACTGGACTTCCTTGTTTTTCTTTGAAGACGTTTTGCTTCCTATCAGTGGTGGGATTCAGCCAGTTCGCACCACTTCGGGAGAACCGGTTGTTAACTTTCTGAGCAGTTTGGCAAACTGGTTGTTGGAATAAATCATTAGGGCAGAGAAACGGCTGTTAAATTACTTGACTCCCACCACTGCTTCCCATCCAAGAAGCTTCTTCAGTTCTAACTTCTGATTTCTACAGAACTGAAGAACCTTCTTGGATGAGAAGAGAAACCTCTTCAAAGAAAAACAAGGAAGTCCAGTTGCCTCTTGAAAAAGCACCTTGGGGGACTCATTCTCTTGCATGTTCTCCAGAAATTATCCAAGGAGGCCCCACAGGTTCTGTTGTTTGTTTATTTGTGTCAGAAGCATCACAATTAAAACAAGGCCTACAACTGGTGTATGACATGGAGGTAAAGGTAAAGGAATCCCTGTGGATTTTACTCCCCTAATTGTTGCCGACTCATCTCTCTTTCAAGGCCATTGAGCCAGCGCTGTCAGAAGACATTTCTGTGGTCATGTGGCCTGCATGATATCGTGAAACACTGTTATCTTCCCACTGAAGTGGTACCTATTTATCTACTCACATTTGCATGCTTTTGTTAGCTAGATTGGCAGGAGAGAGGAAGGAGCTCACCCTGCTCACGTGGAGCTCTGTGGCTCTCGAACCTGGGCTGCTGGCTTTCCAGCCGACAAGACCAGGGTCTTAACCGCTGAGCATTAAGAAGAGATTGGACAGCCATCACGAATGGGTTATGTTTGACTTCGGGGATGGGGGGTGGGATGGGCTTGGCAAGGGTGGGCATGGCCAGCTTGGCATCACTCACTTTGGGGGGCACCGGTGGTGGCCCGAACGCTTTGCCAGCAAAAATGGGCTCCCAAGCTCTGTTTTTGGCTGCGATGGCCTCCTGAAACCCTCTGCCAGTGAAAATGGAGCTTGGGAGGGCATTGCAAGAACTCCGTTTTCGCTGGCAGAGGCAACATGGGCCAGCCCTTTGCTGTTTCCAGGGTGGCCCCACGGGCCAGATCTAAGCCCCCGCAGCCAGATCCAGCCCCCGGGCCTTGTGTTGGACACCCCTGGTATAGGGCCTCCTGTTTGAGCAGACCTCCAAGATCCCTACCAACTCTATTATTCGGTATGAATGGATAGCATCATCACCAAACAGAATTTAAAAAGGGAAGGGCATTAAGGGTTAGCAAAATAAGTGAATTCTAGCTGCTTTAACATGCACATTTAGTGCAATTTTGCTGCGTCAGCAACAATAGACCCTCTAAGAATTAATACCGTGTTTCCCTGAAAATAAGACCCTGTCTTATATTTTTTTGAACCCCGAAATAAGCACTTGGCCTTATTTTCAGGGAGGTCTTATTATTTTAGGGCGCGTGGAGCAAGGCGGGGTCCTCTTGCAGTCTTACCTGATTTCCAGCTCTGTTTCCCTAACCCTAACCAGAGGAAATGGCGGGGACCAGGTATGCATGAATTTAAATTTTGGGGAGGGCTTATTTTTTGGGGCGGGCTTATTTTAGCACATGCACTCAAAAGCCCGATTGGGCTTATTATCAAGAGATGTCTTATTTTCAGGGAAACAGGGTAATTGATTAATTAAACAAGGCGGCTTGAGAGAAATGTGTACTTGGGGAGACAATCATCTGAATCTGGAAGTAGGGTACCAACTGATGGTCTGAGGGATGTTCTCACCTGCTACAATTTCCATCACTTCCTGCTGAGGAGGCTGGTAAGGAAGGTCTACTGTCCTTCCCTCCCTGCGTACCAAAAACAAGGACATATTAAAACTAAGACTCCCCAAAAATAAGAGGACAATAAAAAAAAAACACACCACCCCAATCAGATCCTAAAGGTTTACAAGATTTAGACTTCCTTTGGTGGCCCATCCCTTAAGGTAGAGACAGTTTGGTCTCTGGAGCTTACGTGTCTTGGCCTGTGGTGACCACAGAACGGAGAAACGTGGCCTACCTTTAGAACATCTATGTGAGGACTCACAAAGAGTTCCCCAAAAGCAGGCTTTTAGGCCAAACTTCCAGGATGTTCCTCAAAGGCTCCCCACACTGTGGCCTCCTCTCTCATCCTCTCCTTGTCAGAATGGACCTTGGAGTCACAATGCCCAGGTCACTCTGCTGTTTCCATGGCAATCATCAACACCATCAGAAGGAGGCTCAGCAGTTAGTCAAAGCTTGGGAGGAAACTGGTGCAATGACAAAAATGTTGAGGATCAGTCCCTGGTGCATTTATGGTCGGGTTTTAGGGGGATTAAATTAGGGTCAGCGATGCTTCTTCTTTGTTTAAAGATGATACTGGATACTGGATATTTCTTCCTGTAAACTGAAGTGTGGCTGAATGGTGCAATAGATCCAGGATGGACATGGCTCCTTCATCAATTATTTTCCAGATGGTGGGCAGTAGCCTTTTGGAGAACTTTTTGATGAGAGAGGGAGAAAGGGAGGGAGAGAGAGAGATATGGATGGGTAGGTAGGATAGATAGATAGATAGATAGACAGACAGACAGACAGACAGACAGACAGACAGACAGACAGACAGACAGATAGATAGATAGATAGATAGATAGACAGATAGATAGATAGATAGGTAGATAGATTAGAGAGAAAGATGGATGATAGGTGGATGGGTAGGTGGATCGATGGATGGATGATACATGGATAGATAGATGATAGATGGGTGGGTAGGTAGATGGATGGATGTAGAGAGATATAGAGATAGAAATAGATAGATAGATGATATATATATAGAGAGAGATAGAGAGAGATAGAGAGATAGAGAGAGAGAGAGAGATGAGATAGATAGATAGATGATAGATTAGAGAGAGAGATGGCTGATAGATGGATGGGTCGGTGGATCGATGGGATGGATCGATGGATGATCAATAGATGATAGATGGATGGATGGATGGATGGATGGATGGATCAATAGATGATAGATGGGTGGGTAGGTGGGTGGATGGATGGATGGATGGAGAGAGATATAGAGAGATAGAAATAGATGATAGATAGATAGATAGATAGATAGATAGATAGATAGATAGATAGACAGATAATACATAAATGATAGAGAAATAAATGGAGAGATAGAAAGAGAAATTAGATAGACAGATAATAGACAAGAGATAGATGATAGAGAGATAGATGGAGTGATATAGAGATAGATAATAGAGATTATATATATATATAGGTATATATATCCCTGCAAAATTGAAATTTAATTATATTTATTATTATATATACAACCTGAAATCACAGCTTTTCTTTTCTTTTTTCGTTAGCTGATGTTGGTCTCATTCACAGCACGTTCTTTCCCAGAACCTAGGATGTTGTTATGTATCGACACAGTATATATGAAGATCGAAGTAGTGTGGCTTTTTCTAATTTAACAGATGGAAATTTTGTCAGTGTTCAGATTTTCTAATGTTTCGACTGGATTTGGCATTTTTATCCACCTATGAAGTCCTTCCCAAGGACTTGAGATAGGCAGAGGTGGATGTTTCGTGATGTCAGAGGTCTCGTTGCAGGATGTAAGCTGTTCCGAGTAAAGCTGCCTTTTTGCAATTGACCAAAGGGGATTTTGTCAATGCCGATGGAGTTCAAGTTGTGTTCCAGATATTTTGGGATTACATCCAAGATACCTATTATTATTGGTACCACCTTTGCTTTCCTTTGCCACAGTTATTTTACTTCTATTTTCAGTTTTTGTGTGTGTGTGACTTTCTCCAATTCTTCTATTCTGATGTCTCCAGATACTACTGATACCGTATTATTAAATCTATTGAAACAGAGGAAGCTCCCTGTATGGATGACTATTTTATTGATTCCTAGATGACTTTGTGCTCCTATATTGTTGGTGGATTTCAATGATTAATTAAAAATATTTTCCAGCTTCCTTGAATAATGCTTTTGTAGCAGTGTTTTTTCATAGATCAAAGGTTTTGCTGATTGTGCAAGCTATTGTATGATTTCAGTACTAAATGTAGACTAGATAGTATTAGTTTCAATTGTCTACTCTTAGAAGCGACTTCTTCACAACAGTTATACATTTTATAATTGTATACACAATTGTGTATAATTGTATACGCAATTATAAATTTGCCTCTTTCTCTAAACTTATAACATGTCACTTTTCTTTCTATAATATATCCCTTCTAATCATCAAAACTATAATTCATAAATTCATCTTTTCTGTTTTCCACAAAAAGTCCTTACGGAGTTTCCAGATAGCATTAGACATAGATATTGTCATTTCTCTAATCAATTAAATTAATTTGGCCTTCCCAACAAGTTCCATCATTTGCATCAATCATTCTTCTATCTCAAGTATTGCAAAATCTTTACATATAATCCCTTTAGGTTTCCTGTTGCACTTGTTGGGAGTCCCAACAAGTGCAACAGAGAATCTCTACAGACTTTTAGCTATACAATTTGGGATGAACAACCCTGAATGGTGTGGGAGTAAGAATGGATTTCCAGAGGAAAAACTGCAGAGTACAGGAACCAGGGACAGGTGCAACAACTCAGGTAACCCTGAGGACACAGATAAACCTCCAAGTACTCTAAAAGACCCTCTAAAGAGGAATCGTCAACCTTAAACACTCAAAGAGCCACAAAGGCAGGGGTGAAATGCTCCCGGTTCGGACCGGATCGCCCGATCCGGTAGCGATGGTGGTGGGTGGTTCGGAGAACCGGTAGCAAAAATCCCTGCGCCTCCCCCCATGCCCAGCTGAGCTGCACAATCATCAGAGGCTTTTTTTTTTTACTTTTAAAAGCATTTTTTCAACAGCCTCTTCCGTTGAAAAAATGCTTTTAAAAGTAAAAAAAAAAAAGCCTCTGATGATCGCGCAGCTCAGCTGGGATCCTCAGAGGCTTTTCAAAGCATTTTTTTCTGCAACCTCTTGGCCAAAGAGGTGGTAAAAAAAATGCTTTGAAAAGTCTCTGATGATCCCAGCTGAGTTGCCTGATCGGCAGAGAGGTATTTTTTAAAAAGCCTCTCTGACGATCCCAGCTGAGTTGCCTGATCGGCAGAGGCTTTTCAAAGCATTAGAAAAAATGCTTTGAAAAGTTAAAAAAAAAAAAATTGGCCACACCCACCCAGTCACATTACCACCACCAAGCCACGCCCACAGAACCAGTAGTAACGAATTTTACATTTCACCCCTGCACAAAGGTCCTAACCGGAAGCCCCTGTTCAATTCTGGAGCCGACTGGAAGTCCGATTCCCCCACCATAGAGTTGCCTCCTAGCTCGGCATCCTTTTTCCTCTACCTGTCCTAACCGAAAGCCCTATCAATTGTGGAGCCATCAGCAACAGGGAGCCGCAGCAGAGGGATGAAAGAGCCACATGCGGCTCCAGAGCCGCAGGTTGCTGACCCCTGCTCTAAAGGATGCAAATGACCAAGACCCTCTAAAAGGATGCAATGACCAGCTGTCTGCAAGGAATATAAATCCTTCCATTCCCCACTATTCTGTCAGAGTTGAAGAAGCTTCTTGAATGAGAAGCGAAACGTCTTCAAATAAAAAACAAGAAAGTCCAGTTGCCTCCTGAAAAAAGCACCTCTAGGACAACCATGACCTGGATGACTGAGAATCTCTAGAGACTTTTACTCACTTGTTGGGAGATTTTGTGTAATCTCATCTGACACTTCCATTTGAAATTCCAATTCTCCGTTAAAACAATTTTTAGAATTTTTCTCACCTTCTGGGCAGAATTCAGTCAAAACTCTGCTGTTTAAACGTAAAAATAATGCCTTCCGATTTATCTCGTCAAAACGGATTTTTTTTGTTTTAAGCTGTCAAAAAAGAATCACTGCTCTTTTCTCATATACAAGATTCTAATAGGAATTTATTTAAGAACAATTAAATGTGTATTATCAATCTTCAAACACAGGCACCCCGAGTTTGCATGGAGCTAAAGGCCTAATTGGTAAATCTGAGAGAGAAAACAATTTTACCTTTCCAAAGGGGCTTTTTTGCCCACACAAAAATGTGAATCACAAAATAATTCAGGCAAAGCAAAAAAGATTTATTAGGGGGAGGTCAAATCTTTTTACATGGTGCAGAAACAAATGATACATACATTCGGTGTATGTGATTTGTCAGAAAACAACAAATCAAACAGTAAGACATAAATTAGATGTGAAAATGAAATAATAGTGATCCTAAAATAACATTGCACAAGTGGCAAATTCACCAATTATATCATCCTCTTCCCTGTAGAATTTGCATCTTTCTTAATACAGGTAGTCCTCGACTTAACAACTGTTTGTTTAGTGACCATTCGAAGTTACAATAGCACTGAAAAAAAATGTGACTTGTGATCATTTTTCACACTTATGACTGTTGGCAGCATTTCCATGGTCACATGATCAAAATTCCTCATGCTTGGCAACTGACCTGTATTTATGACAGTTGAACTATTCTGGGCTCGTGTGATCATCATTTGTATTTCTATTTCTAATTGTATATTATTTGTATTTATTTTTGTATTATTTGTATTTGTATTTTGTATTTGTATTTGCATTGTTGGTATTTGTGTTTATTTTTGCATTATTTGTATTTGTATTATTTGTATTTGTATTATTTATATTTGTATTATTTATATTATTTGTATTTGTATTTATTTTTGTATTATTTGTATTTGTATTTATATTTGTATTATTTGTATTTGTATTTATTTTTGCATTATTTGTATTTGTATTGTTTGTATTTGTCTTTATTTTTGCATTATTTGTATTTATTTGTATTTTGTATTCTTTATATTATTCGTATTTGTATATATTTTTGTATTATTTGTATTTTGTATTATTTGTATTTATTTTTGTATTACTTGTATTTGTCAGAAAGTCTTTTTAAGTGATAAAATCAACGGGAGAAACCAGATTCGCTTTACGACCGCATGGCTCCCGTAACAACTGCGGCGACGCCCTTAGCAACCGAACAGCCGTTAAGTCATTGCTGAGTCGCCCGTCTAGCTTCGCCTCCATTCCCGCGCCTTAGGCCCCGCCCACCGCCTTTCGCCGCGAGAGCGCGCTCTGCAGGCGGACGTCACCGCTCGCGCGCGGTTTGGTCTTCGGAGGCCGCC